AAGGAACATTTCACCTCCCATTAATACGCAGGCAAATAAAAATAAGAAAACATATGGACTTCTAGCTGGCAATGCTAGATGTGAGGCGAGGTGACCATTCTCAGCAAATGTGTGCGCATTTGATATAGGCTCATTCTTGGCGAGTTACTGAAGTCTATTAGTAGTTTGTCTGACACCTACAAGGATGTCAGCTATGTTTAGAAATGAGGATATTACTCTTGAAAGTAGTGATCCAAGTTACAGATTCCTTTTAAAACAATATGCCTACAAAGAATAATCAGTTGGTATTAATCTTTTCTTTCTATCATCACTTTAATTTTCCACAGTTTGATTTTGCTTCTACACAGAAAGCATTCTGTGCTTTTTGAGAAGGAAATCCTACTCAAGTCCACAAAAATAAAATGACAATAAAACCTATTGTTATAGGCTTTGCAAGCAACTGTCATTGCAACTTAGATGCTTTACAATTATTTGTTCTGCTCATCGTACCTGAACTGTATCTGTGGCTTAGGTCTCTCCCCAAACATGAGACCTCTGAGCATTTAGAATAGTGTATTTTTCTTCTGCAGAGAGTCCTTTAAGTTTTGGCTCCAGTGTCTGAGGTAAGAATAATGGTAAATTACTGTAAACAACACATACTTATTTTGGCTTTATTTTGCAATTGCTGACTATACTAACAATGAAGACTGTATTGCCTTAGCTGCTTATTAGATCATCTGATCATAATTAATTCTGTTCATTCCTCTTCTGCGGTATGAAGAAAAAGAGCAAATGCTTTTTGCCACACAGTTACTGATACTTGGTCAAACGTTCTCGTAGCCTTTCCAGATTCTTATGAACTTGAGTGTTGCCATGGTTTCTGCTCTGGGTTTCTAAGATATTAATGTGCTACTTTAAAAAAAAAAAAAAATCACCACATTTCAGTGATGAGAATTTAAAAGAACTTTCTGCCATAAATAAGGTCTTAAAAGTCTTTGTCTTTGAGTTCTGAAGAGAAAAAAGGGAAAAAGTTAAATAGCTTCCCAACAGGACACATTTGGAGGAGAAGTTGAGACATCTGTTTGTTCTCTACCCTCTTTTTCCTAATATAAAAGCTTTTACTGGGGCCGGAAATCGCTGCTTCTGACTGCTCAAACAATCCGAGGGAAGGGACACGTTTTTCTTTGCTGCTTCCTGGCAAACAGAAAGAGCCCAAAATTCTCATCTCCCTGTGACACAACATTGGTATCCAATAGGGAAGAGGAGATGTGAGATTCCTCACTCCTGTCTCACCATTCAGGTTGCTCTTACTTCTCTACATACAGAGAAGTTCGGAGCATCCAGAGGAGCTATAGGAGAAAAGAAGGGTAAAAGTTTCAGCTCTGAGCTTCATTCACTGACCTGTCAGATACTAGTTACCTAAATAGCATGTCCTGTTACTGAATCATTTCTGTTAATACTGTGTTTTCTGGGGTTTGACTGAAACTAAGCTTCACAGTGTAATGGTTGCAGGCATTTCATGGAAAGAATAGATAGTATTTAATGAAAGATAAAAGATTGGCAACAGTCTTCAGGGAAGGATGAAAATGATGAGCATCAAGTAGATTTTGTCTTCTATTGGGATATTGTTATGATCAAATTCACAGTTAATTTTTTAATCTTTAAAACATGCTATGGGTGATGTTGGTGATCACTTAAAACACCTAGAGGGAGCATTAAGATGGGATAAAGTGATGGCCTGTTGGCAGTTACTTAGCAACAAATGCCCTGCTGTGCAGATAAACAAACTCTTAATAGAGTGAATCAAGTGAAGACCAAATTCACAATCATTTCGTCTACAGAAAGGCTAGCATATAAATACCTAGTTGTACTGCACCACCTAGATGTATCATACTGCAGATAAAATGGCTGGTTTGTTTAAACAGTTGCTGTCACAGATCCTCAGTCTTTTATTCTCCAAAATGTGGTTTAAGCAAGCAGATACTTTACTCTACAGTTGAAGTCAGAACAGATGCATAAGACAGGAACCGTAGCTGAGCTGCTGAGTAGCAATTCATTAAATCAATCAAAACTTAGATTTCAATTTTGCATCTCAGTCCTCAGGCAGAGATCCCAATACTGTCTAAGTCCATAAAAACCTCCATATTGATTTCTTAGGATGATAATATAAAACAGATCTTAAGCTTTGAAATGTAAATAGGTTTAATATAAATAAACAAATGAAACCTTAATGAAAATAGAAAAATTATCTACCTGCAAAAAATATCATCTTTGCATCCTGTGTTATAAGGAATGACAAGAATCGCAGAAAGAGTAAAAGATATTGTATATATCCTTATGGAAATAACTAACCAGAAACCCAGAAGTCATTGTGGTGGTGGAATCCCTGGGGATTTTTTTATTTTTTTTTTTCAAACTTCCAAAGTACAGACGTGGAGACAGAAAAAGCTGAAGCACTTTTATTTGTCAAGACTCCAACCAGATCTCTGCATAAGGCCCTAGAGTCATTGTGGAAGCAGTGTTGGCATTATTATTGAACTATTAAACAATTTTATCTGTTTCAAATGCTCCCAATTGAGATTATTGTGAGATGTTTCATTTCCATCCTCAGATCTGCTCATCTAAGCAACAGTGAAAAACTAATTATTTTTCCATCTTTTTTTTTCTATTTTGTTTTGTTTAATTAAGGAAAGTGACAACATCAAAATGCTATGCAAGATTAAGGGTGCATCTAACTTTTGCAAGGGAGGGCTAGGAAAAGGGGGTATTAAACCTTTATCTGGAGGAAAGAATGAAATAGAGTGGTGTCTGAATTCTAAAAACACTGCATAGTGCATCAGTTATTTTTGTGTGTCACAAAATCATTATTGTCTGGTGATCCAGAATGACATCTGTACTGGGAAAGGAAGGTGGAGTAGGCATGCTGTTCTGAAGCAATACTTCTGTAATTCTCTCGAGAAGATTCCTTTAAATGTTGCTGGGTTCCCTCTGTGAGGAATGGTCATAGATCATTTACAGGTAGACTTGTCTACTTTAAGCATAAAATTTTTGCTCCCTATTCTCTGTGGACCCTGTTGGCAAGGCCAAGTGGGTGAGCAGCTAAAGGGTATAAGGCTACAGACTACGTGCCTATGTTTATTTTGAGAGAGCACACTTCTGGAACCTTGCAGGTTTGTCTGCTGTCTCTTTATTAAATCTTAAGTCTCTGAAAACCTTAGGTTGCAATTCATCTGCTTTTTTTTTTTTCCTGCTGTGTTTGTCTATCCTGCTGTTCCCCGTTTTCCCTGTTGGCACTATATCAATTATACCAGTATTCTTAGAGAAGCTGCTTAGAGATTCAGGGGTGAATTAGTGCCAACTTCATAGTGTGCCCCTCATTTGGCAATTTATTCTTTCTTTTTCTCCTTTAGTGTTTAGCCCAGGATTAAAAGGAAGTCTGCCAATAAGTTGGTGTTTAAAATACCGTTGCACAATGAAGCCATCCAACTTGAGCATAAAATACCAGTAATGCTTTGCATTGTCCTTGTGTCTGTTTATTTCAAAGTGTTATCAATGAATTATGTTATTCAATTCTTATAATAAAGGAATTTCTTAATAGCCTTACTCAAATACAGTATTTAAATAAATTCAGCTGTCTTTTTTTCACTTGTTTGTTGATATTTGGAGTCCAATTAAATTGCAGTTCTTTATGATTTTTCCAAAATCTTACTGAACCATTCTTTTTGAGAAACAGGAGTATTGGGCTTCCTCAACTTAGTTTAGTCATCTCGGTCATAGACAGCTATTTTTCCATGTCTCCCACATTGTTAGTGTTGAATATATTCTGTTATGCCAAAGTGTGATGAAAAGTAATTTTATGTCATAATCTAATAGTAAGGCAGGCAAGTCTTTCCATATCTTTTGGCTGTTTTTTAAAAATAAGGTTTTTTACTATTACATTGTTCTCCCAAAGCAGTCAGAAATTTTATAGCAATTGTTGTGATTATTATTTAATTGTCTTTGGGAATGCCTTCAGAACACCTTTATCATTATTATTATTGTCATTAATATTGGTGAAAGGTCCATGCTTCTTTTATAAATATTTAAAAGAGCAAATGCAAACTGAGAGAGAGAAGAAAAGGTAGAAAAAATTACACATAGTCCGTGATTGTTTTAAATTGCTACATACATCATTCATATTTCATTTTAAATAAGAGAAAAAAGAAAAAGTAAGAAGTCTAACTTGTCATTGTTTGCTTCTAAGGATATGTAAGAAGCTGCCAGGAGTTGTATTTAAATCCATGTTGACAGGGGCAAAGTTTCAGAATAGTACAAGTGTTGAAGCTGTTAGTAAGGCTCACATTCTAGTTTTCATTGTTCTTCATGCACGCAGTCAATGAAGATACAGCAGATTCTTTGAAACAACTGGAACTGATATAGACATTCCTAGTAATCCAAGGAATCTGATAAACACTTCAGCGTTTTCAATTGCTTGTGAAGTATTCTTGAATATAGAATGAAAGATCATTTGAGTCTTCAAGAAAATGCTGGAGAAAAAAATGGTACCATCAATGAAAGATCAAACATAATAAAGCGAGGCTGGAGGCCATTTACCTGTAACTGAGATGACAAAGATGGAAAAGCAAAGCAAGGTATCACTCCAGAGAATATAGCTTCCTTCCAGTTAGAGTGGTAGAAGCTGTATTTTTTTATTTGAACAGCAGAAGGCACAGATGGTATTGAATTTTGACAGCTGTCTTCCAATGAGAGTTACTGGTAGTGTGGATAAATGTGGTTATTGTCTAGACAGTGAGAAATCTTCATTTTTACCCGTGTCTTTGTACTTATTATCACTAACAATTATGTATTATGAAATCACATAAAAATGTTGATCGAAAAGTGCTTCTGGAAGCCATCTAGTTCAAATTCCTGCTCAAAGTAGGGCCAGCTTAGATCAGGTTGCTTAGTTCCTTGTCCATTTGAGTTTAAAGTACCTTCAAGCACTGTAGTTCCCCTCCTTCTTACCGTTTTTTAAGATGAGTATGATGTTTGCCTTTTTCCAGTCATCAGAAACTTTGCCCACTTACTGTAGTCTTTTGAATGTGATTGAAGGGAGCCTTGGAGAGACTCCAGTCATCTCCCTTAGTACTTCTGCTCACATCCCAACTACTCTCATAGTCCTGTGCGTGTCTAGTTGGCTTAAGTGCCTCCTAGGTGCCTTTCTCTACTGTAGACGATGCTTCACTCCCACAAACTCTGTTAGTAGACCCATGGACTGGGAGGCCTGGGAAACAATTTGCCAACAAAATCCAAGACACAAAAAGGCATTGAGTATTTTGGCCTTTCCTATATCCTTTGTCACTAGGTTCCCTGCTCCATTAAGCAGTGGACATGCACTTTCCTTACTTAGTCTTCCTTTTGCTGCTAGTGTACTTATGGAAGCTTTTGTCTGTACCCAAAATGTCCTTTGATTATTTCAAGTCCAGTTGAGCATTTGCTTCTGTAATTTCATTGTTCTACACTTGAGCAATGCCGCTGTTCCCCCAAGTGACCTCCCCGTCCTTCCACCTTCTGGGAGACAGGGCTTAATAGTATTTTCAGGTGTCACTGGCTACACAGCATTTTCCCCTAGCCAGACTGCTTGTTTATGTAGCCTGAGATCGTCATTAGAATGTAGTCATAATAATGTTGCATCTGTATAGGAACACTGAATGGATATTGTGTACAACAACTGAAAATCAGCATATGTGGGTTATGACACTGTGACCATTTTATCTGAAATGTCAAATCTTTGTGAAATCTGAGTGATTCTGTAAATCATAATCGCAGTTCATTTTTTTCTGTGGAGTCACTGAAATGTCAAGAGAAAGCTATAATTCTGAAACTTGAAATATGAGTATAGTTTTGTATGGTATCACTGATGATTTCTATATCAGTATAAGTATTCACATGATATGATATGCAATATATGGCCAGGAGTTATTCTCAAATATAAAAAAAAAATGGAAGCTTTCCCTTTCAAATCTCCTAAAGATGTCAGTTTCTAAAGAAATTAAGCTTTTATTTTTTAAAATAAATATTTCTTGGCACTAGTTTGTAAAGACAGCTCTCTAGCTCTAGCCCAAAACACTGCTATCTTCCTGATTTCCTGGACATATTTGTCAGAATTCTGCTGTTTTGTATTAAAAAAAAAAAATGTAAAAAGTGTGTGGTATAAGGAAAGGAAAGAAAAATTACAATATTTTTAGCTTTTTATAGCTGATGTGCATAATGGAATAGAAGTGTCATGCAAGTATATTGGTAAGGCTCCAGTAGTAAAAAAATTCTATCTAATACACTGCTGAACGTCAAAGAGGAAATCTTGACCTTATCCAGCGAGTTGAAATCCATGGGTTTTTTCTGCAATAAGATTTATTTAAGCCTTTTTGCTCAATTATTGGTGCCAGATTGCTTCTCAGGTCCCTGAGGCTTCTTCACTTTGTTCTCTTGAGTGGACAATGTCTACAGTCTATCGCCAGTGGGTTTGGGAGAATGTAATTAAGATATGACCTTCTTCCAGGTTTGGTAGTTAAGGGGGAAGGAGCTACTGTATTCTCATTCTAGCTAATTCAGTTTGTCAGACCTTTGCACACACTGTAAAAATGATGTGCAAGGGTACTACTAGCACTAGGTGGTACTTATGAACATGTTGTGTATTAGTCTTGTGAAAAAGAAGTTGTGAATCCCAAGAAGAGGGTAGTAAGAGTGCTGGTAGCACAAGAGGCTCTTGGAATGAAACTAACTGGAGACAGAATTGGCTAGTCTAGCTGCTCACAGGTGCCTAGAAGTGGGAATCCTTTTCCCCAATATATCTTTTGTCAATGGCAATCTCCTTTTGGTTGGTTAACAAAAATAAATCATGAAGAAAAAAAAAAAAAGAAAAAATTGAGAGCCTTCAGATGGGTGAGTGAGTTGAATTGGGTCATGAATGCTAGGGCTGACACAGAAGAGGAAGGAGAACCATGTGGCTTGAAGCAGGGGAGAAGGAAGAAGGAGGAAACTGTGCCCTCAGCTTCTGCTTTTGTTCTTCAGCGGTCCCATTTACTTCAGCAGGATTCCTCCTGTAAATGCATATAAGTATTTTGCTGGATTATCCCTAATAATGCCATCTAGCACTTCGACAGGCTTGCTTATCTTAGTGACAAAAAGTTATTGTAATTACTAACACTAAATTTTTTATTTTATCACATTAAAAAAATAAAATCTTATTAGATAAAATCTTCATACTACCCTTGCCTAATATACTGTTCATTTTTATCCCTGCCTCTGTCTGTTTCCCAGGGCATCTATGTCTTCCCAAGGAAGTTCTTCCAATGAGAAGTGGAGATTTCCTATTTGGCCAGAATGGAATGAAGCAGATATCAATGCAGAAAAATGGGATACTGGAAAAGCTGGAAAAGAGAAAGAAAAAAGTGGAAAAAGTCCCATTGCAGTAAGTTGTGTGACACACATATATATTTTATTTCCACTGCATTGTTTTGTACCCGTGTTTAGTATTTGTCACAACTTCAAAATAATTTGTTACTGATAAACATACTCATCTCAATCATATATTTTCAGTAAGTTTACATAGTTCCCTACTGAACTAAAATAATAAACTAAAAATATTGTGCATTGTTGATTTTTGCTTCTTAAACGAACTTCTGACATGTGTGTGTATTAATATGTTCACATTAATGGTTAAAAAAAAATAAAATGCAACCCCCAAATCTGTTTCATAACATAATTAAAACTGGGGATGTGGGAACCATGACAGCACTTGTAAGCTAAAGAAAGGTGTATGTCTCAATTTTTTTCTAGTGTTTCTTTGCATTGTGTGTGCCATTCTCACCTTTTTTTGGTTTATCAAGAGCTTAAATGCTAAACTTCCCTGTCACACCATGTAGTCAGGGTTGGATGTCTCTGAATGCAGAATATAAACTCACTTAATACAGTTCTGTATGGTCCAGCCTACAAGGCTTCCTGTAAGCTTTTAGAAGAAAAAACATTCCTAAAAGGTTCTTTTTTCCTTCCAAACTTCCCCTGCTTCCTTCAGGTACTTTGAATAGTTTGTTGCAGATTGGTAAGTTGAAAGAATTTACACAATGAACTAAGTAAGAAAAAAATGTGGGGAAAGTACCATTTCAGGGTTGTTAGTTTTTATTTATTTTTTATGGTTTTGTCATATATTTTCTTTTGCCTTCCTTTGAATTAAGTAAGTACCCAAAGCATTACAGTTTTTCCTTCCCAGAAACCCTGTCTCTTGGATAGTCTGTAGAAGATAAGTAGTGTACATCATGGCCTGTGAAATGCACAGAAATCTATAATATGCCTGAAAGCTATTTAAAATTCCAGGCACAAATAGAAGAAATTGGTTACCATGTAACTGATTACTTTCTCAGTCAGCATGAGCAGTATCAGAGGTATCTCCACATCCTATATTTTGCTATTATGTAAACAGATATCTTATATCCTGACAACTTCTGTTCACACGGAGAATGTGTCACTTTGGAAATGGAAGTTTGAAAGTTATGTGACACTTTGTCTCTCCTTGAGAATCTCTAATTCACGATGCTGTACAATTATAGCTCTCTTTGGTTTCTACAGCAGTTTTAAATGCATGGAACTCACTTTGTTTGTGTCTAAATATCGCTTTAGATATTTACTTTCATTCTTCAATTTAAAAACTTTCGAAGTGAGTGAGTTAGAAAAAGCATTTAGAAACAACTTGGTAGAAAAGTGCCTGAATTAAAAGCTTAAACAGTTTTTTGGGAGTTTTTTCTGAATGGTGGAAAAGAAAGGAAGACCTGTTTAGACCATGCGGGACACATAACCTTCTCTGAACATTTTAAGTGGCTTTTGTGCTGAATCTTCAGTTTGGGCTTTGTGCTCTTCTACTTCAGAGTTATAGATACTGTTAGTTCCTTTTTATGCTTTTTTCTCTGAAGTGAATTATCATGTGAACAATAAATTAGTTTAAATCTTGTCGAAGAGACAATATTGTAATTAATAAAAAGTGTTCCATTTTTGTTCTTGCGTATTCTGTGTAGCCTGGCTTTGAGGACCCTGAAGGGAAAATAGAGTTGCCAGCATCCTTAAAAGTACATTCATGGAAACGTCCACATGAGTTTGTAACAAATAAGGTAAGAAACAACTAAGCCATAATGGAAAAAATGCTACTCGCTTAACTATGTCACAAGTAGAGGAAAACTAGTAGAGGAAATTAGTTCAACAGATAAAACACACTTGACCATGGGTAGTCATCCTCTCTGGGCAACTGCTGTGCAGCAAGGAGTCGGTGATGCAGAGAGCAGCTGACCTGTGCTGCTCGCACAGCTTCTCCTTCAGGCCCTTGTGATGCCTCAGACAGCGCATTGTAAGGCAGGAGCATGCAGCCCAGTGGTTACACCACCACCTTCTTTATCTAAGTGTGGCAGGAATGTATGCCTTCTTTTCTTTATCTAAGTGTGGCAGGAATGTATGCGAACATCTTTTCTGGTTTATAGTAGAAATAAGAAAAGAGTTTTTTTCTTTTAAGAAGATCATGTAATAGCTCAACTCCTATCATAGCTCAATAATAGCAAATTGAGGTAATCCTTTCTGCAGATGGGTTCTGCACAGAATGCTGCCTGTGGATCAGAAGCCTGTTTGATGCTGCGCAACTTGGCGTTTCCGGTGTCTAAAAGGACATAAGGTTACGTGTACTAACCCCTTTCTTTCTAATTAGCTCTAATAATAGCATTTTAAGAGTCTGAGTGCCTTTCTGACAGGAATCACCGTGGTCCAGCATCCCCTGGTGCAAAACATGGTAATGTATCCTCCCAAGTCTGCTCTGCTTTTGACACCTGGACAGAGAGGTGCCTTCCTGTTTTGCTTTGTGTTCTTGTGTTCTCACAAAAAAATCAGTGTCATGACAAAACAAGTTCTGTTTGTTCAAACTGAGGCTTCCCTTGAGCAGGTATCTGAAGTAAATTTCCTGAAACCATGAGTTAACTTTACCAGAAAAGTAGCAATTTTTCTCACTTCAACTATTATATTTCTCCAGTCTGCATACAGAACATGTCCACAGCTTTGACAGCACTTGTCTGGAAGGTAACCATAACATTTTAAAATTTTGCAAAGCTCTTATTCAGTTTATTTTTAAAATTAATTGCAAAGAAAATAAACGGCCTACCATTTCAAAGGTTAGTGTTCTCCAGTGCTGTTGCTAATCTAAATTTTAAAATGTTTTTGCTTCAGATGGAATGCTGAAGTTTTGAAACACTTTGACCACCCTTCCAACTCTTTCAGGCTTGTCAGTTTTCTTTTTGTCAGCTTGTCAGTTCCATTTTTTATTAACTAGACACTAAACAGGTCCAAGTTTAATTTTTAATAGAGGAAGGAGAGGGGAGGTCAGAGGAGTAATTGACAAGACCAAAAGATTGGATGAGAAATGCTGCCAAAATGCATAAACTGTAGAGGTATCTGAAAGATGAGGGCAAGAGAGCTGTCAGCCCAGAAAGCCATGGAAATGTGTATCTGTATTAAAAAAAGCTTTAAAAAAATCTATCTTTAGAACACTATGAAGAAAGCCTTTGTTTTCTGTAAGACCTGATTAAAACTTCAATGCTTGTTTTGGTCCAGTGTATTTTGTATCAAGATGCTATGATTACTAGAAAGTTTATAAGTTGTTAAAAACTAATGTAAATGTCAAGTGATGAAAGGCTATTGACATATGTTGTTACCTAATCTATTAGTAACTATAAAAGAAAGTGTAACCAAGCCTATTTAATGTGGTAAGCAAAGAATCAAACAATGGTCACCATTAAGTGAGGAGAGGCACAGATAGATTTAGTTCAATAAACTACAGTCCTAGTATGTTATTTCTAAACCGCTTACTGTAATACAGGCAAAGGTTTGATAAAGTCAGCATTCATACTGCCAATTGCAGTGTCTAACTGACCGTGACAAAACAAATCCCTTTGAATCTTGGGGAGAGGTGGGCAAGGAAATCTCAATGTATAAGACAGTATTACAATCATGATTTAAATAAAGAACTGCAAATTTTATGAATAGATTGAGAGAATCTTGATTTGCTTATGCAATTATTTCATTTGGTACTCTACAAATCTCCTGGTAAAAACAATGATTTTTAAAAAATTCTGAATATCTACATATTAAGTCATTTTTTATTAAGAAATACTAAAGCAGCTACAAGATTTGCAAACTGGCAGCCTTTAGTTTGCAAATGTCTAACGAATGTTTCCCAAATGTCTAACATTTGTATGTCACTGCTGTTAAACATCAGTATTCATTTAATTTTTTCCAGATAATTTAGCTATGGACTTAACTAATATGTTTTCTCCTAGGTTCCTGTGGTTGTCAAAAATGAAACTTCATTTGACCTTTTTTCAGCAAATGAGCATCTTTTTTGTAGTGAGGTAGGTAGAAATACATTTATGTGTCTTTATAAAAATTTTTTAAATGAAAATAGAATGGTGGGAATAAAATGGCAAGAAATAAAATGACAAGAAATCATCTAGATTTGTGTAAATAGCATTTGAAATTGAAAATAAAATCAACTATGTTGAGATTTTTCCAAACATGAATTTATTATTTTATTTAAAATATGCAGTCTATGAACTACAAAATTTATTACTGGATTAATATTTTCTTAAGAGCAAATAGAAGCTCTATTAAAAAGAATTTGTATTTTTCATTCAAACTTTCCTGAAGTCTTAGTGTGCCTACATGTATGTACAAATCTCTGCCACCCAGCCAGTCTTTTCCTTCTCTCCAGAGCTGAATAAATGTTTACTGAATTTCCAAAGATCAGAGGAAAATATAAAGCTGGTAAAATGAAGGCATCTGAGTGCCTTACTGAATATTTTCTGTCTTACTGAATATAATAATTTCTATTTCATTCAATGCTTCAATGCAAATTTGAAATCCAGCATCAGAGAAACTGTACAGGAAGAAGCTGCCAGGAAACATATAATGTATATTTTGCTGTCCACGGAACTCTAATAAATTTTAGGACAAGTTTCTTGTAGTAAAATCTTATTCTTGTTTATATAAATCACTGTAGAAGTCTGGTAATACTTCTGAAACTATAGCGTACATCAGAAATCTGCATGTTAGAAAAACACATGCATGAAAGCATGATTAGTTAAAGCTTCTATTTTAAATGTCATAAATTATTAAATAATTTTAATAATTTAGGATTGTTTTTTTACTGACTACAAATAACAAGTATTTAAAGCCAATACCAATTTTAGCAGCTATATCTAGCAATAGCCAGTAAACAAGTGACACTTCACAAGTCCTGTAACACAGTTTATTTTGAAATCCTTGTTTTTCTTTGGTACGTGATGAACAGCATATTTTATATTGTGCCTTTACTTAGTTTCATGAAGTTTTGTGTTATTGTGGATAGACACTATGATGATTTTAATAAAAGTTGTATCAGTGAAATTAATTTTTGCATGAAACTATAGCTATACTCTTTTGTCACTTCTCCATTTCAAACAGCACCTTTGTTATTCTTTGATCATTATAATATAACTTGATTTCATTTTTCTGAAAGACGTCATCCAAAAAATTTCTTTTTTTCTATTTTTCTCTGTTTTCAGCTGATGAGATGGATTATAACTGAAATTCATGCAGTCTGGAGGTTATGTAATGAAAAGGCCTTAACTAATGGACCATCCACACTTTTTTGGAAACCATGGGAACACATTTATGCGTTATGTAAAGCTACCAAGGGACACATGCCACTATACAATAGCTATGGAAAATACGTAGTGAAACTGTATTGGATGGTGAGTGCTTCCCTCCAACTTTGACTGCTCTCCAAATATGTACGTCACAGGACCAAAAACCCAAGGGTGACACCTGGATTCTTTTCCAAAGTTTCAGCAGCATTTAGACTTTACATTGTTGTGTGTTTTGTGTCTCCTCCAGTTTAATAGAGGTCACAAAGGCGTTGTGTTTATTTAGTTTAGTTACAAATGGAAAAGAAGATAATTCTAGTGGAGAACTTCTTACTGAAATACAAAAAGGTCGGATAACTTGAATCTGACTTTAGATAAATTCAATACAAAATATGGTATAATTAATTAGAAGAAATGGCAATTAAATATTAAAAGAATTACTTCAGCATTACTTCATGTCCTTAAAATGTGGTGAAGTAATTAAAAATAAATTGCTCATTTTGCTTTCTGGGAGAATATGTTATTAATATATATGCATGGAAAAAACCCTTATACAGTAAAATAGAATCACCAAAGTCTGAAAGAAATGCAAGAGAAGAGGAGGAGAATCAAGAAAGAACAGCCTGGAGCATTTTTGGTCTTGTCTTTTTTTTTGACCCAAGGTAAAAAAAAAAAAATTAAAAAAAAATAGAGGTCTCTTGAGCAGATGTTCTCAGCCAATAGGAGACGGTCAAAGAAAGAGCAACAAAAAGTGTAAGACTGAAAATCTTAAACTTGGGGCAAAAAAGGTTTTTTGAGGGCTGTGTTTGTGACAAACGCCGGTGTGGTTAATGGAAGGATTTGGAAGATGGAGTGTAACAGTCAAGGTCAGAATACTCAAGGACAACACTCTTAAATGCATAACAATCTGAGACATAAAAATATACCAGAGGAAGAGACTATAATTTGATGAAGAGTGAAGAAATTTTGTTTTCCAGATAGTCTTTGTTGCAAGTCTCCAGTTTACCATTATTTGGGATAATTAGTGTTGCTTTATAAAAGGAGAGGGCACAAACTTTCCATCTTACAGTGTTTCTAAAATTTTCAAGTAAAGGAAAAGCAGCAGATGATGCTTCTGGAGAGAAACAGCAGCAGGTCAGTGCCTCAGTTGGCCAAGCTGGCCAAGCTTCATGTTGGACCTGTGGAGAGAGCCTTGCAGTTGCATGCAGCAGGTCACTTAAAAACACCTTGCCGCAGAGTTCTTTCAGAAATCTCTACAGTTACAAATACAAAATAATTACTCAAACACTTCCATGATGCTTGGAAAATTGCTTATATTCTTTTCTACGCTGAAAATTTTTTTTTAGTGGTTTTGGTGTAAAAACTTCCTGTGAATAAAATTAAGGAGGGATTTATTTTACTTATCCATCACTCTGTTAAATTGTTTATAAATCTGTCCATCTTTTGGAATGAACATAAATACAAACAAAGCTGGGGAGAGTTTTTGAATGGATGCAACTTATGCATATTGCAGTTTGATATGTGTCTCTTGAGAGGGAGTCAAAACCCTGAGCATATTAATTTTATTTTAAAACACTCCTACACCATGTATTTCTTTAAGAAGAACTTACAGTTGTAATGCAGTATCGATCAAATCTCGTATTTTAAAAGTAAGTTTCATGCAGCTTGCTATTGATACATGTTAGCTGGCCAATGCTGAGGAAGAAATAGGAAAGCAGTTAAAACTGGAAGAATCTCTTAACTTTCCTGTAAGAACACTTAGCTGATTTACATGCCTGTGCTTTCCTCATCCCTAACTACTGCCTCCATATACAGAATAATTTATATTTGTATAGGGAATGTGAGTCTCCTGAGTTTGAGAAGGCAAAAATGATGTTGCCCAGGTTCCTCAGCAGAGGACATTATTCTGTGTGTGAATTTAATCCTGCAGAGATTGTGTATTCATGTGATAAAAGACTGCATTTTAAAGCAGTTAACAGTTATCATGGTGTTTTGGTTTCTTTGTCACTTTTGTTTGGTTTTGTTTTGTTCTGGGCCTGTGGGTTTATTTTTTTTTATTTTTTTTTATTTATTTTTTTTTTTTCCCCCACTGGTTATACAGCTGTATTTCACAGAAAGAAAAACAGATGGGAAAAAAGAGGGTCAAATGGTGGAAGGTTAAAGAAAATGTACACATGAGGAAAGACAAATATCAGTAGAGATAGAGGAGAAACGGATTTCACAGAACAAAGTGGAAAATTAAATTAAAAGGGAAAGAAAACACAGTGGAAGAATTATCAACTGGTTTCAGTAAAATGCTGTATTGAGTCCTGAGGGGATTGTTGTCAAATCTGTGGATAATAATTTTTCATATACTTGGCACAATATTCTTTCAGTTCTATCTCACATCCTGTTTTCATTTTGCATTCTCGAGGTTCATTGAATTTGTTTCTTTATCTCCACTTTTTCTCATCTGTAGATTCTTTTTCTATCCATAAACCTTCTGCCCCACATATTCTTCTTTCTTTCTCTTGGTGTCTTATCTCCTTAAACTAGCATAATTGGCTTTAGATTTAATAATGAAGTGCTATGAAAAGGTTATCACTGATGCAAAATAAAGCAAGATGGATTCTGTTGTTTATTAAGCATGAAAGGCAAGCAATTGGTGATAAGAAATTTTTTATAATGGTGCTACATATGCAAAAAATACTATTGCCTTTTAAGAATTACATGCACAGAATACTCCAAATTAAAAAATGTCCTGAGCTATAGAAACCCAAATAGCTCCTCAATCTTTTTCTTTGCTTTCCAAATTGTACTGCTTGCTCTATTAAACTTCTGCAGTTACTGAAAGAGGAGATTAATATGCAATAATTTCACTTAATAAGTCCTTTTCTAACTTGGGAAATCTTAAAAATTTAGTTTTGGCTGTCAGCAAATAGCTTTTTATCCTAAAACCTGGCCACCTACTTACGGTTTTTGGATATCTTTGCCATGTGGCCTAAATTTGTTTTCTTCTGAAACTTATAGAACTCACATAGATATAATTGATGGGTATTTTAGTTTGTAGTCATAGTTTAGTTACAAGCATAGAGCAGTACTTTTGCCCTCTCTGATAACGTATGGCGAACACTTTAGTGATTTGGTTATTAGAAGTACTTGCTATTGCCCCACTAATTCCTTTGCCTCTCATTATGTCTTAATCACTAGGAGAGAGCCTATTGAAGAATGGTAGGCAAGATTATTTTGTGGGATACTAGCTCAGTTTACTAGTGAAATATCTGGTATTGGAGACATCAGTATCTCGTTTTAGAATCATAGAATTGTTCAGGTTGCAAGGGACCTTTAAGATCACTGAGTGCAACTATCAGCTTAACACTGCCAAAACCACCACTAAACCATGTCCCTCAGCACCGCATCTACCTGCCTTTTAAATACCTCTAGTGATGGTGATTCAACCACTATCCTGGGCAGCCTGTTCCAAAGTTTGATAACCCTTTCAGTGAATAAATTTTTTCCTGATATCCAATACGAACCTCCCCTGGTGCAGCTTGAGGCCATTTCCTTTTGTCTGACCGACCCCCACCTCGCTACAATCTCCTTTCAGGTAGTTGTAGAGAGAGAGAAGGGTCTCCCCTCAGCCTCCTTTTCTCCAGGATGAACAACCCTACCTCCCTCAGCAGCTCCTCATAAGACTTGTTTTCCAGACGCCTCACCAGCTTCGTGGCCCTTCTCTGGATATGCTCCAGAACCTCCATGTCTTTCCTGTAGTCAGGGGCCAAAACTGAACATAGTTTTTCTTATCCAGGAAATATGAATATTTGTTATGTTCAGTCATTTTGCATCGTTTCCTAAATCTTAATGTTTCCCAGGAGGCTACTGACTGCAGCCATCATCCCCAGGTAGTTCTTGGGAAGCAAGGAGAGCTATCACAAATATTTTCCAGACTAAGACCTTAAATAGGCATTTGCAAAACCACTCTCTTAGTTAAGCCTTTTTTCAGTCATTACTGTTTCTCAGGCATCTGTCATGACAGCTGAAGGAACAGCAATGAATGCATGCACATGATGGACTACGTATATGAGAGGAAATATATTTGGAAATAGCTGCAATTAGATTAATCTCTGTAATAAATAAGCCAAAGCAGTAATAAAATGCTATGATGACTGTTTCCATACATCTCAGATATTAGATGAGAACTTCTTTTAAAGCAATCTGTAATGTAAATCAAATTACCTTAGAATTGGGTTTTTGGGAAAGCGTTAAAAGTGCTCTTATACACATGTTCTGTTTCCAACACACAAACTCAATGTTTTCTTTCCTCCCCTGCCCCCCCCCAATTACAGGGATGCTGGAGAAAGATCACTGTGGATGACACTATGCCTTTCAGTGAAGAGGATCATTTGTTACTACCAGCTACAACCTGTCAAGCTGAACTTTGGCCAATGTTGCTATCCAAAGCTATCATTAAGCTGGCAAATACTAGGTATGTTTAATCAGATCACTTTTGATTTGTTTTGTGAAGTCACACAGAATTTGCAAAAAGTTGTTATAGTATACCTGGGAAATATATTTTGCTAAAAAATTTCTAATGACAAATAGACATTTTTCTGAAAGATGACATAGAAAATCAGTAAAGCAGGGTCCCCTGTAGCTACAGAAGGTGGTGTGCTGCTGTGCTAAATGTGTGTTTGTTACACTTGTGCACAAAAAAAAACTTTGCCAAGAAACTGGAGTGCTCTCCCTGTTTGTTCTCTCTGTTTACCATTATTCCTAAAAACATTCATATGTGGTTTTCTGCCAAATGTAAATTTCCAAGAAGATTTAATGAAGTTTTAATTGTCAGCCTTAACTAGTATTGACTTAACCAGTACTGAAAGTAGAGTATTGTCAGCTACTTTTGATGCTTTTGCTATAGTTCTGGTGTTGTGGGCTGTATGGTGATCCAGTTCCCTAAAACTGACCTGGAAAGCAGAAGATGACCCATGGTGCAAATGATTTACAATTATGGCCATAGATTCCTATGAGGTGAAGAAGTGTTTAAATGACTAAGGTTCAGTAAAAAATTCAAAACTCTGATCTGGATAGTCAAGTTTCCCTGTTCTGGTCATATCAGCTTATGTTTGTTGAAAGAATGATTTAAAGTACTACCAGACAGGCCAGGACTTGTCTAGAGCTGCCCATTAAGAATCTATTTTTGCATGAATGTGTTTAAAAAACAGTGTTTCTCCAGAGTACAATGGTTAGTCATGGCCTGGTGCTGGCATCTTCAGCCTTGGTCTTCTCAGGATCTATAGACAGAAATCTCTCCAGAGAGTAGGAGACTGTATCTGTTGGAAAGAGTGGAGTATGGTATACTGGAAATACAGCCAACTTTTGCATAATAACCTGGGAGCTAAAGTAGCTGTTCAGGAAATAGAAGTTCTAGATTCTTATCCCCCTTCTAGTGTGAGGGATTTCAAACCCACATCTCCAACCCTGCAAAAAGAGGCTTTACTGTGTGTCAGTATATATGGTATGCTTGCTAACAGTGTTGAAACCATGCTGGTGTACTGTAGGTAACGCTAAAATAATAGGCCTGATGCAAAGGTATAAAAGCAAATTTGACTTTCTATGCTAGTAGTCAGTAGTGGGTTGGAAAACCACTAAAATTGCAAATAACAACTTGTTTTTCAGCATGCTGTTCTATTTGTGTATGGTCTTGCTCCTACAGAAAGCAATGTAGACTTACAGACTTCACTTCTGTATAATGTCTGCTTTTATCTTACAGCATAGATGTAACCAGAAAAAGAGAGCTGGAGGAATTTACAATTCTACAGACCCTGACTGGATGGATACCAGAAGTTATTCCTCTTCAGTAAGTTCTTCTATTAAATAAGTTACATATCGGTTGTTTAATATTTAATTCTATAAGGCATCATGAAAAATAAAGCTGAGCCCCAAAAGTCCTTCAGCATCAATTTTGACAAGTGTACAATTTTTACTTCTGGCACCTGAGAAATGTGCCTTCAAAGAGTGCAGTCTTATTGTGTTTTCCTTTGTAGGTCATACAGTTGCTTGTAAAGCTATTTATCACCATAAGCTGATGCCTATTCTTTATAAAATTAATTTATTTTTTACTAATATTAAACACTGTGATGAAAACAGGCTTAGAGAAACCTATGTTTTATCTATTATACAGATATAAAATGTCTGCCACTAATAATAGTAATGTTATATTTGGATGTACTATGGAAAGCATACATCATGAATTTGGAAGTAAGGAACTTCAGCTAGTATGTTGTTTTCACTTTTTAAATTGGAAAAGTTGATAAATCTTTATTTCCAACATATTTTTGTTGTTTCCTGTGTGTTTTGAGTGCATTTTGTGGTTTTAAAGAAGAGACATTCTAATTTTCTGGCTTGACAATCTTTTTAATGAAAGAATGACTGGGATACAGGCATTAAATATTTAGATTTTTCTTTAAATTACACTTTTTGGCCTTTTGATGTATACATTTTAATGAATACATAGATAACAAATAGTTTCAGTTTATGTATTTTTATTTAGGTATAATTGTTTATTTTTAACAGTATTTCAGTATTAACTAAGTTCAGTCAAAGGGTATTTTAGCCCTTATTTCAGCAATTTTTATATCCCAAGCTATGCTTTAAGTTTAGGTTTTTGATAAATTGGTGTCTTACAGTAGTGTTTGTCTAGCCCATGGTCTTAGAAATCTAATGTGAACACCACAGAGTCTTTGCAATAGTAGTATAAGATTGCTTTAGCTCATTTTGCAGTCAGTTTATTTAATTTTTTTTTTTAAAGGTTGCTTTCAGTTAGCTTGCATGAAGCTTATTCATGGCCCTGAAAAATTCATTCAGTTCTAGATTATTTCTGGAATCACTGTGTTTTTGTGGAGAGTCAGTATGGCCACAACTGCCATGTCATATCTGAGAGCTGTTGTAGCTGGTGGAATCAGTGGAAGAGGCATGGAACTACCTGTGCTGAAACAGTTAGGAAAACCTAGTTTGGAAGTCGCTTTGAGGAGGTTTTTAATGTACAGAGCCCGAACCAAGTTATACAGTGTAGTTGCAAAATGGTCTGCAAATTTCCTTGCGGCAATTATCTCCTAAAAAGCTTTAGAAAGGATGTTTTATTTATGTGCTTTTATAACCACCATCTCTTTCTTTATGAATCTGTCTATAATCTGTTTCTTAACAAATTGGCTGATGCACAAAAATCAGGTTATTATTTACCGAAATAACCCAGTAACCTTTCTAAGAGTTGGACTGTCAGTTGTTGTATAGAGTTGTGCAAGTAAAAATCACCCTTTCTTTTCTGTATGTTTATATATCATTTCCATTGACATATACACGTGTGTTTTGTTTAAAGGCCTGGATACTTGGACAAAGTCTGGGGCCTTTTGAAAGAGATTGTGCCAGAATTCAAGTTTCCAGATAAGAAAATTCCAGAACCTGATATTCATCAGTCAGATACAAAACCTGAAAAGACCAAAGTTTTACATGTGAATAAGCATTCAGAGAAACCCGAGAAAGCAGATAAAATTGGCAAAGGTCTGTAATTTTAGGTAGCGTTATCTTTGTAGGCCAAGCCTAAATAAAGTTAATATAACCTTTGTCTTTGAATTTCTATGTCTTTATTATGCCACATGCAAGTCTGTGCGTTTGTTGTTGTTTTACTGAACATGTTGCAGTGGTGTAAATTTTAAAAAGTTTTGTTTTAACTAAAGATCTTATTAGAATCAGGACTAGTCTCTTATTTTATGAAAACAGCTTCATTTTATGGCAGAGGTGTTCAGCTCTGTGTTACAGCCATTTCTCTAAAGACTGGTTCCTTGCAGAGGGATAACAATCAGAGAGGTTACAGTTTTCCCAAAGGCAAAACTACTCTGACCATCAATAAATTATGCAATTCATAATGGATGTTACAAAGGGTGATTACCTGCAGAGGGTTCTGACAAGTACATTCTAATGACTACCTGCGTTTTTATTTATAGCAACTTTTCTTTTTATACTACTAGGTATAAGTATTAATTTTCTTCAAGAACTGCTAATCCTATTTAAATTTAAATGAAAAGACTTAGGTTTAGAAACTTACTTGTTATAATATATTATTTTTTGATGTTTATATTTGACACTGAGTTTTTTTAGTTGCTGTTTTTAACTTGAAGGCATGGATGCAATTTCACAATACTTCTAATGTCTTTGGAAGGTACAATTCATATACTACAATTTCAAATTCTTCCTAGGTTTTCAAAAAAGTCTATGCCTTCCCCACTTTGAATCCCAAATACTAAGTCCTAGTGTCAAAAGTGTTGTAAAAATATTAGAGAAGACCTGGCTGAGGGGGTATTCTCTCTTCTTAGGAATTCTTTTCATTTTATGACCAGCCCAGCAGAGTAGTAGATATTTCAGTGTTTGGAATGAACATGTACCAGGATGCAGCCTCTGGGAACAGCACTGTCATTCATCCATTCTGTAATTTATTCCCAAAAAACTTTGTAAATTTAACCCTGCCTAAGACTTAGAAATTCTATTAGTAATGGAAACTGCTAAGAATCAGGGAAGCATTATGTTACAATACAGCTCTGTAAACTCGAGCTCTGAGGTTAAAAGCTCTGTTCAGATGCTTTATTAATGTTTGGGATTTTTTTTTTTATTAGAAATGTATTTTCTTATAGTCTAAGTTCTAAGGCTTGAAAGAAGGTTCTAAATGTATGAGAATTTCTTCTTCCATGTCCATTGGGAACCTATGCCTCCTCTATGTTAGATTTTTTTTTTTTTATTAGAAATGTATTTTCTTATAGTCTAAGTTCTAAGGCTTGAAAGAAGGTTCTAAATGTGTGAGACTTTCTTCTTCCATGTCCATTGGGAACCTATGCCTCATCTATGTTAGATTTTTTTTTTTTTGCACAGGAGCAAGGACATGAAGAAGATATTTGATACAGTGCCAGGAATTCAGGAATTCCAAACATTATAGTAGTACATGAGAGTTGTGCATTAACTGGAAGGTGGGACTGAAGCCTTCCGGGCCCCTTCTCAGAAAATCTGCATTTTTATCTTAAGCTATTTTTTTTTAAACTGAATGACATTAGTTCTTTCTTTTATCTCAACTCTTCTGACTTGGAATAGTTTGTGGTTGATTTATTTTAAATTTAGCTAAAACGTCATTAAAGCATTTACACAGTATGAGACTTTATGACTGAAAATTCATATCTGAAAAAAAAATATATATTTAATCTTTATTTTGCTTAATAGAAAAAGCCGAGCAGAGAGAAGTTGGAAAGAAGAAAATCAGAGAAGGAGAGAAAGCCAAATTAACACGTCAGTCTTCACATGCGTTGCCAGAAGACCAACATTCTCCTCACCTCTTAACTGAAAGTAAGTCCTATTCATTTGAAGCTAAAAATAAATAAGACATATATGTGAAGCAAAGGACTTTACTTTTATTTGGTTTTGAACTTAATTGTAGGGAGGTTAAATAAACTACATTTAAAAAAAATGCAATTCTTTACAGGCTGCGTTACAGACTGAAGTCATTCTAACCTATTAAAATCGTATAGCTTATATTAACAATAGTACTGTAGTAATTTGTGTTTGATGTCAAAAGGTAAAGTAAAACTATGTGGAATATTTCAAAGTTGCTGGCCAGTCATGTAGGACCAAGATTTGTTCTAGTGTAAACTGTCTTTCTTTATTAAAAACAAACAGAGAAACAAACAAAAAACCACCAAAACTCCTTCCTTTCTAATAACGTATTTGTTCAATATCTACTTTATTCAGTAAATTGTGATTGGAAAAAAAAAGAATGCTGCTTTGTTGAAGGGCAAGGTGGGAAAGGCACCCGAAATACTCATTAGAGTTCCCTCCATAATTTAATTGGTTAATAATTTTTTTTCCTTTATCCTCGAAATACATTTTGATAAATTTATTTTTTGTATTGATACATTCATGACAGCATAAAAATTAAATAAATTAATAAATAATTAATTTCTTGCATTGTTTTTAAAATTAATTTATTTATATTTATTTTATTATATTTAATTTTTTTTAATAGAGTTAGAACAAACCACATGTAAATACTAATCGGTAAACTAATCAGTCAATAAGAAATCTTGTGCTTACTAGCATAAAGTACAGAAAATCTTCATAAATGTACATTAATCTGATTTGCTTATGTCTTTGCTTATATTTGCATACATGTGACATTTCCATATCATGAACAAATGGAAATGTATTAATTAACTGGAATATTATCTAATTGCAAATCAATGGGTAAGAATAGGCAGAGCATCTTTGTCTGGGGAAATAACTACAAAGTAAAAATGTGTAACAAGAATGAAACTCACTATGTAAATCAGATTCCTGCTTCTTGATTTAAGTCCTGATTAAAATTGGTGGTTTAAATAATTTATATCAAATCAATATTGCTGTTTGTCATCAGCAAACATATTCATTTGAATTCCTACCTTATATACTACTAAAGAAGTTAAACAGCAGTAAATTTTAAAATGTATCACGGGAATGTAATTTGCTTTAGTGGTAGTAGTTGCGGAATAGAAAATGAGGCATTTCACATGAATATAAGGGACATGATTAATGCTCAAGCATGTTGTGGGGAAAAGAAAGAAATGGTGAAGCACAAAGATCAAAGTGAAGAATTCTAGAAATTGTGCATGATAAGTGAAAGAGCATTACAAATCATCAGGCAGTGTTTCCATATAAAAGAACTACATGACATTTTGATCTTTGTTCTGCCATTTAAAGCACAGCTTATGCTGTTTTCTTAAAGTCAGTTAGTGGCCTGCAAAGAGGTTATTTAGAAAGATTATTAGTTTGGTGCTCAAATATGATGGCCAGAGAACTTTTATCCTGAGTCTGAACCAGAAAAGAGGTCTGAAAAACAGTAAGAGGTAGCTATATCACTAATAGACCTAATAAGAATATGAATAGACATAAATGGGGAGATTGCACAGTCAGAGACTGTAAGGTATGGAGCAAATTTAAGGTTATTAGACTGAAAGGAAGGAAAAAAAGAAAGGGTAACTGCCATTTGAAATAATACTGAATTAAAATGCATTTCTGAGGTGAGAATGTAGCCTGAAGAGAAAGCTTGCAGGGTATATGAGACCGATGGTCTGCAGAGTGACCCAGGACAGTAGAATCATTGTTGCACTTAAAGTAACATCTGAAATTAGGCCTAGGTTCAAAGTCAGACTCCAGAGGCAGTAGTTGTAAAAAGTTTCTGAAGTGTTCTTAAGAATTTTGTAACAGTGACTTCACTTACTACAACAGCTTTTTTTTTTCTGTTGGTTTTTATTTTGGTTGGTTTGTTTGTTTGTTTTTTTAATGTAAGTGGCTTGAAAACTATTTCATTTCCTGCACCATAAAAGTGCTTATTTTCCTACTGCAAGTTTTCACTCTGCCTATTGAGTGTGAGGAAATTAAGGGATTTGTTCTTTTTTCTGTGGTAAATGCAAATTATTTCTAAAGAGGAATTTAACTACTCTTGTTATCACTTACATCTTACTTCTAAAATGGCAAAACCTTTTGTATTCATTACGTTGTGTATTCTCTGCATTATATATTCATTATCTTGTTTATTTTCATACGCATTGACATACCAGTTACTGCTAAGTATTTTGAAACTTCTCTTAGGGCTTTTGATATTGTGCGGGTTCCAACGCTGTGGTGGATTGATGCTGTCTGACAGCAAAGCTTCCACCCAGTCACTCGCTTGCTCCCCTCCAGTGGGATGGGGTGGAGAATCAGATGGTCTGAACCTCTTGCCCACCCCCTCTATCCCACTCACTGGGGCAGCAGAGTGAGAATCAGAAGGCTTTAATGCTATGTGAGCTCAACCTTGGAGTGTTATTGACACGGTTTTGGTCACATATCTGAAACAGCACCATACAGGCTGCTGTGAAGAAAATCCATCCCAGCCAGACCCAATATAAATACATAAATACAGTTCCAAATCACTTGTGCACTCAGATCAATGCGTGATGCACCCCCCAAGTACAGTATGAGTTGCAGGATCCTTGAAGCATTGAACCTGTTTCTCTATTCATCCTATTCTGTGAGTCCAGCGGAATAATGAGCCCATCATCTGATCAGTCAGGGCCCTTCTTGAGAGCAACCAGCTCTTCTGTCCTGTGGCTTATCAGCCAGCCAGTCCTTGAGAAGCTTTTGTAGATGATTCATATGTTCCTGCTGACCCGTTTTTTGCACACAATCTGCACTTTTCCACTCCTCAGCCTTTTCTTCTAGTGGCTATTTCTCCTTTCATACCTAGGGGGTCCATTCATTTCATAAAAGGTTTTTGTGATCAGACGATATGAGCTACTTAGGTCTCTTGTTCTTATATAAAGCGCCACCGTTCCAATTCCTGTTTATGTTTCTAGACTAATAATTTTCCTAATAATTTCTAAACTGCTGGAAAGGGAATACTATTCCACTGGAGAGGGCACTAGCCAGGAATTTGGGAGTTTGTTCTACAAACCAGCCATTTGTTTTTCCTAAGTCTCATTGTGCCTTCATACCAGTTTTGTAATTAGAAACAATATTATTTTCTATGTCACAGAGGTGTTGGGAGATTATTATTATTGTCACTATATTTAAAAATTTCTGAAGTCATACAAGTAGATCTGTAATGTTAATCATCAGTCAATGAGATATATAACACATAACTGCAAAGTGCTTTCCATTTTCCTTTTGTGTATTCAAAAGAGTTTTCACTTATAAGTGCAGACCAGAGCCTAATATTTTCTTCTGGTTTTTCGAACGCATATTATCATTCTGCAATATTTATGTCAATTTGGAAAAACACATAGGTCATTTTTCTGAAGACTGAAAAAATACCCTCCAATCAGCAAAGCTAATCCATGTCTAACACAACAGCAGGGATTAGCATATGAGCTGCAAACCTGATAAGAAGGATATTGAAAGCCAACTAAAGTGTTTTGGAAAGTTAAAACTCAGCATCAACTTGTTTGACAAATAGATATTTAAGAGAAACACTAAGATATAGTGAGAAAATTCTTTGTGAGTCTTCAAAACCTATGATATTTTTTAAAATAAAAACGCTTAAGAACTATTAAACCCAACAATTTTCATTCCTGGCCTTTCTTTTTAAGTGGCTGGATATATATATTATGTGGATCAGTTCAAATGATGCTTTCTTTTCTCCCATTTGTTCAGGTTATGTAGTACTCACTCTCTGTAAATGAATTTGCAAAGCCGCAGATGTGAAACATAAGCAGCTACAAGGATTCGGAAATCTTTAACAAAGCACCTCAGAATTCTTACTGATGGATATAAATAATTGGCTTTACTGAATCTGTTTTATTGTGCCATATGTCATAACATTTTTCATCTAATAATACAGTTTTATCAAGTCGATTGGTTTTAACTAGTTTCCTCAGATGCTGAATTCACACTAATCAACAGTACACTTGGTGGCAAATAATTTGCATATATCCTCCTCATCTTTTCTGCAGTGAAAAAAGATCAATTGCTATATTGTTGTTAAAAGGTACTGCCATAGCATACAAAATCTTTCTAGGATTGTAGTAGGATTGTTAAAGTGAGTATGGTGTGCCTGGTTAATCATTTGCATGCTCTAATAAATTGTTCATCACTATCTATTGTCTGCCCTGCAGACGTTTTCTTTCACATCCCATCTGGTCTCAGTATGACAGCTTTACATTCCACCTAGTATTTGATTAAATACTTTTATTTGAGAAATACTTCTCACAAGGAAAGAGATCGGTGTGCCTTGAGGCACGTACTGTTCTGTAATGTGTAGTACATCACAGCTACGACTGCTGTATTTGTAGCAGATCAGATTTGTCAGTTGTGACTGAGATCAAACCTAGGTTATAGACCCAAGAGCTGTGGTTAACACTGGAATCACAAGCATGCAGTGAGAAATTTTAAGTATCCACTGGAAAGTAACTCTGACTTACCATCAGCTTGTATTTAATTGAGAAGTTGAATTTCTGGAAGAATATTTAAGATACAGAGATACCTTACTGCTTTAAGAAAAAAGCCTTGCAGATCTGGATGATTGTGTGGCTGCCTAGTGCAACAGATTTACAGGGGTAAAAGAGTGAACATACCCCTGCTTTTATGCCTTGCCTATGGCAGGAAAACAAGCTTCCATAAGGCATGTAGGATAAGAACTACAGGGTTACCCCCTCACACTTTGTGAAGCAGCCATCATTATTTCCATTTTTCCATCTCCTTGACAGAAGTAAGAGCAGTAACCCTGAATTATGTGCACTTGGTTTCTCAAACTACTTATTTCAGTCTTCATATTCATTGGCAGGAGTAGCCAGAGCTCTGTTCTTTGTTTTGTTGGCAAGATCAAATTTGGCTTTCACTGGTGAGAAGTCTTTAGTTAGTACTCACCAATCAGTGTGTTTTTACTTCATCTACTCAGATGATGTGTATATTGTTCTTTGTGCTAGTATCTAGTATTCTTAAAATTTGAAGAAAACCAAAAGAGCAATAGCATCTGACCTGTTGCATTTCTACGTTGTAGTTTCTGGTATTCATTTGTGTAAAAGAAGTAAAATATGCAAAACCCATTGACAGTCTAAGCAGGCAATGATTAAAAAACAATGTGTTTTTTCCATCTGTGGCTTCTCTTCTGAGTACTTTACAGTGCACTCTTATTTTCACATAAATAACAGTCAGAAGAAAAGAATAGTAAAAATAAGGCAGAGAAAGCAGAATAATTTAGGGTGGTACAACAACATTTATTTACTGTTTACCCTGTGCTAAGGCATGTTGTTGTTTTCTCTTTAGAATGTTCCATACCAACCCAGCCAGAAATGGCCGTGTATGCTGCCTGTACTCCACTACATTTGTTTGAAGAGGATAGTTTTACGTTAAGGCAAATGGTAAGATTCCATGCTCTCAGGACAGAAAAGCATTATATATTTTATTATCAGAGTGTTTCATTTTGTAGTAACTACGTTGTAATGAAGAGAATAAAACTGGTATAGTGAAACAGTCACCAGGTAATGACCATCAGTTAAATTTGTATTTTGGTACTTCTGTATTCTGATCATGTATTTTCCTGCCACATCCCTGCGCATTTTTTTCAGTTTTATTCCACTTTCCTCTGGATCCCAGGAGACCTCAGCTTGGATTTGGACTAGAAAATGTATCATGATGAGATACTTCTGGATGGAAAGACTTATTATTTTAAGGGCTACTTCAAAAACATGAATTTCAAATTTTTTTCAGACTTCAATTAGTGACTTCTCTGATATAAATTTTCTGATATGTTGTTCTATAAGAAATAGCGTGTTTATACCCATTTCTATCATTAGTAATGTAACTGGTGAAAGCAGCTGGAAACAGTGTAGCATTTCATGCAGCTGGGGTGAAAACAATGCTTAAATTTTCACTTAGTCACTCACACTACAGAAAGCTATTTATAATGCCAGAGCAGACTTTCTTGAGTTGATTATTAATTAGATTTAATTTTTGCTCATTTAAATCATATTTATCATAACGAGAACATTAAAATTTACTCTGCCTTCTCGTAAAACTGATAGGTTTCATAAAGAAATTTCCAGAAATGGTTTGCAGGTGTTGTGCTTTACTGCTCTTAATTCATGCTCTATTTTCTTTTTTTTTTTAAATTCTTCTTTGTGTTTAATGCTGTTTGGAAGACTAGCTCATTCTCTGTGATTTTATTTTGATTTATATTAATTTTAGACAATACTGTCTCTTTGCTAATAACAAGTAATACTAGCTATCAAAAAGCAAAGTGGAAACAGTGACATAGGGTAATATCTTTTCTGCCACCTAGGACCTTGAGTCTCAAACTTGGCTTTAGTCCATTAGGGTCCAGAGATTACTGACAAAGAGGCATGGCAGGCCAAATAGGATGAGGCAGGTGGACCTTTATTTTTAAAAAAGTATTTTAGTAAAGACTGATAGAAAAATGGAAGTTGACAGAAATTAAATATAGAAGCGTAGTGGATTTCTGTAAGGCCTCAGTTAAAAAAGCCCATTTTCAAGCTTTCTTTGGGGGCTGAGAAATACTACATCAATAGAAATAATTAAAGTTTGGAAGAGTGGGTTCATAGCTTGGGATAAGAGTTGTTCCCTACGTTTGGAGGAAACTTTGTTATTGGCTGAAATTCTGCCAGAATTTCCCTCCAGAATTTTTGCAGTATTCCTTTTTTGCTGCACTTTTCTACTGTGTATGTCCTTGGATTGATGTGGCTTGAATTTAATTGTCCTAAATTCGCTCAAATAAAATGAACAAAATCAATAGTTGACTCATTCAAGTGTGTTTCCTACTCAGCAGATGACAAGTTCTCCTTTATGGCACCTAGCTGGTCCTCTTCAAAATCCTTTATAATCTCAGAGGTTTTAATTTGCATTTTTAAGTTGTTTAGATATGTGTGTACCCAGTCACCACTCCTGTAATATATCTTTATAAATTCAGAGGAGTTATCAAATGAGGCTGATATATTGCTTGTGTACCTTAATGTGTTTAATTTGGTCGTCTCCCTTTAAATAACCACAACTACATTCTTTGCAGTTTGGGAAACAGAAACATTTGACGGTGAGCAGGAGCAAGCAGAGACTTGCTGATGAACAAGTTAAAGAAATAAGTTATGGGTGATTTATTTAGCAACCAAAGGAAGATGTATTTTTAAAATCAAAGGCATGTACAAACCTTGTAACAGAACTTTCAGAAGTAAAAATATTAAGTCCTGGAGTATTATTATTTTAATGGGAAGAGCACCACACAATGACCACATCTAAAATTGCTCTTAAGTCTATTGCTTTGGTATATGGGTCAACAGTAGTGCCTGTAATGTGGTTTCTAAATTAGCCAGCAGATAAAAATCTTAACTTTAATGATGTATTGGTTCAAAGACATATTACATTACGGAGATTTCATAAGTTATCTAAAAGACCAGTTGCTTTTAGAATTCTGCCGCTTTATAAATTCAGCATGAAGTAAGGTCTTTTTCTCAGAAAAAATATTTTTAAATGTAAATTTAAAGCAAAATGTTGTCACTGTTATTTTTGAACATCTTAATTCTCCTTCACTTAAATTTTTCTGTAGTGCCTAAAAGAATATGGTTATATAAATAAGTTGAAAGAAGTGATGAATCTGTTATGAAAAGAAAAATCTATTGAAACACTTCTAAGTATGCCATTATACCTTTTTCTGCTGAAAATCAAATCCTAATTAGAATGTTTATGGGTAGCCTTGTCAGGTGAATGATTTTTTGTTTCATTTGTTACCCAAGCTGTTAGATGCTTTTGTGTGAATGCTGGTTTTTTTTTGAGAGAGAGATATGAGAGCTGACCACAGTGAGATAATCTTTCTGTGTTTCATAGTCTGTTTCTTCAGAGAAGCTGAGGCAAAATGGGCTTTCCCATGTACATAGCCATCCTGTCCTGATTACTAGAACTAGGTCCTGTCCTCTGGTAGCACCACCACAACGGCCACCAGTTCCTCCTTGGAAACTTTTCCGTCAGAAAAAGGAGACTGTTGTGACATCTGAACCTCAAGGTTTGTCTACTCAAACCTCCAGAATATATTTTTAATTACATCTTAATTATTATAAACTTTTTTCCTAGGAATTACTCTTTCTTACTCTTTTTTTTTTTTTTTTTTTTTTTGATTGCCAATTTTGTGCTACTTCCCCTTAGCCCTATTATTTCTTAAATGCTTTGAGCAGTGTCTTAATTTATCTCTGAGAAAGCACTCTACTGGAGAAAATGAAGAGGGAGTGTTATCAAAGCAACACAGAGCAAAGCCATGACAGCTTCTGAACACCTTTTAAACTTCTGAAGTATGTGACTAGTGCTGCTGCAACAGATCATAGTTTTAGGGGTAAACTTGTTCTAGGGTTTGTCTATACTGTGTAATGGAGTTAAATGCGTGATATAAGACAACTTGAATATGAAAGCATTACAGGCATGCTAGCAAAAATTACTGGGGTCAGAAACAGAGGAAATCAGCAAAGGCAAAATGTGCTGCCATTCTGAGCTGCCTTGGATAACCTTGCATACAGGTTAAGAACACTTTTAATACCTTGCAGGCTGAGGATCAGTGTGTTAATTTTTTCATGATATGCCACTAAAGCCACAACCCCTGGTTTTACTCTTCCATTCAAGTGTATACAATGATACTTGGCAAATAGAATTATTCAGGGGTGATGGATCCACTATGGAAATTATTTGTCAAAATTGCAGTATTAAGTATTCCCTATGAATATATATTTAACAAGTTACTGCTTTGTTCCAGAGCCTGTGGTAAAGAAACCTGAAGAATATATTGAGATTGCTAGCCTATTTTTGAATTACAAATTGAATCTTATCACAATACCCACAGACATGTAAGTATTCAATGTAGTTTCAGCCCTAACATCCTGTTGTTGGTCCGTTTCACTGTGAAAGCACAATGGCTTATGTTTACTGGTGTCACAGGGCAAAGCTGCTCAATTTATGTAGTTTAAAGCACATCAGGATAAGAGCACTCTATTGTTCTATAGATGTCACACAATTAATTGGCAATGAGTGAATTGTACATTTAGGATCAATATCAGCAGTGCAATAGATAGACCACTATATTAGATGCTTACAAAGCATTAATAAACACCTACACACTTCTGAACATCTTTCTGTAACTAATCCCAAGAATTTCTAATCATGCACACAGAGAAATACACACATTCTCTTTTGGGAGTGCAGGTTCTTCTAGTTCCATACATCTCCTGTTGGAGGTGCAAACTGGGATGCTCTGAGCTTTATATGCTGTTCCTACACTCTGCTAATCTACACACTGGTGAAAAAGCCAACCAGGAGGTGGACATGTACACCGCAGAGGGGTGGGTCCCAACTTGTCACGCTATATGGACACTCCCCGATTTGGATGCATGTTTCTCAGGGCATCTGATATTGAAGACCAGGGAGCTATGTCAGGTAAAAACACTTTACTGGTTTCTCTACTCATTGAGTCCAAGGACATAGAATATTCAATAGATTACTTCCACCACAGATGGGAATATTCTTTGATATCTTTCAATTTTTTCCTTCAAACTACCAGTCTTTTTCAACTGTTGCAGTTAACAAGGAAGTCATTGACTGGCCAATCAGTACTTTCATGGGCATCACTTATTTGGCACAGAACAGTTACTGCTAATGTTTATGAATAGAGCAGGCTGTTCTCTGTTCATTGTAGTTGTTACAAGAAGCCTGAGAGTGCAGGTGAAGCAGCTCATGCTTGAAATATGACTTTGTATAAATGTCTTGTGTTAAAGACTGTTTAGAAGTCCTATAAACCTTTGAAAACCAGGGTATTTAAACAGGGTGTCTTAAAGAAGAAGTTTCAGAAATTGATGTATACACTAATTCAATTCAATGGTCAGCATAATACTTGCTCACTGGCAAGAAAAGGATTAATATTAAATGTATTAGGGTCTTGGTTTTCTACTGTGACCCACTGCATACTAAATTACTGTCAGGTTCAGTTTATGGTGTGAACATTTGGTAGACCACTGCTAGAATTATTGTCTCCTCTCTCTTATTCTGACTGAACTCCTGACAGAGGAAGCATTGAATGTGCCACATACCAAATGTATCACGTATCAAAGTGAGTACCAAAAGGTTTATGTTATTTTGGAGGATATTACTTTTCTGGAACCCGAGTCCAACAATAATTTGTAAGTTGTTGGAGGTGTGTGTATTTTTTTAGGTGTGTACACCTTTTGTTATGTACATCTCGAAGTAAACTGAATAAATTACATACTTGACAGGTTCTGCATTTTGATCATCGTGTTTGGATGGACTGACAATAGGCTCATTAGATTTTTTATTTTTTTTTTAATAGCAATATTTGTCCATGGAAGAAATGACCTTGGAGTTTTATGGGAATATCATTGTTTTGCTGATACAGTAGTAATTGTAATTTAGTTAAAAATGCATTAAAATACTTATTGTTTGTTTTCAAATAGCAACAGTAGAAATGCATAAAAATGCTCTAAGTAATATCAATTAATAGGTTATTAAAATAATGAGAGAATAGTAATTAAGATGTTGCAGTATTTGCATGTTAGCATATTTTATATATTTTTATTTTTTAAAAAAATTAATAGATTGCTTCATGGTCAACTTACCCCATTTTGTCAAGGACAGTTTATTTAATGTGCTAAGTTTCCATGACAATCAGCTAATTTAATCTCTTGTGACTTAATTAACAGGTAGTCACCAAAAATATATAGCAAGTATTAGCATTTCATTAAAGTAACAAACTGCCTAAATAAGATAAGGGACTTAGATACACAATTGGGACTGAAACCGTTTTTAATCTCTTGCTTTTATTTTAATAAAATATTTCTAAACACTCAAAGGGAAGATAATTGTGACTGTGTTACTTCTAAAGATCTCTATATTTCATTATCTCATCCATTAAAAAGGGGTTTAGATAACACATGCTTACATTTTTCTCTGTTCTTTATTGCTGCAGTAACACAAATAGATATTTAGGTCTAATTGGCATGTGTGTGACATTGTTTTGATCTTGTTCTCCTAGTTCTATTAACAAGCACAGTTATTTATATGTCCATCAGTTTTTACTTGTGCCTTCACTTAAGTCAGTGACAAAGTATAGCCAGAATAGCCCTTGCACACGTTTCCTTGGTTATCATGTGTTTTAGCTCTCTGGTAGCTATGGAGACCCATTTTGAGGGAAAAAGACAAAAAACTGTTCTGACACTAAACACTTTTTTTTTGCCCTACCTCTCTTTAAGTAGTTCACATTATAATTTTTTTCTGTGTCTAGGGGCTGTAGGAATTTATTCACTTCTGGTGTTAGCATCTAGTTTTCCCCAAGTAACTTGGGGTTTGGTTTTTTGAGGGTTAGTTAAGAGGGCATAAGTTCAGTTCTTTTAAGTGTAGCTATGCATGTAGTGCCAGGCCAATAATGAGAAGAAACATATGTATATAGAGATTTTGTGATGCCCAATTAAGCTGTCATAATAAAGGAGCAACAAACTATTTTGACAAAATTCTGTTAAGAATAGTAGTTTTGAAGAATGTCATTTGAAAGTAAATGTATGGATTAAAGTGTTTGAGTTTTCTTTTATTATTTAGCCGCTTTCCACGGTCTACCATCAAAAAAGGATTTCATTCCCTCTCCCGTCTCCCTTCTGTTACTGAAAGTGATGAAAATGTAAATGACAGTAATGTGGATATGAGTCAAAGTGAGAGACATTCAAATGCAGAAGATTCTCAGGTAACATTTTCCTAACTTTTTTAAACTTGACCTAGCTTTCTATTCCAAAGGACAGTTAAAGACAAAATAGAAAATACTTTATACTTAAATATAGGCTTTTAAAGGCTTTTCAGTAAGCTTTTTTTCTGCTGATGTTTAAGTAACTTCCCTGCTGTCTCCAATTCATGGCTGTTTTGGTGTGCATTATTGAGAAATCTTTCCTAACATTTTTTGGTTTAACCTTATTTTTTATTATTTATTCCTCACATTCTAAAAGTCCTATTGCTAACACTATGACATTTTTTGGTTTTGCTCTTTAAAATCAATTTGATGGGAGGTTCTTAAGAAGATAGTCAGGGATCTTTGTAAATAAATGTTTACTTCATGGATTAATATTACAATTAGCTTATTTCATCTACAGTGAAGGATGTACCTAGGCACGTGGCTGCTTGAAAAATGTAACCTTTATAAACAGATGCCTTAAAATGGCGTCCTGGTTTGGTTCTTAATTGAAAGACTTCAGGCTAAATCTAGAAAAAGAGTTAAGGCTTCGATGCTGAGTTTGCTGGCTCTTAAGTTGCAGAAACTTTGTCTTCTAAGGGAATTCTCAGCCATGAATGAGATGTTCAAGGTTCCTGAGCAACACCCTGAGAGAGTGACATTCCTCCAGACAGGTTCACTAGATGCAGCACGCTGACCGCAGGTTGTCCAAGCTACCCTGGGAAATGCTAGTTAATAGGTAGAAGTTTCCATGGTAGTTATCCAAGAGGGATAAGATGAATCTTACCCAAGTTCAGTGAAACATTGTTACTAGGATTACTTTGGGCAGTTCTAACTACTGTTGGATTTTTTTCCCTTATTGCTGTTTGTTGTTGGTTTTTTGTTTTGGTTTGGTTTTTAAGTGGTGTGTTACTTACATATGCTACCAAAGTCTGCTTTTAGATAAACCTTTACCAAGATGCTCCTTGTAACATTTAAATCTTATTTGTTAAACAGATAAAGTATACTTTCAAAGAGCTTGTGGACACTGTTTCATACAAAGTATTTTGTATAGGGAAATAATTTGCAATGTAGAGAAATAGAGACTTAAATATTCAAACAAACAGGGATCCACTGAAGTTATTTTATTTGCTCAACACCTACAAAAGAACCCAACTTGGCAGTGCCAGTATCTCTTCAATTTCATATTTATTGCAGTAAACACTGCTCATAAGAGCATCTGATAACATTTCTTTTTTTGACTTTAAGAAAATTGAGGGGAAAAAGCAGTCTAGGCAAAATAAAAATGCTTTGAATGAAGCTAGACTCAAAATCTGGATCCGACTCGATAAACCAATTATACTTTGGGGAAGATGTAGTCTCAACTTGTAAGTGTTTACTACAGTTCTCTCCTCTACATTTATTTTATATCTAAAGTAAAGAATGAGTACTTCTTCTGTATCTGTTACATTTAATATGATTATAATATCAAAAAGTAGTTTAAAAGAACCTATAAAATGCATTCATCCATACTGCTGCATAAAGAAAAAACAGCAACGAAGTCCTTACCACACAATCCCACAGTAAAAATGACCCAATTATTTTACAATTTGTACTGTTGTTTTCTGGGACAAACTGATAAATGTACTTGAGGATAGCAGTTGTGATACTTGGTTGATGTATAGTGGCTGCCTGTAGAGTTACAAAATATGTTTGAAGACCATAGACATACTGTTAAGGATAATGTTAGGTATCTTCATGAATAAATAATATAAAATAAAATTGAAGTAATTTTCTATGTAATTTTTGGAGGGCCTATTTATATGCTTACTCTTCAGAGTATGCTGTAATGCCGTTTTGGTATTAAGATCTGAAACTTGGTTGTTTTAAACTGTTTTATGTCTATTGTGTGAATAGAAAATATATGTGTGGATATAGTTATTGGGTATTTATTAATTTAAAATAAGGTACTTTTGTAGTGAAGAAGAATTCTTTGCAACAGAATATATATTTTGTTATTCTGTATTTTGTGTACATTTTATAAACAAAAGTTTAATTAGTACTTCATGACCTTTAGAAGTCTTTTTAATAATTGAAACTTAGGAAAACCATTACAAAAACAGCAGGGTGAAAAAGAGCTGTAAGTAGCATCTTACAATTTATAATAATTATTGGTTGCAAGACTTCAGTCTCTCTAGATATACAAATATAGATTTAGTTAATTATAAATTAATAGACATTTATGTGCTGGAAGCATGAAAGTAGTTTGGAAAGTCACTTTGATTTTCTCCCTACTCCAATAGTGTAAGAACCATGTGATTGCTGGTCTGTCCCAGCAGGACATACAGTCAAGGAGAGGCCAGGGCAAGTAAGAAAATATAAGACAGAGAGAGAGATTGATAATACTGGAATAGTTGGAAGAATGCATGAGACTGACTTAGTGTGAAGACAACCTGATTCAGAAGTGAAATGTAAGATGTCAAGAGCAGCTAATTGACTTATACCTCACTTCTGCCTCAATTTAAATCTCAGCTGAAAAATGCTATGCCTGGTAATAGCTGCAGTATGAAAGTAGAATTGTGCTTGTACGCAATGCAAAATAAAATAATGTTTTTGACTTGCGGAACAATCTTTGTTTGAAGGATCTTTGAATCTTTGAAGGATATATTGAATCTTTCAATCAACAAAATTATGTGGATGTCTCTGGGAGATTCATTATGGGAGAGCTTTCTTTCCAAAGTTTTAAAATTTGAAATAATAATAACAATATACATCTATACCTTTTTTTTTTAATCAACTAGTGATCACTGAAAGAGAAACTTTGATATCTCAAACTCACTAGATTATGGATAATTTGTAGAATTTTGTATTGTAGTACACTGAGTGTGAATAAAGTTGTCTCCATTTTAGACCGTGCAATTGCTATTCAGGAGACATCTGCTTTAAAACCTTTGATATAGATAGGGTAAATCTTTGGGATGAAGCAGTTTTATGCTTCAAGCTGACTGAAATTCAGTCAGCTGCTGTGCCAGATCCTCAGCAAGTTTAAATTGGCGTATTTCGATTCACTCCAATTAAAGTCTATGAAGTTACATCACTGAATATCTGATTCACTGTTGCTAAGGTCTGTTGTCAAAGAAACAGAGACTAGTGATAAAAGAAAGATAAAATTTTAGGAGCTGGATGTACCTTCTTTGAAGAATATCAAGTTAAAAGACATGGCATTATCCCTCGTGTCCCCGAAGTACTCATGCCAAGAAATAGAAACTTTTTGTTATTTATTTTTTCAAAGTTTTTTCCCCTGAATTACTCATTCCCTCTGTTTTTACTGTTCTGAAAGCTTTTTGGATTTGCATTAAGGAAAAAAAAATATTTTTGGTGGTTAAATTGATCTTGGATCACACTGTTGTTAAGATAATACTTTTTGTGAAGTTTTTGTTTAAAAATTCCATAAATAGGGCCCAGGTCTTTAATGAAGAGACTTGCTTTTATTCTTCTTCAGTAGGAAGCTACGTTATGTGTGTAAGATGCATTGAAATGCAGGTGAAAGTAGATTTTTGGCTTGTTCGATTTGGTTAGAAATAATTATTTGTGGAATAATGGCTCCCTCAACTAGAAGGTTTTCAGAGTTTGATTTTTCTTTCCATTTTCATTCGTTATCCACTTTTGTGGTCAGGAAAATGCAAAAAGGCCATCATATGTAAATTGCACAGTGTCTTGCAATTTTCTCTAACAGTGATTTTGGCAAACTCTTTTGAGAAAAATATTATCTTGGAATAGTGTTTCCTTGTAGCCCTGTCATTCAAAAGCCTTCTTGAGTATTCTTCATCAAGATGACTTTTTTGATACAAGTTGTTACCAGTTCCATTGAGAAGAAAGCTGTTTACCTTCTGTTCGAGGAAGTGTTGAAAAGTAACAGCAAGAAAAATCTAATCCAAGCACTTTTACCATCAATTTTAATAGACTGATCTGATTGCTATATTCAGAAATCTTAAGCAGAACACACTGATTTTTTCTTTCTGGCTTCTTCAGTGTCAAGCTCCCTGGCAATACTACTTCCTAGAGCATAAGGGTTAAAATTTCCACTCTCTCCCAGTGACATAAACACAATATATTTGTTCTTTAATGTTCACATTTACCTACTTTTTCTGACTTCAGTGCTATCCTTTTACATATGCAAGCTCAATCTTACCTTCTGCTTTACAGCTGGTAACAGTCTGTTTAGTTTGCATGCTCAGTTGTGTGAGTTTTTCATGTTCCCCATAAACATTCCAGACTGCTGTGTTATAACAAGCTTTTTCTTCTCCTCACTTTAATACTTCTTATGAGATATTTCATAACCCTAGTGAATTGGTATTGAGCCAATAGGGAGGGCTAGGTGGAAAACACAAAACTCTATTTTTTTTACAAATTTTGTAGTTTTGAAAATTACTTCAATCTGCACAAAATGAAAATTCCCTGATTATTTTTTCACGGTAAAAGCACACATGAGATATGAGGCACATAAATTAGAAGAGGGACTTGAGCTCTCAGTTTAGATGTTTGTGGTACAGAGAATCTTTCTGATGGGCCCATCAATATCTACTTGCTTACACAGATTGGGACAACTCCAACATTAGAGACTGACTAAAACAGAAGCTGAGCTGGTAGTTCAATATTTTTAATCCATTCCTATACCTCAGTCTGTGCCCAATTTTGCAGCTGTTTGTTCTTTTGTACTGCTGCCTTCTTTCAAAAGCCACCTCTGTTACCTTCTCCCACATCACAGCTAAAACTAGAACTGATGTTCCATTTAGTGAAAACACTGACTCAGAAGCAGGCAAAAAAAGAATGCATCCAAGTAGCTACAGATGCAAAATCCTTTGATATAACTCTCAGGTCAACATCAAACCTAGAAATTTAATACAGGGTTGGATATAAGGTATATCTTGGTCATTGTTGTCATTTTGGAGGTACATTTAAAATTAAATGTTTATTTAAAAGTGACATATTTGAAGCTTTATTCCTTCATATCCAGAAACCTTATTCTTAGAAGATGACTGGTGTTTTTTACAGAAGAACCAGTGTAAAAAGTTTTGCCATTCGTAATTTCTACAGTAGAAAAGGATACTGGTTTTATAAAAACATGAAATAGATTTTAAAACATATTATTTGGTTGATTTGAATAAACTGATGACATAGTTAATGTTAGGAGGCTGAACAATAGAAATGAATCCTTGAAAGTAACAAGATAGCTATAAACTTATGAATTACCATTATTTTTACAACTATGTGTTAATAAGTGTAAAACATAATAATGATAAATCAGATCTTTAAGTTAACCAGCAAATTTTCCTCACATTTTGCATTCAGAGTTTCCATTGATTGCAGGGAGAACAATAAGGAACTGAATTCTCCCTGAGTCTGTGTGCATCCTTTCATGTTTCACAGCTGGATCCAAGTCTTTTTTTATTTCCTACTTTATCAGACACTGTGGCAGCAGAGCTGACCTTTCAGACAATTTGTGTTCATTAAGAAGGAAAAATGCCTTTAGTTTCTCTTTCTGTGCCAGTGTCTTAGTCGCTGTAGCGGAGGCAACAGCATAACAGGATGAGAACTTCCTTGACACTCCCAGTTGTCTCATTATCAGTGAGGTTTAGGTAGGTGGACACATCCTGTATCATTAGAGAAGCAGACAGCTTTTGACCATGTTATGTTTGTGCCCCAAAGACTGAGTAAATGAGCCTACAGGAGACTGCATAGCTGCAGTTAGATTGCTTTCACAGCTTAAACTGCCTTCAGTAACATTACAAAGCATCCAGATTTTCCAGGGTACAATTTCCTCCTTTACTGGAAATTCTGTTGAAGCGATTTTTGAGGATTTTCTGTAGCTCTCCAGGCCTTCCTGCTGCCAGCTGTTAATACCAAAAAAGTAGCCCTATATTAAACTGCCACATGTCCCTACTAGAATCATGGATCATGTACTGCTCATGAACATTAAGTCTGGCAGAAAGTGCCAGACTCGTGGTGTGGCCATTACAGTCTCCACGGCTTGTACAGTAGACTTTATACTTCAGACACGCCCAGGATTTCTGAGAGGAAACTTGAGAAATTGTACAGTTGATGGTAAATCCTGTGCCTCCTGCAAGAAATTTGGCAGTATTGGAATCTTACCAGTTGTAGGCTCCCATGCAGAAATGCAGCAGCTCTATGCATGTGTACTTCTGAAGTCACAGTTGAAAGGGGAGATATAGTCCATGTATTACTAGAAATTTTTCAGACCCAAATGTTGAAGTGTGACTGTCAATGTCACATCACAAGTGATCATGGATTGCCTTTTATTTTGCACAGTTGTACGTACAGAAGTCTGGAAACAGGAGCTGAAGTACATGGGCAATTGCAAAATCCTGTTGTGTCCTTTTCAGCTCATTTGCTCTAGAAAAGCAAGAAATTAATCTAAAAAGGCGCATGTAAGACGTGATATATTTCAACTACTAAATTGTTCAACCAGCTGTTAACAATTTCAACAATGTCTGCATTTTTCTCTTAATTGCTGTTTATATTAGATCTGTCCCAAGCTTTGACTCATGAACATTCTTTTAAAAATCCACGACAGATTTGGAATAGAATTTAGGATTTATGCTGTGCAAAAATTGGACTTTCAGATTCTTTCAACAAAGAATACTGCAATTAAATTATAAGCATTAAGATATTTGGTGCTTCCTATCCTGGGGCAGAGTCTCTTAAACCTGTAGTTTCTTCTCTCAACATTTTCCTTTAGTTAGTTCAGAGAAGAACAACTAAAATTTTGACAAGAGGAGAGATTCCTGAGCCTATTCTGTGCCTGCGGAGGTGTTGTGAGCTGCTGCAGGAAGAATTTTACTGCAGCTAGGAAATAAAGTAGAAAGCTATAAGGCTTTCCTCTAAGGAAGCATTCACAGGTCCCTTCATACTGTGTATGCAAGGTAGTCTGTAATAGGATGGTTGAGGCAAACCTGGAGTTATAGCACAATGACCTTGTGCAAGCTTCAGCTGCTGTTGTGAGCTGCCATCCAGCCTAACTTACTCGGACTCTCTAAATTATGTCAATCTACCCCTCAAAAAAAGTTTCTAGATTGTATTGAGAAAGCGTAAAACCAGCTCTAAGTCAGTGTAGCTCCCACAACTCCTCCTTCAGATGCAGAACAGAAAATCACTGCGTGTGTCCAGGTGTTTGCCAGCTCAATGCTGTCACTATCAGCATTAACCCCTTTGACACGTGTCAAGCTGGTATTTATGAGGAGTTTGTGTGGGGGGGGAGGATGACAAATCTTGTTAAAGGGAGACCTGGGTTGAAAAGAAGCTTGCAAACTTGTTTGCAGTAGACTTTTTGGGCTTTAATAATTATCTTCACAAAGTCAAAGCTAGTCCAGTTAACCCATTATTAGTACCACATTCAAATAGAAAATAGAATGGAAACTGGCATCTCTTTCTCCCACTCTCCCTCGTTAATAAAAAAAAAGTGCAGGTGAGCCTTGTGCAGAGTGTGTCATATTGCAGGTAAGACAGCAGTCAGAAGGAAGGATATCAAAGATTTTAATCTCTCAAAGAAAAGGACCCTGTCTTTGCAAATCTAATGAATGGACTTTCTGAAAGGCTGGCTAACGATTTCAAATTTAAATGTAAGTGGATATTACATTCATATTAGTTCAGCAGTTCTAGCTTGGAAATGGGATTGACCAGGATAAAGTTGTTTGCCAAAAACATTAAAAAAGAGCAGACTACTTTTTATTTATGCAGCTGATAGAATACAAAAGATGCTGTAGCAATCAGGCATGCTGATGACAGTTGCCAATGACAGCTGTGTACATTTGCACAGCAAGAAATGCTTGTTGGAAAAAGACCCCTCCATATACTTTCCAGGAATGGGAATTTAGCAGAGAAAAGAACAGAATTGGTTCTGGAATAGCACTAATTGGTTCTTAGAATAGAACTCATTTTATTGTCAAAGAACAGTAATATCAAAGAAAATGTTTTAATAGCAGAGGAGTAGGCATATGGAACAGCTTTTATCCCAGACTCCACATCACCCATACTTCTCTAGAAAAATATCAGTCTGTCTACTGGTGATGTTTATGTAGGTATTATGGTGAATTTTATTGTTTCTATTTTTCTTTTTAGAAAAAAAACCACCAAAACTACAGTTATAACTTACTAGTTTGTTTCTCCATCTCAGGAAGGACTGCCCCCAAACCAAGTATTTTCTTTAACAAAATACTGCAAAATTATAATCTCCATTGTTGTTTTATTGTTTTTTTCACCATATAGGAGACAAACCTCTTTTCGGAGCAAAATACGGAGACACTCAATAAAAGTAAGTGTCTTTAAAGATTATATTCATGCTTCTATCATTCCCATATTGTTTGGTCTCAATATTAATCCTCATGTACAAATAGCAACAGTCTTATTTATGGTTGTCGGTTTTATGACAAAAAGATTTCAAAGAACTGGTAATACAATGTAACGGTAGAATCTTCAGATTGGCATTAAAAATCTCTAATTTACAAGAATATTTTGAAAAAATAATACTTCTCATCAGTTACTCTCCAGTAAAATATACTGAATTCCTGAATTTTGTACACAGAGCTCTTTTTCTTGTCACTGTGAATTATACCTTTTTTTTTCTGAAATGAAAAACAAGAAAAAAGGGCAACTTCCATTGTAATAGATGTTACTTTTTAAATGTGTTTGAAGGTATTAAAACTGAGTAATTTTTTCAAAATGAGTACTTCTTGGTTTAAGCGAATGTTTTAAGGGTTTGGTCAGGAGAAGTTAGTAATGATTTCCTTTTTAAAAGAAATGACCAGATTTGCTTGGTGCACAATGAGTCTCTCCAAAAATTGACTGCTAGGAAAAAGCTTTCCTTCTACTAGAATCCTGAAATCTAATCTCAGAGCAGAAGAACATGTGAAACTTGTGAATGGATTCATGTTTTATTTATACCATTTTTCATAGAGGTGACACTTGTCTTCATTTTGGTTTTCAACTCTTCAGGCCATTTAGAAGCCTGAGAAATGCACCTTTGCTTCTTAAGCATTTCTGAAGACTGCTTTTCATGGAGGGAAAAGGCATAGAATGCAAGTTTTATTTATTTATTTATTTATTTATTTATTTTTATTTGGTCTTTGTAAAATATTTATGATCTCCTCTTCCGATAACTTAGGAATACAGTAAATATCCTCAGTTAAAGCATGTGCACAACATCCTAACTTCTGCAGTAATTAAACCCAGTAATGTTTACATATTTTCACATTATCTTCATTCTGGAAAACTGTGCAACCTATCAACCATCTCTAGTAATCCCCAAACAGGGTAATACAAGATAAAGGGGGGGGGGGGGTGGGGGGACAAAAACCCTGGGTCATACTAAAAGTGTAATGGAGAGTGCTAACATTTATTTTCAGTATCTAGACACTAGATAGATACCTAGACTACATTTTTGATTTTAGATATCTTGAAGCAAAAGTAAAGCATACTTCTCCAACACCTATACTAATAAAGAGGTTTTTTTAAAAAAATGGTATATATATGTTCAGTACAGGTGAAGGGTATAATTTTGAGGTTATACTTTTAAGAACTGATAATGATGTCAAGTACTACAGTGCTTGAATGAGTTTTCTTATGTATTCTTATTTTTATTAATATCATTCCAGTAAAAAAAAAAGAACCAAACCAGAAAAATCTCACTTTATCAAAATGGTAGAATTTAATGAACTTGAAGTATATCCTTCACTTATTCTCTCACAGCTCAGTGCCAAAACCTAATAGAAATGTAGTAGTTTGCAATAGATGACTCTTTAACCCTGCCATTAATATGTCGAGACCTTGGAGTATTTTTGTAGCTGAGGCTATAAATTGGTTCTGAAGTTAGTGTTTTTCAGTAGCCACATTGCCATCTTTTCTGCTTATTCAAAGATCTTCTCATGAGATGCCCGTTGCAGAATAGCTCCCATAGCACAACAAAGGAAAAGGACAAAGTCAGCCTGTTTCCATCCTCTGGCCTATAATGCTAATAACTCACATTAGTACTGTAACAAAATCCTTTGTACTCAAGTTCTCTTTACAATCTCCAGGCCATCTCAACCCATATGTTCTCATTTCCCTGTGCAAAATCCATTTATTCCAACTTTGCATAGAAAATACTACTGATCATTACAGGATTCAAAGACCGGAGCTCTTTTTTGTAAACATATAGTGTATCATTGTCTTTCTCTAGAATATCCTCAGAGTAGAAAATCATAGCATTGCAATTCTATCTGAACAAAAATTTTGTCTTAAAACAAATAATTACACTAAATTGTGCTTTGTTTTAAAATGTAAATTTGTACATTTGCACTTATTCTGTGTTGTTTTTACAACGAAGCAGTTATATTCTCTAGATGAAGTGCTTTTCTAAGATTCCCAAATGCTTTTGGTGCAGATACTGGAAGTCATTTGTAGTATCAGATTATTCCCATGATTGTCTGTTATCTCACAGAGATCTTGCTGTTCCAATATTTGTCCAGAAACATAAATGAAACTAAAATACAGGCTGAAAATGACAAAACCAGAAAGTGAAATGTCAAACAAGCATGCTGGAATTAAGTATGACATTACTGTACAGTATATAGAGGCTATATTGAAGTAGTACACAGTAAGGTGAAAAATTTCTTTGGTCATGTGGGAAATCTTCATATTTCCCATAAAAGTTGCTAGATTTTCACATTCTGTTAAAGTGGACCTGAAGTCAATAGATTTGTAGCCTTCAGCCTTTCAGCATTACTTAGCAATTTTTCAAAATAAAAATGCAATTTGGTTTAAGGCAGAGCATGTATGATACTTCTGTTTCTTTGTTTGATTTTTTTTCATCAAAAAATCCCCTCCTCCTTCCCCCCACTGCCCTCCTTCTTAAAAAAAAAAACCCAACAAAAAAACCCCAGACCTTGAAGTAGTCTGATGTGTTCTACTTGGATAAAGTTGTTTTGCCTTTCAATTCATTTACCAGCTTGCCTGCATTTGAAATCTGGTTTATGGGCATCAGACTAAATCTGTAGTTGCTTAGGTCACTTTTCATATTTTCTTTAAAACATTTTCTAATCTTCAAACTCATGGTAGAAAACCTAGATTTAACGATCTCTTAAGTACTGTTTTGTGGATCTGAGATTTCCTGTGCCATTCTCTCTGCTCTTTTATGGAAATTAGCTACAACCTTCATATTAGGTGTGTTAAGTTCTTGCAATTTCTGCTGTAAATGGGAAAGTTCTGGTTTTGTACCTCTATTCCAATAAGCCAGCCTGTCTATCCCTATTTACTGAAGACTGAGAAAATTAAATTTAAATTTTGAACCACATTGAACATTTTCTTTACAAGGTAGTAGTTTCTCATGCTTTTTAATTTAGTAGGCTAGCAAATGTTTTAATTTGCTTATTACTGTGTTCTAAAGAGCTAGCTCATGACATCAAACAGCCAGGTACAAAGTGTCTAGATACTGAAAATAAATGTTAGCACCCAAAACTGTTGTCAGTTTGATGAGGGGCTTGATTTCCATGTAAGCACCTCAGGTAAGAGCCAGTGCTTGAGAAATTATGAGCGCTTATCAAAAGCAAAGACAGTGTTTGATCCTAAACTGTCTGAAAATGTCTCTTCTCACTTGAAGAATGTTACTTTTTAATAATTTTGGAGGTTTCATGCAGTACAGTATTTTCTTACTATATATGCAGGAATTTTTGTGATAAACTCTGCTAATGTATGTTCATTTGCTTTCTTTTTTCTTTTTTTGTATTAATTATTCTAGTTTGTATGCTGCTGTGTTCTTAGTTATTGATCTGGTTTTCTTTGTCTTCTTTTTTTTTTGTTACAATGCATGTTTTGTTATTACTTCTGCACTTGAAAGTTTTCCCTTATTCATCAAGTAAGGGTTTTTTTCCCATTTGGGCTTGATTATAGCATTAATCTTTGTTGCTTGAGTTCTAAATAGCATAAAATTCTTGAATTCAAATATGCTGTTCCCTTTTCTGCAGCTCTTTGCAGTGTTTAACTTTAGAATAAGCTCATATTAGAACCCTGTGTATTCGATTAGCACTTGTTAAAGGAATTAATTATATGATAATTATGGACAATTATTTGCTGCGATTGTCTTCCTTAGTCAGTTTTCAAATACTACTTTATACTGAACATCTTTTAAGATTTGCTTCAAATGGATTTATCATTTTATTTCATAAATTATATCTTCATTATATCACCCAGTGTTTGCAGGTTCTCATAGCTGGAAATGTCACTTCTTGCATACAAGGTAAACGATAATTAGCAGTTTGATTTACTTTTTTCTTATAATGGTATCAGGAAGCTCTGAACAACACTGTCTTTGGACTGCATAGATCAAAAAGGATAAAATATGCTTTTTGATGAAATTCTTGCAACATTCTCATTACCTGTGCAAAGAGAAGTGTGAAGAACCAGCCATTTTGTTGACACTGTTTTTGTTTTCCTTTAGCTGTAATGGAAGACCTATCTTCTCACTAACACCAGTCTGCACACAATCAATCAAAAGGTTTATGTATTGACTTTTAAATAGGGTGCAGCATATCTTCTATTTGAAGGCTGCAGAGATCTACTGACCCAATTGATCCTGCAGAAGGTCTATTGATATTACTCAAGTATTCGTGTTCAGAATGAGCACTGAGCAACACTGAGCCACAGGAAGGTAATATTGGGCATAGTTTGGCTCTGATGAGCCCTTCATCATCCTCTCTCTGATACTCACACTTGTGAACTAAGCACTTTGGTTATTTCACTGGTGTTAACTTAAATCAAAGAAAAAGCCTAGATTTTATAGCTTTCAGGTAGGTTTTCCATGGTGTAAAGAACAGAAGATCTTTGGTGCATTTCCTTACATTAGCTTTCTTTTACTTTTTGAAAAATAGTTGCAAACTAATTTAGAGCCACCTACATCTGATAAACTCATTAGTTATCTAGCACATCATTATGTGTCTTGCTGATCATGAAGTATTTCAAAGTGCATTTAAATATAAATTATGTATTTTTCTAATTAGCTTTCTCATTTGTTATACCTTACCTGTTTGGATGTTACCTCATCTTTTTCCTCAGCAGACGTTCTGAATTAATAGCTGCTCACATTTGAGCTGTTCTGTTCTACTATTCTCAGCTGTTCTGAGATATTCTCAAAACTTCCTTTTGGGTCAGAATAAAAATCTTCAATAACTATTTATATGAATGTCACAGAGTAAAGGCAGAGAAAGTGACATTATGACTCAAAAAGTTATTAAAAGATTGCAAAAAGTGTCTACATGGCATTTCTGTGTTTATATTTTGGTATGAAACAGTAGTTCTGGTTTTCCTACAAGAAAATTAATGTAATGTAGTTCAAATCTATTTCTGTTTAGAAGTAGTTAGACTGATTTGTATGAGTAGCATCACAGGGGGTACTATGTATGTACCAGAGGCAAAGATAGGTCTTTGTGTCCTCCACAATTCAATGTATTCATCATTTTCTGTGGTTTATAAAAATTTAATGATGCTGCCCCATCAGCTGTTTACTGAACAGGAGTTTTGGACATTTTCTTTATATAGATGACTTTAGGTTTGCAGAATTCATATGTATGTTCATGTAACATGCTCATAAAGGTTCTAGTGCACAGTTCAATACGTATATTGAGGCAGAATACTGAAGCAGTTGCAGAAGTAAACAACAAATATCTTTACAGAGTTGTTTCAGTCACCTTTTGAGCTTTTTAGGTTAGTGGGTTAGTTTTTATTTTTAAACTCTGAGATGTATGGAAAACATCCTGGTGATTTTAGGATAATTTTTCAGTATAACAACAGTACTGCGTTGATGTGCATGTTTTCACTGTATTGAGTCTCTCTGTCATCTTGTCTTGGCAGGAGAATGTTATGAGAATATCAGTTTTGATGCAAAACGAATGTCAGAAACAACTGATACTGGTATTAACAGCCAGACAGCGGATAAATCAAAGGAAGAAACAAAGTCAAAAAGGACTTCTGTTTCCAGGGAAACCTGGATTAGCTTTGAAGACTTCTGTGTTTGTTTCCAGTAAGGAGCAGAGGGTTTGGGGTTTCTTTCATAAAATATATGGTATAACAATGGTAAAATGCGAAATGTGACTATATAACAACTGTGTCATCTCAACAGATCATCTTTATATAACTATCCCACCTTTCAGGGTAGTCCCAAGGCTACTCTTCAGACCAGACTTACTGTTCCTTTGGCCATGAGTCTGTAGGTACAGTCACACGCTGTCACAGCAGAGAACACAACCAGCAGCTTCATAAAGCACGTGTCAGACTGAAATGTGGGTGGAGAATGGTAGGTCATGGAGCGTGCACCCATTAGGATGTTCACATACCAGACCCGTCAGCCACTGAACAGACACAGTCTGCATCTGAACAACACAATTCTAAGGGAAAAAAATGTAGTTAAAAATCTTCTGTTGCCATCAGCATAGCTCAGCATGGTCAACTACCTATTTTCTTTAGCTCCCTTTTCTATACAATTCCAAGGCATTTATACCTCTGCAAACATAAAAAGGGCTAGTGTAATTATAGCACAATATCTTTAGCTTCTGTCTTTCAGATTTAAGAAGCCTGGCACAATCTATATTCTTTAGAGAATCTGACGTTGCTGAGGGAAGTAATTTTATCAGAGAATTCATCCAGGGATTTTTTTTATTGCATTTGAATTTGTAACTGAGATGTATTTGTGAAGCTTTTACTTTCATAAATGAGTGTTTTCTTGAGCAGATATTAAACTCTGCTCCCTCTCTGAGGGTGAATGTATAACTTTCGTATCAGCAGCACTGCAGGAGCTTTAGGAATAAAAGTCCATAGATCACTTTAAACCTTGTTAAGGTTTGCCCAACTAATTTTAGGGAGCCCCAGGTCCAGGAATATAGGGCCTTCGGAAAAAAGCATCACAAACAAAGTAATTTTCTTTCCTTTTAAAATCTTGCTCATGTGTCATACAGCGAAAATGTAAAATACGAACTTTTAAACTTGTTAGCAAAACACTAAAGTACTGTTGACCTTTTGCAGCCCACTGTAATATTAATTAATGTATAGAGCATTTGTCAGTTTCTTATACCTGTTCCAAAATGGGTGAGAGTTTACTTATTTTCACAGTGAACTGATAAAGTAGCTGTTAGCAAAGCATCTTGATTGACCTTTGAAGAATTTATTACTCAGAAGAAATTAGGTGCCTAAGGTTTTCATTTTGTACTTTCTTTAGCTCCCTTTTCTATACGATTCCAAAGCATTTATACCTCTGCAAACATAAAAAGGGCTAGTGTAATTATAGCACAATATCTTTAGCTTCTGTCTTTCAGATTTAAGAAGCCTGGCACAATCTATATTCTTTAGAGAATCTGACGTTGCTGAGGGAAGTAATTTTATCAGAGAATTCATCCAGGGATTTTTTTTATTGCATTTGAATTTGTAACTGAGATGTATTTGTGAAGCTTTTACTTTCATAAATGAGTGTTTTCTTGAGCAGATATTAAACTCTGCTCCCTCTCTGAGGGTGAATGTATAACTTTCGTATCAGCAGCACTGCAGGACCTTTAGGAATAAAAGTCCATAGATCACTTTAAACCTTGTTGAGGTTTGCTTGACTAATTTTAGGGAGCCCCAGATCCAGGAATATAGGGCCTTCGGAAAAAAGCATCACAAACAAAGTAATTTTCTTTCCTTTTAAAGTCTTGCTCATGTGTCATACAGCGAAAATGTAAAATACGAACTTTTTAACTCGTTAGCCAAACACTAAAGTACTGTTGACCTTTTGCAGCCCACTGTAATATTAATTAATGTATAGAGCATTTGTCAATTTCTTATTCCTGTTCTGAAATGGGGGAGAATTTACTTATTTTCACAATGAACTGATAAAGTAGCTGTTAGCAAAGCATTTTGATTGACCTTTGAAGAATTCATTACTCAGAAGAAATTAGGTGCCAAAGGTTTTCATTTTACCAGTCAGTTCTGTTGAAAGCATTTCCTTGTCTGACATGCCTGTATCTCAGATGCAGTGAAAAAAAGATGACCGTTCAGAGTTCGTATCAACTTTGAAAAATGAGAAAAATTTTAGTCATTATAGGAATTGATATGCCAGTAATGTGAAGTTTCTGAATAATCAAAACATTTATTTTACGTAAAACATTGGACTTCGCATCTGATTCCATCCTCAAAGCTGAAGGCATTAATGTTGCCCTTGGTTAAATAATTTCTTATTCCTGTTCTGAAATGGGTGAGAGTTTACTTATTTTCACAATGAACTGATAAAGTAGCTGTTAGCAAAGCATTTTGATTGACCTTTGAAGAATTCATTACTCAGAAGAAATTAGGTGCCAAAGGTTTTCATTTTACCAGTCAGTTCTGTTGAAAGCATTTCCTTGTCTGACATGCCTGTATCTCAGATGCAGTGAAAAAAAGATGACCGTTCAGAGTTCGTATCAACTTTGAAAAATGAGAAAAATTTTAGTCATTATAGGAATTGATATGCCAGTAATGTGAAGTTTCTGAATAATCAAAACATTTATTTTACGTAAAACATTGGACTTCGCATCTGATTCCATCCTCAAAGCTGAAGGCATTAATGTTGCCCTTGGTTAAATCAAGGTCAGAAAAAGTTGTTGTCAGTAGCTAAGTAGCTTTCTAAAGGTGTGCAAACACAACAGAATTGAAAAAACCACATTAATAAACTATACCAACTAGTTCTTCCTTCCAGTGGTACTTTATAGATAATTTTATTGCAATGATTTTCAGGTAGGCATGGAAGTTTTAGAGTACTATTAGCTTATTTCCATTTATAGATTCAAATTGGACAAATTAGTGATCTGATCTCCAATAGAAAATTGTAGAAGTGCAGTAAAGATACAAATTAATGTCAGCTGCTTTCTCTGGAGATGAACTGTATTCGCCTTTTATGAAACAAAAAATGTTGAACCACTTTTGGGAAATAGTGGCAAGTCTGATTTATGAAAGTAAAATTAGTACCTTATGCTATGAAATAGACATTTACCTGAAATGTATAACTTATACATTTTTTTTTTTCCTGCACGTATTTTTATTTTATTTTATTCCTAGGAACCTGTATGTTTTCCACAAGCCACATACATATGCTTATAACTATCAGAAGACAGATTTTAAGGTATATGCTTGTATTGAGTTTTTATGTGCCTTTATTTATCTTTGTCAAAGTCCTACATAACTAGATAATAAATATATCCGAAATGATATTGATAGGTCACATAGGACTGCTATCACTGAAAAAAATAACAATGCATTAAGATTACTGTAGTAAATACAAAGATAATGTTTGCTAGCAAATATCCAGAAGTATTTCACTGTGCTTAAGACAAGAAAAAAAACACTATTGCAAAATAATAGTAAGTAAAAAAAAGTACGTAAATCATGAATTTTGAGAGTATATATTACGGTGGATCAGTTCTCCATCCTCTCTTTATATTGATTTAAATCCATTTTATAACAATTTAGAGACACAGCATTAAATTTAATGATGATTCAGCTGCAGAATCTGCCCTTCACTTCTCCTTCATTTTCACTTGTCACCTAAAACCCAGATGAGGAGTCTGTGTAGTGTAGCCCTCCATTTTCCCTTTACTACATCCCTTAGCAACTTGCAAGATTCTCTTCCAAAGACTGAAAATACCCCTTAGTTACAGTGAAATTAGTGTTTCTTTAAACCTGCCATTAGTTCATATTATGAGAAGGTTATTCAACATGCTTGAATATCCTGTTCCAGCTCTAGTTTTATACTGTAACTGAAGTGTAATTGTAGAGTACTGAAATGTAAACTCTGGGCATACACTTCATGTAAAATCTTGTACTGAGAAGGTTAACTACATGGGTTATGCTTCATAATCGTAGTATACCTGCAATTTCACTCTTCCCTGTATTTGTAATCACATCACAAGAAATTTTCCCAATCATGGTATGATATACTTTCACAAGCCATAATCAGAATCAAGACTATGTAAGTCTGTAGCTATCGTGCCAAAAAACTAACCCTTTGCTGTAAAACCATTCTATTTTTTTGATGTTGATAGAGATGAGGTATTTACACTATTAGGTAAATTCTGGATCTGACTTATAAAAGAACACTTTTGTATTATGCTATGAAGAGAATGGTGGTGGTATGTCAGGATCAAGTACAAAAAATGAATTGATGTAGAATGTAGGAAGGAGTGTATTAAAACAGTTCTGAAATGAAGACGCTCATTCACCTTCAGTTTTTGAAGAATTTCAAGGAACAGTAGAATCAGTCTAGGCCACACTTGGAGCACTGTGTTCAGTTTTTGTCCCCACTATACAGAAAAGAAGTGGAGAGGCTGGAGGGGGTGTAGAGAAGGGACGCAAAGATGATCAAAGGACTGGGTAGCCTGCCATGTGAGGAAAGGTTGAGAGAATTGTGTATGTTCAGCCTTGAGATAAGAAGGTTGAAGGGAGACCTTATATCCATGTTCCAGTATTTAAAGGGTGGCTACAAAGAAGATGGAGACTCCCTTTTTACAAGGAGTCACATGAGGGATAACGGGTGCAAGTTACTCCTGGGGAGATTCCAATTGGACACAAGAGGAATTTTTTTCAGAGTGAGAAAAATAGGCCATTGGAATAATCTCCCCAGGGAAGTGGTGGATTCCCCAACACTGGACACTTTTAAAATTCATCTTGACAGGGTGCTGAGCCATCTTGTCTAGACTCCGCTTTTGCCAAGAAAGGTTGGACTAAGTGATCCTTGAGGTCCCTTCCAACCTGGTATTCTATGATTCTGTAGTTTCTAATATTGGCATAGGAATTATATATTAAAGTTGGGAGTGAGAAATGCTTCCTCCATATATTCCATATATTTTTGTAGGAAAAAAAAAACCACAAACAAAATGAGGCAGAATAAGTCATGTGTTAGAAATTAAGAGAGTGCTTATTTCTCTCAAGCTTACTGTAATTAATTAGAATCAGAAAATTGCAGCAAAAACCAAAATTTTTAGTCTTCCATTGAATTTTGTTTGGCAAGTAGAACTACTAAATTTGAGGTACGTATGAAGAATATCATATAGAAGTAGATATAGTCTCAATCAAGAAACTTTCCTGTTTCCTTTTACCTGTTAACTGAATATTATGGCTTATGCATGCAGCACGAGGCTGTGGGCTTAAATGTCATGTCTGAAATTTGGAAAAAATAGTGAGAGTTAAAGGAGAGTTACTTATATCCCATACCATATCTAGGGTCACAGTATCTGAAATCTTAGTCATACTAGACCAGGTAGACAGCATTCAATGAAAATGAAAGATGAACAAAAATGAATTTTTCCATGCAGTTTACTGATGACCGAGTCTTCTATTATTTACTTGTGGACAGTCTGATGCCCATTGAAATCCTGGTTGGTTTTTCTGCAGTGGTATGCTGGGATGATGCTGGAGGTAAGGCCAACATAGAAAAGTGCATGTTACTATTATGTTTTCCCATTCTTGAATGCGTCTGTGGGGTTGTGTTTGTCTGTGATGTATTTTGATGGAGTTTGAGAGTTTAGCATTAAATAGTCAAATTGATTCCAGTAAGTACAGTAATATTCAAGCAATACTTTCTTATTATTTCATATTGATGTTGAAAGTTTTCTTCAAAGGATCCCTCCCTTTACTGTTCATTGTGATTTGATGCAAGCTTTTAATCAGTATACTTCTGGTGTGGATTTCCTTGTGTTTCTTAGTTTCCTTTTCTACAAATTCCATTCTTGCAAGCTACTTTATGCCTTAGCTGATCAAAATACAGTAAAATCAGCAATATGACCAAAGTTTATTTTTTAAGTGATTTATAAACTGGTGTACAGTATGCTCTTAATTATACTTACATCTGGCTTATTTCAAGATCCAACAACTTGGATGATTTAAATAAAAATCACTTGCATTTTATGAAAATCATAGAATGGCATTCAGAAAAGCTAATGCATATTATGACAGTCGGCTTAAGTTAATCAGACATTTAAATGTCGGTTATGGACATTTAGTGTATCTAGAGTAGATAGAACGAAAAGAAACTATAAAAAAACCAAACTGACTATCCTGTTAAAATAATTAAACTATAATAGAAATATAAGTTTTGTATGGCTATATTATGACAGTTGGCTTAAGTTAATCAGACATTTAAATGTTGGTTATGGACAAACTTCTAGTGTATCTAGAGTAGATAGAATGAAAAGAAACTATAAAAAAACCAAACTGACTATCCTGTTAAAATAATTAAACTATAACAGAAATGTAAGTTTTGTATGGCTGTTTGCTTCCTATGTATGTGGACATAATTGATTTTTATGGAGTTTTAGAGCAGCCTTAAATGATGTGGAAGATGTCTGATTTACACATTCTCCTGACACATTGTTTTAACCATTATTTTCTAGTAAATAGTACAAATAAGCCATGCATTTTAAATGACTGGCTCTTTTCTCTGAGTTATCAAAGATTAAATAAAGACTTCAGTGACTGCAATGTAGCTACAGATTCTGTGTAACTGTATTTGTCTTAATTTTACTGATATTTACCCCCACAATTGTGTGGGTTTTTTGTTTGTTTTCTTTCTTAATCCAGGTAATAAACGAGAGTGTTCTAGTATTTCAAAGGGCGTGCTGATGGTTGAACATTTCTCTTGGAAATCTGTGACTCCTGGAGAACTTGTGTTAAAGGTGCAGACATCTGCAACCAAAGCTACTCTGCTAAGACTTCCTGCTGGGTATGTAAGAAGCTTCATTTCTGTCCCAACATTTTAGTCTTAAGGCTTGAGATGACCTTTTACTTTACACAGTAACTAAGAGTTGATTTCCTAAAGCATAAGTTTTTGGAATATCAAACTGGTTGATAGCTAGGATTTGGTAAGACTGCAATATTGCTATAAATTTAAAATAATGACCAAAATCTTTATGAAGGTTTTGAATTCTTTACTGTTATTTAAGAGCTTTTAGCGAGAAAAATCATACTGACTTAGTAAAAAATTAACTAGAATAGAAATTCCTACTTAAAAGTGTTTCTAACTGGAATGATTTTGAGATGTTTCCTTGACTACGAACAAAAATTAAAGAATTTGTGTTTTTAGTGGAACTGTAAAAGCATGATAATGCCATGGGAGGTTTCATAGCTTCTCTTGAAGCAGGATATATGAAATATGACAGGAGAAATTCTGAAGTTATCCATGAAGCCTTGCATATCTTACTTCACAGTGCTTAATGTGATTTATTTTTCTTTGCATGTAACTCTAGATATTGTGTGGAACATTAACTGGTTGTTTAAATAAAGAAATAGATAAAAGGGAAGAACCTTTGATATTTGCTAGTTTCTGAAAATGCTCGCAGTGAAACAAGGAAGATGACATCTTCATATCTTGCCGTAAGCATAAGGTTGCTGACTAATTCATTGAGGCCTTCTACTATTCCAAAAATAGAGGATCACCAGTTTAATCTCAAAGAGATGTGACAAAATGTATTTTTAAAAAATCAAGTAAGGTTCCAAATAAACAGGCATAGGAAGAAAATACTAGCACCTTGATATCAAATCAAAGATCTTTAACAATGTTCTCTATTTGGTTTGATTCAGACTTAAAATTGAATAGTTATTATTGTCAAACCCATTTTTTATAGGTTAATTCTGCTGCTACATGTATTTTCTTAGTGTAGTTTCCGAAAGTTGCATCTCTGTGTCGTATAGGGAAGCCAAAAGCATTTATCTTTTTGCACCTGCAAATTTCAAAGCTACCAGAGATACAGGCAGCTCAAATTGATAAGCTTCTCACCTTTGATTCTTTCTACTCCAGATAGCGCCAGCAGGCTTTCAGGAAGATTTATTTTATAGCAGGTGTGAGACACAAATGGACTTATTGACTGCTTTCCCATTTCATTCCAAACGAGAAATGACTTGCAAAGCCAACAAGGCTCTTTCTTCCCTCTGTCTGTTGGTGACCAGGGGGCATTCCAAATTTCACTCACAAGATGGCAATTAAAAAAAGTGTGACCATGTGTGTAGGGGTAACTTTCTTACTCTCACTGTGCTGGATCCCTGGTTAACACTTTGAAGCTGTGGCCTGGGTGAACTTCTCCAGCCAAATGCCGTTTTGACAATGATATAAGACCATGAGGCTTCACCATTTGGTATCAGCAAGCTCAAGTATTTCAGTGGGACTGCAGGACATTGTTGACTGGAGAGAAGAGCATGGATCCCCTGTGTTGTATAAATATAATTATGAATGGTTTCTTTTGTGATTGAAATTTGTTATAGGATATGATCAGGCAAACGAGAATGAGCTGAGTGTAGCCCAGTAGGATGTTATTTGCCATCTTAGGAGGTTATGATTGAGTGGTTTGGCCCACAGTTGCTCCATAAAATTGTCACTCTGTAGTGTTCACCTAGCCTGACACAGTTATGCCTTAATTTTTTCCTGGTTTTGTCAATATGAACATGGAAATTGTGATCTAACTAATGCACGGACAGAACACTTTTTCTCTAAGCTTTCTAGAGCAGATATATTTTTAAGTGTAGCTAACTATAATCCTGACTGAAAAAAACTAAGCTGTTTGATCCATCTGAAATAGTCAAACTACATATTTTACTAAAGAAAATAAAATTAAAATCAAAACAAATTAAATAAAACAGTAGTGAGTTCTCTGATTTCACCTACTGCATATTGTTAGAAGTTCTTGAGAAGCAAGGAATTAGAAATGTGGATTTGAAGATCCAGAAGATATAGGGAAGGATTTCATTTTATCAAATGTATGAAAGGAGAAGCTTAAGAATTACTGGATTTTAACACAAAAAGCACCTTTAATTTTTTTTTTTTCTTGAATATAGGCGACACATACTGCTCTTCACAGTAAGTGGTCCCATAGGGCACCATATTCATCTGTGTAGCATGGTGCCATGTGTCTTTGGAGATGAGGATACTGTGATGCCAGGTCTTGAAAAGGTAGGCATAACCAGAACTATTCAACCATTGTGATAACAGTGTTTCTGACTATTATGTGGTTTTAAAGTGAAGTGCTGTTGGATCTTCATTTAGAGTTACTATATTTAATGATATAATATTAATTTCAATATGAAATGGATGAGTGCATAAAAGAAATGTGTTTTACAGCACAGCAGGCACTGAGATGGTTATTACAACAATTGTCTTGTATAAAAATGTAAGTAAGCATTGGGCAGTATTGTGCTTTACCTAGAACAGCAGCATAAAGTGGAATGTTAAAAATACTCTTGTTGAAATGCATGTGTCAGAGGCAGAATATAAGCTCTCCTTTATATAAGCATGTGATAAAAGTGATAAGATACATGCACAGATGTTAATTAATATTCAAAAATACCCACCTAGTAAAATAAACTGTCACATCAGTAAAGTTTGTTTTTTCCCATGAGATCCCATATTACTCACTGGATCCCAGAGCAGCTTTTATATCTAAAATGAACAACTGATTCAAACAACTTTTCACAGTTGAGATAACAGGCCCAGGGGAGTAATTACTGCAGCTTTTGTTCTTCATTGCCTACAATCCAGGCAGATATCACTGTCATCTGTATTTTCAGGATTTCTTTGGCAAGGGGTAGCTCTAAATATTTGTCATGAGCAACAAGGGGAGGGAGTTATAGCTTCTGGAGCACAGTTGGGCAAAAATATTTTGAAAGGTGAGTGCAACAGGAAATTTATATAGCAGTGTAGATCCAGGATCCTAATAATAGGACATTAAAGCAGCTTCTGCAATTTTATTACATTCATCGTAGCAAAGAAGTTTAAATATAAGAAGTTGGACCATTAAAATGTCTTGTGACTGTACTATCCCCTTGTCTTCAGGTTGTGGGTAAAAAGCTATTCCTCATCAAGAAAATATAGCAGGATTATATCCTGGGGTCTACTTTGCACTTCTTTTTGAAGACAGCAATTTCTCTGCAGAGTGTAATTTGCAGGAAGGTGTCCACATTCTTGCACAGAAATCCTAATGAAGATTAATGATGCTTTAGGCAGCATGTATTTGGACGTTGTTTTCAGCAGGGTACAACTACTTATCTGTCCTTTTAAAATAGAATAGATGCTGAGCATTTCAGCTAACAAGAGTCTTGCTATCACTGTAGAAGAAAATCTCTAGATGCATATTATTTTTGATTAAATGTCTTAGGACTAAGGGCACAGGAAAAATAAAATCTTTATCAGATATATGTTATGGTTCCTGTTTATTTTATTTTAAGAGCTAAAATCAGTGAAAATTTGATATGCTTTTGAATGTCAGAGACCTAATTGATTTTACAGTTTATAAAATTAATAACAGTTGCTTGACTTAAGAAGAGTTTTGCACTTCATCAGAGAAAAAATGCTCATATGCTGTCACAGCCTAGAAAGAAAACAAAAAAAAAATCTTAAAGCAATCTTTTTACCAATGGTTGCTTTTTATTCTCTTTCTTCAGGAGAGTTTCCGGTTTATAGAACAGGCTACAGCTATCCTGAATGCTGTTGGAAATGTGATAAATAATTTCAGCAATAAAGCTGAATTTTCTAAAGCCTTGAAGAAGTTGGAACTAACTCATTGTCCTCCTGGCCTCCACAGTACTGGAATGGCTGAAGAACACTTCAAGGTGAACAAACAATTTTAATGAACATATATCTAAAGGCTACTGAAGCTGGATAACAGCTTAACATTGTCATTATCCTCTTCAAACCAATGGATATGCTTTTAAAAATGACAATCTGAGTGCTCCAAATGTGGCATTCGTTATTAAGCATAAGCCCAAATGACATAGCTTGCAACTGTGTGCAATAATTATCTTCTTTTAATGTGAAAAAAATTCAATATGCAGAGAGTAGCACATTCTAAATTTGAGTCTCTAATTTGTCAGTTTAGTTTTGCATACTTTGAGTTGGAAACCATCAGCTTTTTAAATTTTATTTAAAAGATGTTACCTGAACTGCAGAAAAGCAAGAATGGTTCCTTTCTGTGCCTAACGTTGATGGTACAGGAAAACATTATTACAGCTGAAGTTACTGGAGACAGTAATTAATTTTTTTCATTCACAGTATTTCTGGGTTTTTCTGTTTTTTGAAACTGCAACATTTTTATTCAACTTCTCTGCTCTGTGTGTGTGTGAAAAATTAAAAGGTTTTTAGATATGTCATGAAAATGTTACACTTTTCTGTAGATGTCTATACTGTATTTTTTCAATATTATAAAAAGATTGAAAAAAAGTTATATAAAAGATATGCTAATTTTTATGTATATGCAAATATTGGTAATACTGCTAAAAATTAAATTTTCTACAGTCAGTACTTTATATATTCCAGATACACTTACTTTCATCAAAGTACTAGAAAGCTCATGCAGCTGAGACTACATATTTTAGAAGACTAAATGGAAGAATACATTGATATTTTTATAATCACTGATATTAAAAAATAGAACATCTAAGCCAGTGTTTTTATTTGTTGGCTTGACACCAAGCTCAAATTCAGCAAAACAACAAAATTAAGAAAGAACAATTCCAAGTGCACAACTCATGAAAGAGGTAATTTTCATGCCAAGTCCAACAGAGAAAATCGGTTTGACCTCTCCAAATTGGAAAATAAAAATTTTTTACATTCAAGAATGAAAATATACAGTTATCTATGTTTAATACAAACAGTGAAAAAATTATTCTGAACAGAAAAATGTAGTAAAGTAGAAGTCTTTCTTCACCAGTCTTAAATATTTCAAAATAAATGAAGTATTTATTAATATTAAAATACGTAACTTAGGATAAAATATTTCTACAAAGCAGAAAAATAGGAATATAAGAACAATCAAAGAGAAAAATAAGGTGTTTTCCAATAAGTTATTAGTATGTTCTTCAATTCAAATTATTAAACAAGATCTGAAAAACCCACTCTAAAATTTCCATCTACTGGAAGAAGGAAAAGATTCGATTTCTTCCATTTAAAGAGCATCAATATGTCGCGAATTAAAATAAAGCAATCAGTTCAGTCGTATAAGTAGAACACCAAATCTTCCCCTCTTGCCCATAAATATATTCCTACTTTTCCTTGTTGTGCCACCTCCTAATTCAGTAAGCATGCCTGTTCAGTTATTGGTCTCTGAAGCCTCCAATGTCAGTTGTCATCATGGTGATTATGATGTGTTCTTCTGTCCTCTGGTATGAGACCACCAACTCACTTCATAAAAACTACTAAGATATTTTCAGGTGATAAAAACTTATGCTGTAGAATCAGTCCTATATTTAATAAGCCAGGCATGAAACAGATTTTCTCTTAATTGTTGGCTTAAAGCATTGCAGTCCTACAGTTGGGACTAATTTTCAGATATCCGATTTGTTGGGGGAAGTTAAAGACTTCATTTTTACATGAAAAAGGAAAAGAGCTAAACAGTTTTTTAAACAATACTGTGAACAATATAGACCAGCTTTTTAAAATGAATTGTTCTTTGAGTGCTTTTCCTCTTTGTGGTTTTAGGTTTTCAATAGTGTGCTTTGGCATTTGATCAAATATGTGTTGGACAAGAAGTCTGCCAAGAGCTGTAAACTTGCCTTCAGGTCCCTCACTTTGGATTTTAAAGACACTGATGTTTCTGAAGATGACACTGCATCTTCAGGTACTGTATTGGTATTGCTAATCACTTCATGTATATCTGCCTATTCTTAACTTTTCAGGAAGCCGGCTCTTCACGTATCATGTGTTTTCTTCCCTAAGTAAGCAAGGTACATTTCTTATGACATGCCTAAGCCTTCTACTGTTGACAGCACGTCAGAGACCTGTCTCAGAATAGAAATGATCCTTTTCTTTATTCCAGAATGTCTGTTCGTGTTCTGTTAATTTATAAAATTGTCCTTTGTCTTCTGTGACTGGCAATTGTCAGTATTGACAGACAAGAATCTACAGATGCTTGTTTTACCTGATGTGCTGCAAATCATGGCTCTCATTCTTGCCAGCTAAGTTGGCAAACATAGCCAGTAATAAAAAAAAAAATAATAGAATCATGATATTCAAGTCAATCTAGTCACTTCTGGAGCCTGCTTATAGGCAATTCACAGTTCTCTGGATATTATGAATGCTGTTCCTGATAATACAAATACTGAAATTCAATATAAGCCATTGATTAAATGCAGATCATCTTCCGACCCATTTAGATCTTAAAGTGCAGCTTCACTGAATGCTACTACTAAAGTCCTGTCCTTCCCCCCTTCCCATCCCAGAACATGTACCTCCACTATATGCAGCTGCAGAGATGCCAGGAGATGAGATCAGCTTGCTGATTTGACAGTAAACTATGCCAGGGAAAAAAAATAAAAAATTGTTCATTCAGCAAGCTAGTCTGACTCACCATACCACTATGTAATCTCTTTTTCTGCACCTATTACAAGGTTCTCATGTAACTGACATACAACCTGACACTACTAAGCTTCTTGCTTACCTGTTGGAAACCAAGTGCAGGTGGCAGTTGTGGTTTTCTTGAGGAAGCTGTCCGTTATTTCCGTTATTTGATGATTGATTAAGAAGTAACAAGAATAACACATGCTTACATGAACCAGGAGTAACTTTAGATGTAGTCTCACTTTTATGAATTATTAATTCAGGTTTGCTGTTAGGGTCTCCTTACTTGGTAGGCCACACTGTGTAGCTCTGTGTTCATATAAAAAGTAATATATTATAAAGTAAATAAAAGTTGTATAATTTGCCTTATATGTGGAATGTAGGCTCTGCAACAAAGGCCATTATTCTGAGCTAAAACACCTGCTGAAAATAGAACTCTTTTTCCTTTCCTTGAAAACAATGATTAAGGCATTTTACCACTGAATCATTTAATTATAAAATAGACAAGCTTGTAGATGGAACAAATTCATTTTCAAATATGATGAATAAATGGGAGAAGATAAGAGCCAGAGCCTTTCTGGAGATGCACACTGACAGGAGACATCTTAGAACACGTTGAATTCCAGTTGGATATTGGGAAAAAATTTTTCACTGTGAGGCTAGTAAAAAATTGGAAGAGATTCCTCGGCAAGGTTGTGGAGTCTCCATCCCTAGAGATACTAAAAAAACGGACTGGATGTTTGCTCAAGACCATGAGCCACCCGCTCTAAGTTGATCCTGGTTTGAATGTGGGATTGTATCACATAACCTTCAGTGGTCCTCTCCAGCCTACACTATTCTATTATTATATGCTTCTGTTTTATAAAATTGTGTGTGCCTTTCATATTGTTGAGTTCTAATTTGTTGTCTGTTGAAGAGGGCTTGTGTAACCTTTCAGAGTCACAAAGTATTAGAGAGGCTTTCTGGGGTTTGGAAATGAGACAATAATGAGGAATGATGGTTGGGAACACAGCCACATTTAACAATATTCAATAAAAGAGATTCGATTGAAATGTGTGATCTCCTGGCTGATGACAGCAATATTTTTTCTTAAGCTAGTTTGCTTGTCTGCAATTCTGTCTGCATTTTTCAAGCAGATTTCTCTTTTTTTCTCCTCCGTTTTGTTTGTTGGTACTTCCTTCTGCAGCCCTGTTTCCTTCCTGTCGTGCTGTCTCACTGCCCTGGTTCTCTATCTGTGCAGTTCCAAACTGGCCCCCTGGCACTGCCTCCTGGTAGTGCTGCTCCCCACAGCCCCCCCGCTAAATCCTGGCTCCCAGGATTCTTAATTCTAGGCAAGGATGCCTTCAAAGAGCTCATTACTAACCTGTCAGAACCTGCTAATATCTGTTCCACGCCAAACCTCCTTTGTAACAGAAAGTTACAGCCAGATAAATGAAGTCTCACTTTATCATATATCTAATACTTATTCCATGGCTTCTTAGCAAAGGATGAATACAATGTTTTCAACACCATTGGTGTCAAAATTATTGCTTAATAAAATTATCATGTTGAGAGACAGAAGCACTTAAGATCTTGTCAGGCTTTAATACATCAAATTCTGTTTGTTCATGTTTGGAAGGATATTTTGAAATTACACTAGGAGATTTGATTTTTAAAAATGCACTGTAATAGCTGTCCATAAAGAGAAGTAAGAATTCAATTATTTGATATTTGGAATTAGAATAGTACTTAGATTCTGACTTTGTGTCGCTACGTTTAATATTTTGTCTAGTTTTATCCTGATAAAAGCAAAATTTTAGGAGTGATATTTTTGTAATAAATGGAAGTTTTATGCAGAAACCACTCTGTTTCTCTAATAGAGCACTCTCATTATTTTGTGTTTTGGTTGGGGTTTTTTAACTTGATTGCAAGCAGCTTCAGGACTTCCAGATTTATTGATGTTGCTCATCCTCCTCCCTGTCTTTCAGAGAGTTGTGAGAAGAATTCCCTTAGTAGCTGGCAGAACCGAACACCCACTTCTGAAGAAGAAGCAGCAGCTCTTACACTTCAAGCCATCTGGAGAGGGACCTACGTTAGGAAAGTACTGAACAGCAGGAAACCAGGTGTGTCCTTTAAAAAGACCTTTTAGAAAATGTTTTGTATTTCACCTTGTTCAAATATTTACTGCAAAGATTTTGTTACTAATTAATATCTAATCAAAATGAACTGAAATGCAACAGCACATTAGAGTTGAATCTCTAAGAACACTGTTCAACCTAACCCCTCAATTAACACGTGGTACTAAAAAGTTGAGGAAAGACACCCCCCTTAAATTTTCATACATATGAGATCGGAATTTACATTAATGTATATTTAGCTCACAGCTAGGCTAAATGTTTTGAGTTTTTTTTTCTGGAAAGGTAAGGAAGTCCATACAAGAACCTAAGTATCATACTGGATAATCAGCAGAACACAGCATCAAAGGTTGATACTGTGCTCAAAAGATACTGTGCTGATACTGTGCCTCGCACTGATGCATATAAATAGAGGAATCTTACACAGCAGTTGAATACCTGTGTTACATTTCTTATTCTCTTATCTCAGCTGGAATATTATGTCCAAGTCCGCAGCCCAAGAAGAAAGATACGTAACATGGGTGTAGTTTTAAAGATCAGGATTAAAGAAGGGCCTTGTACTTGCAGGTTGTTACTTTTTGATTTCAGAAAGGGAAGATAAAGAATTCATTCAGTATAATCTGAAAGTACCCGTATGAGAAGAGGAATTTGATAGCAACAGGGTCTTTCGTTTGAGATCCAAAGTGTTGACAAGAAGGGCTTTCGTCTGAGATTGTAGGATTGTGACTTGAATCCAGACACACTCAAATTAGAAAAAGTGGCATTTATTTTTAGAAGATAACCAAGATTTGTGGTACACTACTGAAAGCTTAAAAATCAAACAAATGCTAATCAAATTCAAACAGGATTAATAGTCACTTATATGTGATGAAATAGCAATTAATATGTTAATAGGACTGTTGCAAAGAAAGTTAGATCACGGTGATTCCTTCTAGCCTCACAGTATATGAATGCCTGAGGATCTTGACAAAGAAAAGTGTTCCATTGTGAGATACACGTTCCCTCTTTAGTAAGTCACCCCCATTCTGCTGGAAGCTCCTTCTTGAATTAGCAATGCTGAGGTTCTTTCACCTATATATTTACCTGCACCAGATGCTCTCTTCAAGCTCTTTTGTACCTTCACCTTCTCACCAGTGAATCTGGTGCTGCCTCTCCCAAACTATCACTTGTAACCCTGTCTTCCTTAAGCTTTCCTACTAAGTAGTCTAGTGCCCTTCTATTTTTGTTTATGAAGTGCCATTTAATTTAGGAATTTCTGTAAACTTTCATGGGTATTATTTATTCCTACATATTAGAGAGCCAAGAAGATGTTCTTTTGAACATTTAGATTTTAGATTTTTGTCATCTGAGCACTATATGAGTATCCCAATTCTTTCCTTCTGTTGTCTATAATATCCTTCTTAACTTCATCTGATTTATCAATACTCTGTTGCTTTTAATTCTGTTATTTTCTTTACAGTGCTTTACTGTGGGGTTTTTTTCCTAGTCATACTATTCTTCTCCTCCTCTCCCTCATTATCTATTTTTTTTTTTCCTCTTACTTGTCATTACGGGAAAGTGTTATTTCATTTTTCCCCCTCCATTTCTGTCACTAATTGTTTATGCAATAAAAAAGGACTTCACCTACACTTTAGTCTTGAAAAGTTAGACAACAGGTCTAAACTAGTTGCCTAATCTTCACCTGTATTCTGTGGTTAGAAGAAAGACACCTTAATATGGCAACACATCCTGTCATCTCAGAGATATCAAACATGGGTGGGGTAAACTATACACTGGAGCTGCCGGATTCTTTTCATTTTAGTTACACAGATCACCTGGGCACATACATACCCCCTTTGTAGCATCTGCAGACAAAAGCTGCTGGGGGCTAAACAGCGTATTCTCTGAGGACAGAGATCACCTGATATCACTACAACATGTGACAGTGAAAAAACTGTAAATCGGAAAAATACTGATCACCTCATTTTTGTAGTTGTAGGAGTGCTGAAATGTACAAAGGTGATGGTGAAGGGAATTTACTCTGTCAAAGAAGAAATTCGTTTTCAGCTCAGTGAGACTTCTGTAAAATTCCAAATAAAAACTAGTGATTCATAAGAGAATTTACTTGTGTGAGTGGCTTTTTTCACAAGTATTTGGCAGGTGTATATTTAGAAAAAACAAAAGCTAGATGTTATATTTTCTAACTTATTTCATTATTTCCAGGTACTGAGGAGAACACTAGGGTCAAAGAAACCTTGGAAAAATTGTGGACTGCAATTGAGCTAAATTTTGAACAGTATGCTGTAATGCTCTTAAGGTAATCATGTAATAAACTATTTTATTTCAGCCAGTACTATAGAATTGCCATAAAATTCTGGTTCACAAAATAAATATGATAAGACCATTACTATTTTTACAATTACAAAACTCTTTTGGAAGGGATGATGTTTTTACTGAAGATATGTGATCCTTTATTCTATATACCCTACATATGTAAAGCTATAGCAAATCTAATTTTTAGCTATGTGTGTTACAGGTTTTTTCCTACAGCTTGAGACAGAATATTACCTTTCTCCTGTATTTATTTTTTTAATATTCTGTAGACTGTTCATAGGTTAATTCCCTCACTGCAAAAAAGATACTGAGATGCTGGAGCAGGTCCAGGGAAGGGCAACAAAGCTGGTGAGGCATCTAGAGCAGAAGTCTTATGAGGAATGGCTGAGGGAGCCGGGGTTGTTCAGTCTGGAGAAAAGGAGGCTGAGAGAAGGCCTCATCGCTCTCTACAACTACCGTAAAGGAGATTGTAGAGAGATGAGGCTTGGTCTCTTCTCCCAAGTAACAGGTGATAGGACAAGAGGAAATGTCCTCAAGTTGTTCCAGGGGAGGTTCATATTGGATATTAGGGAAAATTTCTTCACTGAAAGGGTTATCAAACATTGGAACAAGCTGCCTAGGGAAGTGGTTGAGTCACTATCCATGGAGGTATTTAAAAGACAGGTAGACATAGTGCTTAGCAATATGGTTTGTTGATGGTTTTTGTCAGTGTTAGGTTGACCATTGGACTCGATGATCTGAAGGTCCTTTGCAATCCAGACAACTCTATGATTCTATAAATTTGATACTGATTCCTTAGTTAAACAACTAACCTGTTGATTTAAAGAAGCATTTTCATTCATGCTATCTGTTAAGGAATTCTGGTTGACATTGGAAAGGAGTTAGCTATACTGTTTAATTGTACCACAGTTTATATCATCAGAGGATTTGTTTGCAGCACTTTCTTGAAGGAAAGTAGATGTATTTCTACATAGATGCTTTCCCTGGTATTTAATTATAGCTTTTGCAAAGATAGGTACTCTGATTTCAACAGTGTTCCTTAAGTCATTTGCAAACATGACACTCTTTGGGGATCACACCTTTTCATTAAGTGCTTCAAAAATCTCTCTGCAAGTATTCACACAACTGATCTAGCAGTAGCTCAGTTCTGCCATGGGTGAGGAGTGAGAACTGGCAGTAATTACTGGTTGTGGGTATAAATCCTCACTCCTTATAACCAGCAGTTTGAGGAACAGTCATATGGAGTATAATTTTATTTCACTTTTTAGAGTTTCTAATCCTGTAAAAGATTCATATGTTGATGGGATCAGGACTTTGCAACTGCAGCCTTGTACCAAATGTTAGACCGCAGTTTTAGATTTTCTAAATCTGATCTCTAAATCAGCAAAGATCAGATGCAGTTTTTAGTCTACATTCAGACTTAAAACTTACAGGACTGATTCTTAGGCCTTGTCCCAGGGGATACATTGGAGTGTTAAAATCATACTAATGGGATTTTGGTTTGTGTTTTTGGGTTTTTTTTAACAGCTGACATACTTGCATTTAATATGACAAGCCAGCACCTTGGGCAATAAATAATATGCAGGAATTTTGAAAGTTCTGCATTAGGATAAAAGTTTTCTCATTCTCTAACCCTACATTTGCTGGAGGCAAGAAGCAGTACCATTTTACAACATGAACACCAGTTTCAAATGCCCTAAAGCCTCTCAGTTTGTGCTAGGGTTGTCACCTGTTTCTCCTTATACATCCCATGTAAGCTCATCTATGTTTGTCCCTGCTATAATTTTCAATAACATAAAAAATTGAGATTTCTGAGGGGCTTTTTCGGTCTGTGGGTGTGCTGTCTCTCAGTGGTGGAAGGAACCTTTTCAAAGCTTCACAGACTGAGATCTCAAACTGTTCTGCTTTAAATTACTTTTGGCAATGTTTGCATCTACTATGTGACTCACAAATGTCAAGGTCAACTGATATCATTGCTGAAAACATGAATGTGGAGATTGTCTCAGTAATTACAGAATAACAAAACATCAGCCTAACATTGTCCATATTTTCTGGATAAAACTTTTGCTGTTGAACAGCTTGAACACCTTCATTTCTGACACAGAAAAGAAGACAGGTATCACCAAAAATGGGTGTTGTGAGGTTGCCTTGGGCAATCCCCATTATGTAAACAATTTAAACCAAACTTTGAATTAGAGTAATTAAAAGATAGCAAAAAAGATATATTGTTTACTTGCTGCAGAAAGTAGGTAGCTAAAGAATAATGCAAGACAGGGGGTGGTGAGGAGAAGGATGTCCTTTCCTTTATCTCTATGTAGGCATATTTTCACTCATAATCTCCAGAGAAAAATCACTGGAAGGAGTCAAAATATAGAGTGGGACTTATTATCTTTGTCTGGCCTTCATCCATCTACCTATTCACATAACAGTGAATTTTGTATGCTGGTCTTCACATTGCTTTGTCCAGAGGAACATTAATTTCTGATACTGCATATGGTAAATAAAAATCCATGGTGTCAGCTAGGTGCCAGTGAGGTTAGCTCTAATTTTGTAGAACTTCATAACACTTGAGAGCTTATTTGCCTTAAAAATAACTTCTGAATTTACAGTTTTATTTTCCTTCCTCTGTGAAAGGAATGTATTTAATCCCATTTTAAATTTTTGCTTTTACTCCTTGTTCCAAAATTTTTTAAAGGAAACAAAGGGTTTTCAAATCTCCTAATGATGCCACAGCTTTAAGATGACAGCTTAATAGAAAGAAATGGAAGATATGCTAACTGATATTTATAAAAAAAAAAAAAAGCAAAGTTTTGTAGAAGCCATAAGATTTTGGGAATATTAGAAGCAGTTGTTCTCATGGATAAGCTGACTGATACAAATATTTGTATGTAAGCATTGACCATTACAGGCCATTAGGCCTAAACGAGTAGATCCCTAACTTTTTTTTTTTTGAGAGTGAACAGCTACTAGAGAAAAATTAGTGACACATTTTATACCATTCTTTTACACTCATGCATGAAGCGGTGTTCTTCATGATAAGCATAAATTAAAAATATATTTGCCTTCTCGGTTAGATTTAAGTATTTGCCTTGTTTTCTGCTTTCCAGAGAAATGTTTAATAGAAACTGTAAGTCAATTGAAAAGTTTCCTTGCTATGAAGATGAATGGTGTAAGATGTCTTTCGCTGACTATGCTGTAACATACGCTGATCAGCCACCAAATGTGTGGTTTGTGGTTTTTAGGTGAGTTTTATACAGCCCTATATAACTCTTGTGGAGAAGTAGTATTGTTGCACTATGATTTTTCATTAACCTGCTTTAAAAACATAATTTTCCATATGTCTACTTTCCTTAAATTCTAATTTATACCTTTACTCCATGTTACATAAATAATTTTATTTGTGAAAATAATTTTAATATAATTTGAATTCTCTTTTTTTTTTTTCTTAGAGAAATATTCACTGTTCCAGAAGACATGCTTATAGTGCCAAAGGTGTATACCACTATCCCTTGCAGTAGACTTCATGTCATTGATAATGACACACTGAAGGAAATGCCACATGTCTTTTTCAAAGTGACACCTCACATTTATCCAAAAAATAAGGTAAATGCAAAGAGTGGTTATGAAAAATATAATTTAAAAGAAAATAACAATTGCCCATATTCTGTGGACGGACACTTTCATCTAGGTCATAATGTTCTTTTTAGAAGCTCCTCCTTGTTTATTAACGGTTTGAACAGAGACTGTCACTGATCTGCTTCTGTCCTAAACCTTTAACAGTGAAGGCATAGCCCTAATTTCCTTCGATATTTTTTTACTATCTCTAAATGGAGGAATATCATCCCATGCCGCTGTGCTGTGCTAATCAATGGCAATATGGCTGCTATTGATTCTATCCATCTGACAGAACAACCTTCAAGAGTCAGAATGAGGTTTGAATAGCCTTTTTTTGTTATACTTATATTAATTAAATTAACATGCAACTTCAGGTGCTGATGATAATTGCCGCATCGATACCAAATACAGCTTTAGATATGCTCCCTCTCAAAGCCTGTGTAAGTTACCTCGGAAGCATTAGTGTAAATTGCTTCTGAAAAATAACTAGATCAGTAAATAGTTATCACAACTTCCCCTCCTCCTCCCCCTGCCTTTTTATCTTCAAGCTAAAGAAGACAATTAGTTCAGTCTTTCCTTGCAAGTTTCATGTTCTACGTTTTACTCTCTCCTCTGAACTCTTTCAAATTGCTGCTGTTTTTTTTTTTCTTGCTTATGATGCACAACCCTAAGCGCAGTGAACTTTACACCAAAGATTAACTTGTGGCCATACAAATAATGAGTAAGGAACAATTAGTTAATGTGTTTTGTGGGTTTTACTTCTGCTTAAATAGCCAACTCTGATGTTTGCCTATTTTGCAACAACATTGTTGACTCCTGTACTTCTGTAACCCAAGGTGCTTTCCTGAAGAACTGAATCTTGTAATTTATTATTCTTGACTAAATGCAGTGTCTTTCACTACCGATTTTAATGCTTTTTTTTTTCAGACCGTTTCCCTATTTTAAAATAATGTTGAATTATTTTTTATCTTCCTCTAAAGTTAAAATCCTTCTTTGTGTATCAGCTAATTAAACAGAAATGTTCTCCATTTCAGCATCCACATTACTAATATAAATATTGAATAGAATCAGGTTCAGGTTAGATCTTTGAAATCTCACTGATTGCATCCTACTTTTCAAAAAGGAGCCATGAACGTGCTCTCTGAATGTGATTGTCCAACAGCCACCCTGGTTTCTTCATTATGACAGCATTTCTTTAGGTTTAGAAGAATGATCAGAGGTACAATGTCAGGTGTCCTTTGTTCCCATAGTGTGCTTTCCTATGCAGGGAAGCTTGATTGGTGTGATAGCAGTTGGGTTTTGCAGTCGCTTTGCCACATTGCGGGAGTTGCAAGAAGTTAATTTTATTAGTTATTTCATTATGTTTTCAGCCACTATAGTTATGCTGACTGATAATTTTCTAGATCTAAAAAAAATGCAGCATTGCAGTTCTATAGTCTTCCAGTGCCTTATGTGTCCTCCATCAGTTATCAAACATAATTTTGAAGTTCTGTTTTAACCTGTTATTGAATTATCCTTCAAACAGTTCACAAGTTAATCAGGCTGAACTAATCTAAAACTTTATCTATATAATTTACTACTTCTTTTCCTGTGCTGGCCTGCCTCTTTAATATTACCCCTATATCTTCACATGCTGACCTTTTAGTGAAGACTGGTTCCCATTTTTGCCTTCTCAGTCTCACCTGTCTTTAAGAAGGAATTGATGTCAGTCTAACACTGCAGGAGTAGTTTTCTTGTCTTTCTTTTGTAACATTCAATTTCATCAGACTTTTTTTTTTTTTTTGCACTAGAATGAACTTGACTTATCTAGTGTTTACAGTAAATATTAGCTGAATGTGACAGATAAGGACTGCTACTGCTGGAGGAATATGCTTAAAAAAGAAGGGTTGCAAGACAAGCTCTTCAAGCTCTCAAAACTAATTCGGAATCCTTAGAGATGGGCTGTGGATCCCACCAGACAGAAAAAAATCAGTTTGGAATCCAACAATGGCAAGTGGCAGGATGCAAAAAAGAAATCTTAGTGGTGAACACTACTTACTGCTTTTCAGAAAAGTGATGAGTTGTGGAAAGAACAATCACGACTTCAGATTTATTTCAGGTCTCTTCTCAGCATTTATTCTGCTTAGCAGGGTACAACTGCCTACTTCTGTCTTGTAAGGTCAGCTTCTCATTTCCTTGATTTTACTAATTCTTTTTCAGGCCTCCTCCCATTTAACATAACTTTCTTGAATAAAGATGTCCAAAACTGTACACAATATTCCAAACCAGATCTTACCAACATTTTGTGCAGTGCAGTGATTTTAATATTAAAAATGCTTGTTTTGCTATGTGCTACCCCACCTTGTACGTTCCATAATATGCTTTTTTATGGGCACAGCACCGTGGCCTCAGTGATTCTATCATTAACTAATGAAAATGGCCATTCTTATTTTTTTTCCTGTCCTTCCTTATTGAAGAAGTCTCCACTTCAATCAGTCATTTTTGTTATTATCCTCTAAACTCATGACTTACATTTTAAAATATTAAACATGGTTAATATCAGTAAAGAGTGATTTTGGCTTAAGAGTATTAAAACAGAATTGTGTGGGTATGCTGTACTTTTCGACTTGTTCTTACTACATTTCTTAATCACTGCTACCAACTTTCTCGGTAAAAATATGACTTTATACTGCACAATTGAGCTTGTTTTATATTTGTAAATGATTCATTAATGTTTCAGTGGGCCCACAAAAACCATTGAAAGCTCTATTGATGTTTTGACAAGACATTATGCAAATATTATGAAACACAGAAGACAGTGGTATCATTTTAATCTCTTACCTTTCTTTTTAACAGTATTTTGTAAAAAATAGTCAATGATGTAATAAATCAAGCAAGAAATTATACAGTATGTCTGAATTCCTAACTGTCAATATTAATACAGAAAAAGTCCAATCTTTTTTTTCCTTTTTAAATAAATCTACTAGTTAGTTGTTGTTCTTCAAAACTACAAATCAGCAATTTACGACACAGCTAAAAAGAAATCCTATCAACAGATATTGTTGTTCTGCTGCTGAGACATTCCTGGAATGCATTATAGCTCATTTCAGAATGACTGACAATAAGGACAAAATCTGCACACTAGCAATAATGTCTGTCTTCTTTCTGCAGACATTACAATCTAGATAGAAATTGGCTGCTTGCTTTGCAATATTTAGGTTTTTTTTTTTCTGCATTAAATGTTCTTCTTCAGTGGTAATGTTTTCTACAGATGGATGGAGTTGGGTTTGGTTTTTAATTCTACTCTATCATTCACAAGTCTTTTTTAACAGATTGTAGAAAAGGATAAAGAGAAACATTTCTCAGGCCTCATCTGACCAACGAAGATAAGAGGTTAAGAAATCATGACTAACAGCATATTTAGTCTAGAAAATAGAAGTGTATTTAAGCAAGGACACTGATCAGTTATTTTCTTGACCAGTCATAGAAGTACATAAGGAAATCATCTTATTTTACAAAAAAAATAGTTTAGGTGGTATATTAGAAAACAACCCTTTCTGATTCTAGAGATAGTGAACTTTAACAAGATATGTAAGTAGGTAATAAAACTTCTCAAAAGTTTCTTAGAAAAACACATAAGTCTTATGGTGTTGGCTAGATCTATTTGCTTATTTCTCAATAAAAATTTCTGATGGTTACTCTGTATTCCTACTAGCCACAAAATTCAGTAACTGTGCTTTCTACTTGCTTATAGTATTCAGGGAGTGCCCACTCAAACAATTTTTTAATCTTAAGTCTAGATTTTCTGCATGTTTATATTGTATAACCTTTCTTTATAAATAGGTATACAACTGAAAGTGTTTTTCTCATGTGCACCATGGTGTCAGATAGCACTTGAATATCTGGCTGTCATGAAATTTTAATGATTGAAATAGCAAGTTGGTATGGATAGTTTGGAGAATTTGAAGAAGGTACTTAATCCTGAGTTCCTCTGTTACATTGCAGTTGGCCATTGCACTCATTTTCCTTTTTCCAGCCCCTGTCTTTCAAATACTGGTATTCATATGTCTTCTTTTTTCAAATACAAAATAAATTCTAATTTTGAAACCTTTTGAGTTATGTTCTGTTTTCTCATATTCCTCTCCTCAGAATTCCTAAAGAGCAGATAAAGCTGCAATAGGATTATTAATTGTGTTGCATTTTTAAGTAATTTTGTATTTGATTTTTCTAATACTAGAAGTATTTTTTTCTTAAATCAACATTTTAATAAAAGTAAGATTAATATCCTGACATTTAATGTTATACTTGAAATGATGTTATTAAAAGTAGGGGCAATATTAGTTTAACCTCAGATTTGAAGAGAGAATAAATCTGATCTCTGAATTTCCATGCAGTAAATTGCATTCACACATGGTTTCACAATGCCCACAGCACGAAGGGACATTTTAAAATCTTTGGTTTACCAGTGAATGTAGTTATTTTCATGTTTACATTTTATTTTTATCTAAGTTTGCTTTCATATGTGTGAGGGCTGCTAGCTTTTGCTAAATGTCTTGTACGTGATTTGCCAAAATATTAGTTTCCTTCTCTTTAGCTGTGGTCACCTTTGGAGTTAAAAGTATCTATAATCTCGAAATTGTTGTGCAGTTTTCAAATACATCAACACTTTAAAATACACATCTTCCTCAAATCTGGCATAGAGGCCAGATGTTTCCCAACAATAGTTGAGTAGAAATTTAATGTGATTGTTTCGGTGCTTGGAGTGAAAGTTCTTGGTTTCTGCAGTTTTAAGTCTTTCTTCATTATATCTACTACTATGACTATTGCTGCTGTCACCACCACCACATATAGTTTTGGTCGGATATCAAGAGGGAAAAAATATTTTGAACCCAATGAAAAGACTTTGATTGATACTATTGCTACTGATTATACAAGAAAAAAAATAGTAATGTTACTATTGAACTACTATTGAATCCAGGGTTATATAGATGTGTTTTGTCTGGGAGCTATTGACACAGTAGTATTACGTACAAAGCAAGAAAATATATTGAATAAATATGTTTTACTGAACTTTAGTCATGGTATAAGAAGACTTTTCATACTAGAGTTCTGCAATGCTTAAATAAAAGAGTAAGAACCATTAGTATTTGTGCAATTAGACTTTATTAAACAACTTTGAATCATCAAATTATTTGGTTAGAAAGTGACCTCAGGAATTTGATTATATCCGCCCTTAAAAATAAGGTCAACTTTGAAGTCAGATGATATCAGATTTGATTTGCTATGTAATTTTTTGTGAGATACAAATTCCTGTAATATGGGATGTTCCATAAATTAGACTATAGACTGCTATATTTTTCAATAGTATTAGGACGATATAGTCCTTCCTGCTTATGAAGGACATCTTATCACATATTGCAGATGGAGAGTTGGACTTTGATAGTAGAGAGAACTGTGGTACATTTATTGATATAAAACAGGGATTTAACAAAGTTTGATAGTAAATATGACAGTGTTTTAACAAAATTTGATGACAAGGCACACTTGGTTATTTACTGCATAGAGGACAGGGTCGGTCAGAACTGTCAGGGAGACCCTCCTGTTGAGCTATGAGGTTCAGAAAGGACCCCCTTGCTTTCTAAACTCCTTCTCAGAGAGGAGTCCAGGTGCAGCTGGATCCATTCCTAGTCCCAGACTTGGTCAACAGATTATGTCTAGAGGATTATATATGCACAGTCCTTTATATCACTTAGTTAAGATTTCAAAGTTTAGCATGCTGTTAGTCACTTACTGAGGATCTGTTGCAGCAAAGAAACCTCATAATCTTGAGAAGTAACCTTGACAGACATCCCTACTCAAGGGGAGATCCCGGCGTGCAGCCTAATGCCATGCAGGAGAGCTCAAAGGGCTCCTGGGCTGTTCACTATTTATGGGAATAAATAAATAAATGAAATGGTTGACCTGTAGTCATATTTGCATATCAACCACAGTACCAGCATTGTGGTTACGTGGGCACATTGCTCAAGTTAGCCCTTGGCTATTGTGTTGTTATCTGTCTCTCCAAAACCATGTTGAGCCAGTTACAGACATCATGACTGGATGCACCCATTGTGACCACCACGTGTAGTTACCACTTGGGCAGGGTTACAGGAGATAAAGGTCAGGTTGGGGTTGGGGGGTAGTACACCGTCACATTACATTGATGTCTAACATGGACAAAAACTCTGTTGCATGTTGCCGTAGAGTACATTTTGAGTAGTGTCATTTCCAAGCGAAAATTATTTATCTTCTTCTTTCAGAAAGGATACACATTTATGGCTGAAGCACGTACTGGTGACCTACCTTTAGCAGCTGGAAAATGGAGGCTTCGGCTCATTGGTTCTCGTAGGCCACTCCCATTTCTCAATCGTGAGGCTGTAAATAGTGTCTATTCTACTAAAGAAATTCAAGAGTATTACATACCCAATAACAAGCATGTAATGTTCAGGTAAATATTGAGAGAAGAATGTTTAAATTCTGCTTTTTCTATGGACCATCTCTGACAGAGAAATATATTATTTCCTCTCTCTTAGGTATTAAAGCAAATATCTGAATTTTATGAGCCGTTAATGTGCAGTACCAAATTTAACATTGCATTTATGAAAGTGTTATTTTCTGAAATATTGCCACTGTTAAATGAAGAACAGGTATGAAGCACACAGACTATAACCTTAAAATTGTAATAACGGCATTTTGCATTTCTGCAGTCTTGATCTTGAAATATTATTCCTATGTCAATTACTGAAATTCCATAATATTTTGTGGGGGTTAAATATGAGTTAAATTTGACATTTTGCAGGTGGGGAGGAGAAATAAAGTTCAGGTAAAGCTTTAAATAAAATCCAGAAATAAACTTTCTTTCCTGATAGATAATACCAATTTCCATCTTGCAGTGTTGGCAGAATTTATATACTTTCTATTTTAGCATGCCGATTACTTTAGGATAACATATTTAATAAAAATATGACAATTTAATTTTTATTAATCCTTTTTTAATTGATTAAAGTTTATTAAAATCAGTTTATTCTAGTAGAGTTTGAGTTCATAACTGACCCCTAATGAGTATGCTTAAGTTTTTACACAAAGGACTGCATGCTGCACTTAAGCAGGCCCCGTGGTTAGAGCTAATTACATGTATATATTTTGAAAGTTATTTCTAGAACAATTTATCTTGACCTGAAAATTGTGTCATGAGGAATCAGGGTCAATATAAATGAAGAAGGCATGTAATCGAAATATAACAAATGCACTCAAATTCTGTAGGCTCTTTCTTGATGAGTTTGGTGGTTTGTTTTTCTTTTTCCTCTCTGATGTTGCCAATCTTTTAAAAAAAAATGAATTTATGGACACAAAACAAATAACATAGAAAGTTACGAGTTGCAAAAAAACATAAATGTTTCATTTTCATCCTAGTACTCTGATTCTACAGTCTGTTAATTCCACAGTCTTTTAAGTTCATTAGACTAGAAGCTGCTGTCAAATGAGAACTCTTTTGAAAGTAAATCTTTCTTCTTTTCCTTTTGCTCGGTTACTTTTTAATTGAAATGGTTCCCTCATCTGGCTAACCACGTTTTTTAACAAACACTAGTACAGCAGGAGGGGAAATGTAAATTATCACTGCCGTTTGATAAGGCAGTGGAAAAAAGAAATGGCAAGATCACCCCTTTTTTGCAGCAGCACTTTGATCATAGATTCACTGCACTAAACTTCACTGCAGGAAGCTTTGTCCATTAGATTGCAGGAAAACCATTGACTGTAAACTCAATTTTAAGTGTTCATTTCCAGGTCAGCACAATGTTTAGATGCTTTCCTAAAAAACAATGATCTGGCATAGTTGGTTATATTGCTATAATTTTTTCTTCCCCTTCAGGTATTTTGTGAAAGTCACAGCCTCACATATTGCTACAGTGCAGGCACAAACCTCTAAATCAGATGTGTTCATTAAACTACAAGTCAGAAACCTCATAATCTTGAGAAGTAACCTTGACAGACATCCCTACTCAAGGGGAGATCCCGGCGTGCAGCCTAATGCCATGCAGGAGAGCTCAAAGGGCTCCTGGGCTGTTCACTATTTATGGGAATAAATAAATAAATGAAATGGTTGACCTGTAGTCATATTTGCATATCAACCACAGTACCAGCATTGTGGTTACGTGGGCACATTGCTCAAGTTAGCCCTTGGCTATTGTGTTGTTATCTGTCTCTCCAAAACCATGTTGAGCCAGTTACAGACATCATGACTGGATGCACCCATTGTGACCACCACGTGTAGTTACCACTTGGGCAGGGTTACAGGAGATAAAGGTCAGGTTGGGGTTGGGGGGTAGTACACCGTCACATTACATTGATGTCTAACATGGACAAAAACTCTGTTGCATGTTGCCGTAGAGTACATTTTGAGTAGTGTCATTTCCAAGCGAAAATTATTTATCTTCTTCTTTCAGAAAGGATACACATTTATGGCTGAAGCACGTACTGGTGACCTACCTTTAGCAGCTGGAAAATGGAGGCTTCGGCTCATTGGTTCTCGTAGGCCACTCCCATTTCTCAATCGTGAGGCTGTAAATAGTGTCTATTCTACTAAAGAAATTCAAGAGTATTACATACCCAATAACAAGCATGTAATGTTCAGGTAAATATTGAGAGAAGAATGTTTAAATTCTGCTTTTTCTATGGACCATCTCTGACAGAGAAATATATTATTTCCTCTCTCTTAGGTATTAAAGCAAATATCTGAATTTTATGAGCCGTTAATGTGCAGTACCAAATTTAACATTGCATTTATGAAAGTGTTATTTTCTGAAATATTGCCACTGTTAAATGAAGAACAGGTATGAAGCACACAGACTATAACCTTAAAATTGTAATAACGGCATTTTGCATTTCTGCAGTCTTGATCTTGAAATATTATTCCTATGTCAATTACTGAAATTCCATAATATTTTGTGGGGGTTAAATATGAGTTAAATTTGACATTTTGCAGGTGGGGAGGAGAAATAAAGTTCAGGTAAAGCTTTAAATAAAATCCAGAAATAAACTTTCTTTCCTGATAGATAATACCAATTTCCATCTTGCAGTGTTGGCAGAATTTATATACTTTCTATTTTAGCATGCCGATTACTTTAGGATAACATATTTAATAAAAATATGACAATTTAATTTTTATTAATCCTTTTTTAATTGATTAAAGTTTATTAAAATCAGTTTATTCTAGTAGAGTTTGAGTTCATAACTGACCCCTAATGAGTATGCTTAAGTTTTTACACAAAGGACTGCATGCTGCACTTAAGCAGGCCCCGTGGTTAGAGCTAATTACATGTATATATTTTGAAAGTTATTTCTAGAACAATTTATCTTGACCTGAAAATTGTGTCATGAGGAATCAGGGTCAATATAAATGAAGAAGGCATGTAATCGAAATATAACAAATGCACTCAAATTCTGTAGGCTCTTTCTTGATGAGTTTGGTGGTTTGTTTTTCTTTTTCCTCTCTGATGTTGCCAATCTTTTAAAAAAAAATGAATTTATGGACACAAAACAAATAACATAGAAAGTTACGAGTTGCAAAAAAACATAAATGTTTCATTTTCATCCTAGTACTCTGATTCTACAGTCTGTTAATTCCACAGTCTTTTAAGTTCATTAGACTAGAAGCTGCTGTCAAATGAGAACTCTTTTGAAAGTAAATCTTTCTTCTTTTCCTTTTGCTCGGTTACTTTTTAATTGAAATGGTTCCCTCATCTGGCTAACCACGTTTTTTAACAAACACTAGTACAGCAGGAGGGGAAATGTAAATTATCACTGCCGTTTGATAAGGCAGTGGAAAAAAGAAATGGCAAGATCACCCCTTTTTTGCAGCAGCACTTTGATCATAGATTCACTGCACTAAACTTCACTGCAGGAAGCTTTGTCCATTAGATTGCAGGAAAACCATTGACTGTAAACTCAATTTTAAGTGTTCATTTCCAGGTCAGCACAATGTTTAGATGCTTTCCTAAAAAACAATGATCTGGCATAGTTGGTTATATTGCTATAATTTTTTCTTCCCCTTCAGGTATTTTGTGAAAGTCACAGCCTCACATATTGCTACAGTGCAGGCACAAACCTCTAAATCAGATGTGTTCATTAAACTACAAGTCCTAGATAATGAGGAAGAAATTGTGAGTGTCACTGGAAAGGGACATGCAGTCATCCCTGCTTTTAATTTCTTGAGTAATGAGACACTTTCAAGTTCCCAGGGTAAGTATTGTGTTCTGTATTTGATAATTTTATTCACTGAGCGATATGCATTCTTATGGTAACTTCAGGTAATTACAGAAAATATTATTTTTTCCAACTTTTTGCATGAATTCATAATTACTTTGGGATTGAGTGAAATTAGCTACATTTTTGAGCAATGAACAGGAGCTTTTGGTCCTCAGTAATGAGGAAAGATACCAAAAAGATTGACTGAAATAAGATGTCCAGTGTCATTTTCTTCCTCTGCCTTTTGGTTTTGTTTTGTAACTAAGTAAAGATTATTCTGGAAAATTCTCAGTTCTGAAAATTTTATGCATATGCTTGTCTTGCCCTTGAGAATTGAAATATGTTTTATTTTCAAGATCTTGCCTTTATGTTTTTGATGTTAATGTCCAAAAAAATTTGGCTTTTAGAAAACTGATACCTAGACCATGAAACACGGTTGATAATTTAGAGATGGATTAAATGCACCTTATGGTAAGCCTTATGGTTTAAATGCGCCATATTAAGCATCACTACTTTTAGCAGAAGCCCACGTTTTATTGGCTTATCATCCATCATATGAGCTTCAGAGTACGAGGAAAAAGACTCTTGTATAAACGATACCATATTTATCCTTAAGGAAAAAAAACTCAGTTTTTGACTCTGCCTCTGCTACAGCTTCACAATGATATTGATGGAAACAGAAGACACTGAAGGAAGAGCTACTTGCCCCAGACTTGCAAAGCTTATAAATACCCATTATGCTATTTTCAATTCTTTATAATAGCAACTGAAATACCAAGAAAAAATTACCCCTTATGGGAATACACAAATCCAAACAAAATTTCTTTCGAGAGAAATTTATTTGAAAGTTACAGCAAACACCTCACTTATTTTTTGGCTGAGCAGTTGAATCTGAGAAGTTTATTTGCTCAAAATTAATTTTCTTTTTTCTTTTTTTTTTTAGTTTATTGCCACTCATTACATTGCAGTCTTATCAGCTCAGCTTTTGTTAAAGATGAGAGCCAGTTTCATAAATATGCTAAAATTCATGTATTTTCTCAAAGTACTTTGAAGCTAGTGATTGTACCTAACAGAAGTCCACCTGGCATCAGTTAAAACTGATTCTTAGTAGTGCAGCAAATTACTATACTGAATCTACTGTATGACCAAGGCTGACAGCATATAAATACTGGGGGAAGGGGCAGTGAGGTGTAGAAAATTAACTCTTTTCAGTGGCAATCAGTGACAAGACAAAAGGCAATGGGCACAAACTGAAATATAGAAAATACAATTTAGGCATTAGAAAGGGTGATTTGGAGAAGGAGGTTTGTTTGGTTTTGGGGTTTGGTTTGTGTCATTTTTACTCTCAGGGTGTCAAACATTGGAACAGGTTGCCCAGAGAGATTTTGGAGTTTTCATCCTTGGAGATAATCAAAACCTAGCTGGACCTGGCCATGAGCAACCTGCCCTAGCTGACCCTGCTTTTTGCAGTGGACTTGAACTAAATGATCTTCAGAGGTGTCTTCCAGCCTCTGCCACAACCACTCAACCTCCTATGATCCTGTGATACCGGTTAGTAGTTAAGACATATGGTTTGGTTTTCTCTTAATGATACACAAATATTCCAGTTTCCTTGGATGTGCTGTCCAACTAAACAGGTATTCATTTAGAAATGGACTTACTAGAGAGAGCCTTCGGCTTGAGACTGTGGCGATGCTCTGCCATCTTTCCCCTGTGATGTAGTGAGATAACTTCCTGCACACAGTAGAGGGCAGAGTTAGGTTATCTAGTCTTCCTCTTCCGTGCTTTACTTCCAGGCTTTCAGAAGTTAGAGTTTTGCCAAACTCAGTACTTAAGAGCTCCTGTCAGACAATATTAGCTGCTTGCTACTGGCATTTTTATTGTTTGATAAAATTGGGTCTGGACCACAAAGCAACTAAACCAAAATTGGAATGAAAATTTTGTCATCTGAAAGTACTTGGACAGTTGATTGACATTTGATTTTGAAGTGCTGTTTAATTTTACTGTTCAGAAACAATAAATACAGCTGAATGAGGTACGTAATTCTTAGGCATATTTTCAGCAACTGTCCCAGTACTGCGCCAGTAATTTTAACAACAAATGAAGTACCATCTACCTACTTCTGCTACACTTGTATGTAATAGACGTTAGATGCTACTGCCATGCCATCTTAATTTCTTCCATAATCTTAATTTGTTTCCCTGTTTTCTGTGCACTTCATTTCTTAATCAAGTTGTTTCCATTTTATTTGTAAGATTGTTCATTATTTTGAATTTTTCATTATATCTATGGGTTACGTTTTGAAAATTCTTCATAAGCATTACAAATTTTCTTAAATCAGTTGTTTATAAGCTAAGTCAGCTACTGTACTGTCCATGGACTCCACTAAATATCAATGTTGTAAGATACTAAAGTCTTTGGTCCTTTTATGAAGACTTTTAAACAATGAGTCTTCTAAATCAATCAGTTTCTGTCTGTTTGAGCATATTCAGAACCGGAGGCAAAGACAAATTGTTCAAATACTGGATTATTGCTTCTGTAAAGCCCAAAATAGCATCATATTTCATGCACTCAGCTCTGCTGTTTTGAAGTTTAGTTTTCTACCATGATCCTTTAGAAAATTTTATCTAAATTTTTATCTAAATTTAGTTTTCCAATGCTGTGTGGGAAATATAACTAATTTGGTCATTTTTATGAAACATCTTGATTTCTGTCTCAATTGCACCTTGTTATTACCAGAAATGTAAAATTAAATACTATGGAGACCATGCTCCTAAAGCCTAATTCATTAGATGACAAAGTTGTGGTTCTAAAGGAAGTAATGGAGAAGCTGTCATGATTTTTAATTACCAAAACAATCAAGTGCTATTTTTGGTTACAGTTTTTGGAATGTGGGAATGGATTAGTAAACTTAATAGTAGACTGCTGGAAATAGAAGCAGGAAAGTTATAAAATAGCTGAGATTAGGGTCAGCATCACAATACTTGAAATAAATTGCCAAGTGACCCTCAGTAAAGTGAAGGAAAAACTTTCTCTTAGGAAAGCATCCTGTTGGCAAAGATCATAGTGTGAACACTGAAATAAGTTAAAAGGCACAATCAGGTAAAAGAGAAATGTGTTCCAACAGATATTGCAAGGGAGAGGATGGGGCAGAATAACTAAAAGGTATGTCTTCTCTTTGCCAGACTAGTAGGGGGCATAGGTGAGGAGAACTTCACAAAATATCCTCAGAAATCAGACACACACATTAGGTTTCAATCTCTTATTCTTATGTGCTGTGATACAATTAATTTATGCTAATTTCATATTATTTTAATCCATTGTGAATCATTCAATAAAATATCTGTTACATTAGACTGATTGGAAGTAGGAAGGTTGTCATCAGGTTCCTATTCAGCAGTGGAGATTATAAAAAAGTGTTATGATTTCAGACTGTATTTGAAGGTAAAATGCATATTCTGATGCAATTTAAGTGTGTGTGAGTGTATAGAGACCTGTCATTTAGAAGGAATGACTGTGAAGCTGTCACTGTTTGTTGGGTTTTTTACTATTACTATTATTTTTACAATACTAGACCAAGTGGCTTTAACGTTCAAGTTCTTTTCCTATATATATATATGCAGCCTGTATATTACAAAGAAGGCATTTTCTCTAAATGTTCCAAGTCTTTCAGAGCATCCAAATTACATGAAAAGATTATGAAATGTGCTCAGCACAACCGATATAATAGTATCATATTAGCCAACCTGATGATCGTCTGTATGTGCAATTTATGGCATTGTAAAAGCATGTTTCTTCACTATTGTCAAAAATATTAGGAAATTACAAAGTTAGAGGATCATAGTTTGGGTTGGAAGGGACCTTTAAAGGTCATCTGGTGCAACCCCCCTGCAATGAGCAGGGACATCTTTGACTAGATCAGGTTGCTCAGAGCACCATCCAACCTGACCTTTAAAGTTTCCAGGGGTGGGGCATCTACCACTTCTCTGTGCAACCTGTGCCAGTGTTTCACAATCCTTATAATAAAAAATTGTAAAAAATTGTTTCCTTATACGTAGTCTGAATCTACTCACAGATTGGCCTGTACGATATAGGAATCTCCGTAAATACTGATGGTGGGGATTGCTAAAATGGACACTCAATACAAGAAGATTCATACTGTTCTCTAGCTCTCTCAAAGTGTGCTTTCATAAAATAGGAATAATCAGAAACCACTTTTATACTATCCCCACCAAATTTATTAGTTAAGCAAGACACAATCTTCACATATGAGAGCTATTGAGTATCACATATGTTCTGCCTCTCATAGAATTGATCTCTGTGTTGCCAGAAGTACTCTTAAGTGACATTATTCTGCTAGCATCACCAATAAAACATTATCTCCTTTTCCCACTTACAACCTGTTAATTCATCTCCAGTCACAGCTGTTTTATAAATGTCTTTTCTAGCTCAAAACTTACAGTAAACCAATTGATTTTGAATATATTTAATTCTTCTGAGACGTAGCAGATGACTTGGACCTTAAGCGTTGACTTGCCAATAAAGGAGTTACATATAGACACATTACAAGCACAACTTGTTTTGTTGATACAAGCATAGCAAGTGATTGCTCATAATCCTTTTATTTTCCATAGTAACAGTCTGATACAATCCAATCTCAAAGTGTCAAAATCTCATTCTGATATTTGTTTGAATCTGGAATCAAGGTAGGCAGGAGTTCCTTCTAGTCAGAGCTTTGCTTGGAAAAACCAAGAATATATAGAGAGAAAGAAAAGTAGTTTGGTGTTATAGCACCACCTGGTGACGATTGCTAAAAGTATTATTTTGGATGTGTATGCATTTTTGGGAACTCTTCCAGGTCGTCTTTCCAGCAAGGACAGCAGAATGAGTCTTACGGAGGACTCCACCATTCTGAGCTGAGTGACCTTCATGGCAGGATCACCCTCTAGGCAAATCATTATAGAATTTTTCAATACTTAAGCTCTTCACATTCAGGGGAGAAAAAGGAGTAGGGTGGTGAGACATTCATGAAAGCTAATTATAGCTTAAGGAATGCAACCTCCCTTGAAACCTACCTACCTTGATAGGTAGAGGTAGGCTCCTTCACAGGGCAGTGCACAGCTCCTGAAGCCCAGACACCAGACCTCTTGGAGATGACCTTGCTTCTCTCAAGTACAAGAGGGAGTACATTTAGTTGGCCTCACTGCTTTAAAGGTACCTTTTTGTAAATTATTTGCACTTGGATAACAGTGCTCAGGCAGGCATTGTAAGATCCATCCTGGCTAGAAACTTTCATGCAAATACTGCAAGTGTTACTCTAAAGGGAAATCACCTGATTGGAAAATTTCTGTATGTAGTTATTCTTCCATTTGGAATCCAAATTGTGTCTTTGTAGCAGGTTTTTTCCACAGATGTAAAAGAATATGCAAAATTCTAGTTTCTGGATAATATTTCTTCATCTAAATGCCCTTCTGTTGAGTGAAAGCCTCAAGATTTTGGTTCCCTCTGATGAAATCCTTGATAATCTAATCACTATGAGTTTTGTCTCACCTTCACAGCACGGGAAGCTAACTGATACTTGGAAAGCTCAGCAAGCTCTACTTGAGTGAGAAGCTGTTCCACAGATATGGGCTTACTTAGGCAGATCTTTTCCAAAACAATGCCCAGGGAGTTGCATCAATCTAAAAAATGGGTTAGAAGAAACTGAATATTGTTTTCCTTCAGGTTTCTCTCGTAGGCTTCCTTACCACAGGGACAGCAAGAGGCATAGCTCAGATGCAAAAGATTCTCAATGTCATGCAGAAGAGCAACTCATAGTTTGTGATTAGGAGTTTGAGACATCTTGAAGAAAGCATCTCTGCAAGGACTTGTTTTCATTTCCTGACTTCTACTGATTTTCTTAGGAAAAAAGAAGCACTATCTTATGCAGAGGAAAGATCTGATAGTGAGTGATCCATGGCATTTGACTTCCACAAGAAACAATATTTCCTGGCTCCTTTGAATTTCTAGTGGCACACTTAAACTTTTATTTGGCATTTGTATGCTGACACACCACCAGTAAATTTTGCTGAATCTGGTCTAATAGTTCTGTTTTGTCAACATAAGAAACTGCAAGTTTTTCTTTTGAAGTGTTACAATGATACAGTATCACCCTTTGCTTCTACAATAAACCTTGGGAAAAGTGAAGCCTTCTGTCCTCAGTGAAGTGAAAACTGTACCTCTTTCCCAGTTGATGGTTCAGCTATTGTTAGTGTAACACAGGTGAAGCTGCTTCCCCAGAGGTGTTACTTTTGCCCTTATTCAATTTTCTATGAGATATTCCGTTTTAAAATTATCTTTCCTTTCTCTATAGAGATTCAGGCAAGATAATATCATAGATTTTAGAAATGAAAAGCAGTTTACATGGCATGAACACACTTCTGTTACACCCTTTCTTTAGCACATTCCTGGGTTTCACAGTTTTTCCACATTAGTTCCTTCCTTAGGAGACAATGTTCTAACTTGACAGGTGATAGGCCACAAATGGTTCTGTAGCTCCTTCCAAGATTGGCTGCTTCTAAACTTCAGTCAGCTATGATCTTTGTCTCAGGTTGACAGAAGAGACTTCTGTAAGTGTAGGAGTTGCCAGAACTGTGGCCAATGCACCTCTCCTTCCATAGGTGCACAAAACTTACTAAATTAGGTCGGCTGAAAGAGAGATCATACTGAGTAAAGGGCTATCTGTATTATGGAATTTATATTATGGTGCTGTGGTGGTTTGCACAGGAAAGAAATGTGGGATTTGAGGGAGGGGAAAATTATATGCTTTACAAACAGTAACAACAGTTATATATTCAGTCTTTCAAATTTCTCATTATTTACTTTGTAGAGATTTGTGACTTGCATGTACAATGAAATCAGGATAGTATTTGGAATAAGCATAATTTTAATTGGAACCTTGTGAGCATAATACAGCATGAGAAAATTGACTATGATAATTCTTTTCTCTTATAGTTTCTGGAGGGATCTGTTTACCTCATACTGATAATTCATAGAATTTCTGGAAATAAACACTGACATTTTTCATCATCTTGCAGCAAGCAAAAGCCAGATTATTCAAAGTAGTACAAAGAAGGGACCAGAAACTGGAGGATCCAAAAAAAAAAGTGTTTCATCTTCAAAGGATACTAAAGCTCCTCTCAAGCCAGAACTTGTACGAGAAGGTCCACCTATACTGGAAGATGAATCTTCACTCTTGGAAAACTTTCAAAATAATGGTGGAAGCTCACAACAAGTAAGAGATGCCAAATAATTGAGATTTGCGAAAAAAAGGCCCCAGCCAATGAAGGGGTACTGATAATTCTTTTGGTACCTGTGGGAGAAAATTGACTATGATAATTCTTCTCTCTTATAGTTTCTGGAGGGATCTGTTTACCTCATACTGATAATTCATAGAATTTCTGGAAATAAACACTGACATTTTTCATCATCTTGCAGCAAGCAAAAGCCAGATTATTCAAAGTAGTACAAAGAAGGGACCAGAAACTGGAGGATCCAAAAAAAAAAGTGTTTCATCTTCAAAGGATACTAAAGCTCCTCTCAAGCCAGAACTTGTACGAGAAGGTCCACCTATACTGGAAGATGAATCTTCACTCTTGGAAAACTTTCAAAATAATGGTGGAAGCTCACAACAAGTAAGAGATGCCAAATAATTGAGATTTGCGAAAAAAAGGCCCCAGCCAATGAAGGGGTACTGATAATTCTTTTGGTACCTGTGGAGAGCTGATATCCTGAAATAAAAAAAAAGGAATCCAAAATTAAGATTGTTGGTAGCTTCTGAATGAGGCTATGGAGAAAAGATAACGTACATACATGAATGACCAAATAACAAGAGGTCATTTTTATTTTCAAATCAAGGTGATCTATTCTATCTTTAACTGTTCGTCATTTGCTCAGTCAAATTCAGGTATGGTATAACTTTCAGCTAAGGGCCAAAAAGTAATGAAGTTAAACTTCTGATGCTTTATTGTGAGTTTTCTTTTAAATAGGATGTAAGAGAAGGCCATCTATAATATTTTTAATAGAGAAACACCTATTGCCAGTCAGCTGAAAGCTTTGGGAACATACACACAATAGCTACTACTTGAGCTGGGTTTCTAGAGGGATGTCAAAAATGTGCATTTTTCTTGACTTCACAGAGTATTACTTATCTGTCTTAGAAAAATAACATTTATTTTTTAAAACAGTTCTTGTTTGTCTATCTCCAAGTGTTTCTCTACTGTGATTTTTCTGATAATTGAGTTCAATTGCAACAAAATATTGAAAAAAAGAAAACAAATATTGAGAAACAAATTCCAGGGTTGATTCTTTGACTCAGAACTGGCTTTAGGATTTGGAAAACAATTTTTAAGGAGAATTATTTCCTGCTCAGTGTAGATAATGTTTAAAATAACCCGTGGACCCTTTCACCTCTACCCCAAATTAAGACGATATCGAGTGCTAGTGCTAGGGCTCAAAGCCCTGTAAGCAGGTCTTAAAATCAAAGACAAAAGTCTTTGTTTTAGCACGTGGGATACATAGGAAAGTTACATGGAAATCTTGAAGGAATGCAGCTCTTTATTGTATAGCCTAGTTTAGTTTCACTTGATAAACACATGAGTAATTGTTTAATTTCACAGGAATGAAAATAAAATCTATGGAATTAACACTAATTTTTTAAGCTTCTTGTGAATACTGTTATGTGCAAGCTTGTAAATTAATTATGTGCTTCGTTTGCTGAGTTCAGTAGCTGGCAGTTTACTCACCTTTGACTAAGACTTCTGAAAGCTTACTATAATTGTTATGTCTTCAGCATGTTAACATATTGCATTTTCTTTCACAGTCTCACAAGTATGTCGTACAAGCGTTGGTGCTATATAATAGTTGGCCACTTACTGAGAGTCAGTCCCTGTTCGTTCAGGCACTGAAAGAAATGGAGAAAAATGAAATCAAAGGTTGGTTCAATCTAAGCATGTATTTAGTCAAATGCATCACGTTATTGATTTTAAAAAAAAAAAAAAAAAAAGTATGTTATATTGCTACAAGCTATGACCATATGATATGTTTTCTTTTATTCACTGCTTCAGTGGAATAATTGAGCAACAAAGCACTTTGTTCCATGATTCATAGAAATGAAGTTTGATTGCATGATTCTGTACTTTCAGTTCACAAATTATAAAGCAAGCAGAGAATACTCTGCAAAAATCACCTGAGCTTATTAGGGTTCAAGTTTAGGTAGGGATGTGGAATGGTTGTAGAAGTATTCTTCTGCACTCAGGGAGACTGATGAGGTGTAATATAAGTGTATGAAGTGTAATATAAAGACAAGTGCCCTGATAAAGTACCTCCACATGTACAAGTTTCTGCTGAAACTAGAGCAATGTGCCTGTTGATAATTTAGGAAGATGCACTGAAAGGAGGTAAAAGGTCTGTTTTGGAATATGCATTACTTCTGTACTGCTAGGTGAAGAATTTAGGCAGGAGACAAGGCTAGGAAAGTTCTCAAGGACAGGCTGTGCATTCCAGCCTGGAAGACAGAGAAATTTCAGAAACTGCTCTCTCTTTCAGATTGTCTTAACATTTCTTGTTAAGGGTCAGAAAAGAACCCAATATGCATTAAAAGCAGTTAGAATTCTAGTCAGTATCTTAGAAATTGGGTAAATGGCTCGTATTGGCTTCTGATTTTCCTGCTGAGGCTGACACGGAATGATTTAGATCTTAATATGTTAGAGGAAAATTTATCATTCTGGGCCCAGCAGCCCAAGAGAGGGGAGGCTGCTGCTACTCCACTTCCCAAATCCAACCAGTAGCGGGGCTGAAAACGTAGTCCCAGCAGGCACACTCACACAGAACACGCACACACACTACGTATTGCCAGGCACAGAAATCACAGACAGACACTCAGAGCACTGACACAAGCTCAGACCACACCAATGGCCTCACCCTGCTCCCCTCTCCGGGTGGACAGAATGCAAGTTTACTAGTGAGACTATATATGGATTTGCGTGGGTGTGTGTTTCTATATGTTTATAACATGGATCCTTCCAACATTTGGGCTTAGGCACCTAGTCTGCCCTGTAGCTGGCTCCTGAATCCCATATGAGCTGCTGAGGCTGCAGCCCTGCTCCAGCTGCTGGTGCAGACCATTGCACACACACACACACACACACACACAGCTGACCAGGACTTCCCAGGTCCCAGTAGCTGACTCCCCTGTGCTCTTGACCCTACATTCCTGCAGAATCTAAAATTCCACCCCAGTTCCACCACTCCATAAATTCCCTACATTATTAATATTAAAATTATGTAACTCATTTTTTTAAAATATGAGATAAGGAGAAATTATTTATATTATTATATTATTTATATTTTGTGAGAAAGATTTGATCTTTATTTATTAGTGGTATTTCTCTCTTCTTACTCAGGTTACATATTTGTTTTTAATGTCCCTTCATTGAGTAGTTTTTGGGTTTTTTTAATTTTTATGACCCTGGGCTAAAGTTAGATTCAGCAGCAGTAATTGCTGACATATATTATTTCTTTTCTTGTATTTGACGGCAACATTTGAGATTTTTGCAGTCTTTTTTCAGCTGGTATTACAGAACTTTACAAAGATAAATCTTGTTGGTTTATTATAGTCCCTAGTCAGTTTTAGTACTATTTGAGGAGCTACATCACATAGACTTGCAGGCCTGTACAAAGGCAGCATTTTAAGTGGTTATTTTACCTGCTTTTAGCCTGCTGTGTTCTTCACAAAATCATCTTTTCTTCCTAGACGACTCCATTTATTCTCCTCATTTTTCCTTTAATGACAGACTGTTTCTTATAACAGACACCTTATTACATTGTGTCATCCTTCTCAGTCAGCTACATAGTAAGCTACTTATTTTACATAAGTAAAACTGCAGGTCAAAGGAGGTCACTTAATTTCTATGTTTCTTCACCTGTTCTCAACTGTTATTACTGAAGCTTGTCAATGTCATGAGGGTTCTCATGTTTAGTTCAGGGAGCAGTTACTCCAGTTGGTAGCTTCCCTTCCCCATGTTAACCGATGCTGTGGCTCATTTTCAGGCAACCAGTATCAAGCCACAGTCAGTGATAACGAGCACTTTTCTCTTAGGATTCTTTTCAAATGTTGTGATTTCCTCTGTCCTCTCATAATTGCTGCCTTTCAAAGTAACCCAAATCCATTTCATAGTTAACTGGGTGTTTCTGTTTATACAAGGTACCAGCAGAGTTTAAAAACAATGTATATCATAAACAGCAATACTTACCGTATTAACTACTTAGCATTTTTTTATGTACCTCTATTAACAGCAGTATTTATCTGGAGTGCTTACTATAGGTAAGTATTTTGGAAAAAAAGGAACATTTAATCTTTTGATCTTCTTCTGATTGTGAACTCCTCTCAAAGCAATTTGAAAACCGAACTTTACCATTTAAAGCTGCCAGAATCAGTTGTCAAACACACAATTCATATAATAGCCATGTTGGTGTGTAACCAAAAAGGCATCTTCTCACATTGTGATTTTTAAGAAAGCTGCAGTGAGCCAGGTGGAAAATTCCTGCAGCAAATTTTCACTATTTTTGGTATCACTTTTCATGTAGGACAACAGTGCCATCTGGAGTTAGTTTTGTATTAATGCTAACTTAACATGGCAAAAGGATATTTCAGCTTTGTATTAGCATTAACTAGTCTCCCTTTAAAGGAAGACCTATAATATTTTACTATCAATATTCACTAATGTTATAAGTATTTATTAGGAACATTTTTGAAGAAAGTGGCATCTCTGGCATACAAATGTTATGAAAATTTTGCATTTTGTTGATGTTTCTTTTTCCTTCCTTTCTTCAGAATCATTAATATTGCAGCTTGGTAGTACTTGTAAAAAGAACTGTGTTAGCAAAAGTTATTTAATGACTAATATTTAGTCATATTTATTGTATATGAAATCTCATTAAATGTTTTATTAGAGGCCACATTGCACAAACAGAACATTAAAAAGGCATTAACCAGGAAAACCCAAGAACACAGTAATTAGAAAGTGCCAGATAGTGTATTATTTATACAGTCTTCATTCTTTTCTCTCTTTTTTTTCTTTTTTCCCTTCCATTGGGAACTGTTAATGGGGCAAGATTTCAATGGAAATCTAGTAAAAATGTCTGGATCATAATTCTTGTGTAAAAAGGGAAAAATTAGCAGGCAATCTTGCAACTGCTAATAACATTTAAAGTTGCTTGACTGCAAGAACAAAATTATTTCAAGGTTCATTTTGTATATATGATTTTCAGCTATTGCCTTTTTTGGTTCTTTGGTTTTACTTTTCCTGTAGTTAGATCAGAAGTTTTATTGTGCAATTTTCACAGAGTTGAATCATCAGTGTGCACTGAATGCTGACTGCAGCATGTAGTTTTTGTATTGCCTTAAGTTAACTCGTGAGTATTAGCTGTTGATGGGAGAAGGCTGTCTATCCCACTGGAAGAGCAGGAGGAGAGAGGGCACCCAACCCAGGTAGTAGAGGTAGGTTTGAAAAGGCAGGAGAGGCAGTCTTGTTTGGAATACTGGCTTTTTTGGTTTTTTTGTTTGTTTGTTTGTTTGTTTAAGAAGCAAGCTGAAAAAGTTTCTCCCACGGGTTTTCTATTCCAGCAGGAGAACTTGCTGGCTCATTCCAAGGGCAGGATTTCATGTGAAGTTTAACAGGATGTTCAGTTCTCCCTCTCGTTGTCTCTTTCCCACTTTGCTTGTCTGTATTTGTATTTATGATTAATCACTTATTTGTATTTATGATTAATCACTTGCCTGGTGTTCAGTGAAAAAGTAGGTCACTGAGGATACATGGTGGTGCTAGAGCTTAAAGACCTGTAGACCTCTAAGCCATGCTCTAACCCCATCCTTCTACTGCAACCAAGTTGGTGGTTTGCTTCTATCCTGGTGTACTTTTACTGCAACTTTAGTGTCTGGATGAGTCCAACTTTGGAAAGATTTTTGATGTTGCTATCTGTCAAGAATCCTTCTGAGGGTCCAATGAGAGACAGGAAAAGAAGCATCTGAACTTCTTGATCATTTCCTAACCAAATCTGAAAGTCTCTCATGGGACAAGTAACAGTCATTTCTACCAGCTACTCTGCAATCCCACTAAATGGTCAAAGTATATTTCAGATAGTGGGTTCTTCATCTTCTCAAAGAAAACTTCAAAAGACTCCTCTCTATTTTACCTATGAATAAGATGCATTCTCTGTAATTTGAATTTCATAAATCAGGAGTAGCTGTCTATCTTGCCTAAAAAAGAGGACTGTCATATCTCAATCTGCAATTATGAATTTCAGATAGGAATTATTTAGTGTAATTATTTATCTTGTCATAGACAGGAAATTAGACTGGATGACCACTATGATCCCATCTGGCATTAAAATAAATAAATTGCTGAGTAAATAATTGAAAAGTGGTAACGAAGCTAATTTTAAGAGTTGCTATCAGTTGTTGGTCATCACTTTCAATTGCTGTGATGCCCAAGCTTTACTTGGTGCCATACATATACAATATAGCAGCCACTGAGAGCTTGTGATGATTGTTGCTCAACATAAGCCAGGAATGCACACTGGCAGCCCACAAAGCCAGCCGCATCCTGGGCTGCATCAAAAGAAGCATGGGCAGCAGGTCCAGGGAGGTGACTCTGCCCCTGTACTCTGCTCTTGTGAGACCCCACCTGGAGTACTGTATCCAGCTCTGGAGTTCTCAATACAGGAAGAACATGGGCCCATTGGAATGGATCCAGTGGAGGGCCATGAAGATGCTCAGAGGGCTGGAGCACCTCTCCTGTGAAGACAGGCTGAGAGAGTTGGGATTGTTCAGCCTGGAGAAGAGAAGGCTCCGGGGAGACCTTATAATGGCCTTCCAGTACCTGAAGGGGGCTACAGAAGAGATGGGGAGGGACTCTTTATCAGGGAGCATAGCAATAGGATAAGGGGTAATGGTTTTAAATTGGAAGAGGGGAGATTTAGGTTAGATACTAGAAAGAAATTCTTTACTGTGATGGGGGCGAGATACTGGAACAGGTTGCCCAGGGAAGTTGTGGATGCCCCATCCCTGGAAGTGTTCAAGGCCAGGCTGGATGGGACTTTGAGCATCCAGGTCTAATGGAAGGTGTCCCTGGCAGGGGGGATGGAACTTGATGATCTTTAAGGTCTCTTCCAACTCTCACCATTCTATGATCCCAAAACCAGGGAGGCAGCCTGCTCTGCTGGGGGAGGGGGGCAGGCTGGGGGAACCTGGACGGTGCAGGGTACCATTAACTAAGAGAGCTCAATAGAATCCTGCCCTAAGCCTTTATATCTGGAGTTAAAGCAGATTACTTCATTTTAGTGCTGCCATTTCATATGCTTGTTCGTTATTTACTAATGTCTCAGTGTATGCAATAAGTCCAGAACACCAACTTGTTAAAATATTTATAGAAGTCAGATGAAGCTTGTGGTATCCCATGACATAGAAAGTCTTTGTCTGATATAATTTAGCTAATGACACTGAATGTCTCTTGAGTGTTTGTATAAACAATAAATAATTTATATTTAAAATTAATAATTCATTGAATAATGCATGTACACCAGCCTGATTTATGGTGCTAATATGTTAGGATAATATGAAATTAAATGGAAAGCCATTTATGTAATGATATTATAACTTCAAATAATGTCATCACTATTTATTTTATATTTGCATTTCCTCTGGAGTTGCTTTGGTATCTTCAGTATTTGTGGAGACCACTTTAATTTTTGCTTTCATTCTTTAATGTATGCTTTGTCAACATTGAATCAATTTAATTTTGGCACTTTGGTGCCATTGTACATTATTTAAGTGGCATGAAAAGATAAGAATAATGCAATTTATAGATAAATACATGTATAATATATGATGTAATACACATATATATCATATAATATATATATATGTATGTGTAAGTTGTATGTGTATTATAAATATGTTTCTATATATTTACTATTTACAATTTTATATGTCCATATAACCTCAGCCATGACATTGCGGATCTCATCCACAGCTCAGTAAAGTCAGTGCAATATTGTAGTGAACTTTGGATCAAATCGTGCAGCACAGTGATTTGTTCTCAGTGGAAAGAGATTAGAAAGGCATAGCATTAAGTGAAAGGTACCTTTTTATTATTGTCAGATTGTAAAACAGTTCCTCTTTTTCCTAAGAGAAATCCCCTGTTTTATTGTATTGACTAAATTGAGGTTTTCAGCATTTGCTTTAATGCTTCAAGCAATATGAAGGTGGAGGGAAATGGATATTTCATTCAGATTTTTAATCTTTCTCATAGTGTTGTGGGTACATTCCAAGTTGTTTCAATTGACACATTCCTTATGCTATTCCAGGCTTTATTTATCTGTTTCTTTGTTTTAACAAGAATATGATATACAAAAAATCTTCTTAACAGCTCCCACCAGCTAAGACAGTGCACAATAAGTGCTACAAATGTACAAATGCCAATTCTCAGCATATTTAATTCAGACATACAGCATACACGTGATAAAATAATGAATCCAACGTGTTCTCCGATAGTTCTGAGAATGATAATTTTGAATTTCTTAAATATGCATCAAATCTCAAATGCGTTCCTTTGCCTTAACTTCTTTGCATTTTTGGTGGGGCATATCTTCTCTTCTGCTCTTCACACTTTCAGGCTCACACGGATATGAAACAGTGAGAACATTGCCTTTACCTACTCTGAGCTTCTCACCTGCCTGGTGCATAACACTGACAGAGACTGTATGAGACTATGTAGGAGAAATAAGAGTCAGATTGTGATTCTATACATTGCAGTCATTGGACTGACCCACACACAAGGCAACAATGCAGCTATTGATGTGCAGGGACCATGGCAAACTCAGAGTTAAGCTCTGGGTAAAATGCTATTTAGGACAGATAAGGCTGTCACAATATGTCCACCTGGTAAGTCTGTTTTTAAAAGTTTTTTTGTCCCCACATTCTTTCTTAGTCCAACAATAAATGTTAGTATAGTACTTTAATGTCAGCTAATTAACTGAGTTTTCTTTATCTTTCTGCATGGTTGTTTTATGCTGTTATTCCACCCTGGATATTATATGGGGAAATATATTTATGGATGACAATGGCATCCTGTAATTCATCATGCATCATAACTCCATCTGAATAGTACATGGCGAAAAGCATGAGGACCACAGCTTTCCCTTAATGGTTAATCATTCTGAAGGACAAAAGTCTGCAAGTATTCCTAAACCAACCAAAAAATCAAAAGATAAAGCATCTGAGAAGACAGAAAAAGAGAAGTTCAATAAAGAAGGAGGATCACTTATATCTCTTGCGTATCGACGTGAATCTCAGGTGAGAACAAATCCAAGAAACTGGATTTATTTTATGTGCCATCATCGTACTGAGATATTTTCAGGCCTGCAGATCAGTGTTACTAGCACTTCTAGTGTATACCTTGTGTTTCTGTGTGCATTTCTTTGCCACCTTTTTAGCTTTACACCTGAGAGACATTGAATTATGCACATAACAGATATCCATCCTGCACTTAGACATGTAGTCTGCTTATTTCTTTATACATAAAAGCAACTACTGGTTGATCCTTTTGTTGGTCTAATTTGTGTCTCTGCTGAAGGTTTATTAAATTCCATGAATTCACCATATTCATGTCCCGCTAGTCCCTCATTGTAGTGATTTTCATGGGTTCCCAGGGAGATGAAATAGGTCGTTCTGCTATAGTCAGTTCCTGACTCGTACGTCACAATTGTCATTAGCTTGTAGACACACAACAGCAGAAAAATTGGTGCCTACTTGCAAATTCTTCTCAATGTGGTGGGATAAACTGAGTGTTCAGTGGTTGACCGAAAGGCTACTGCCAGCCTGTGTGCCTTAAAAGGGATAACTGACTGTATGGATTGCAAATAAATTAATGGAAGGCAAAGAAGAAACTGACAGCTCCTTCTTTAATGGCATTGCTTTTGCTGGGAATTTTGCTGGCTCATGGCAGGTAGTTCAAGGGGAGGGCATCTCCATAGAGATTTTCATGAAGAAATCTCTGCTGAATTTTTTTGTTGACTAAACCTGCTGCACAGCAAACTTTCCTATGATTCACATCCACACATACAGAGTGCCTTATAGTAATAATAACGTAGTAATAGTGCCTTAACCCCCCCTTCAGAGCAGCCCAAGTGGCTGCAGTTGAGTTTTTTGGCCACAGAAATGCAATGCAGCTCCCGTCTGTCAGACTTCTGCTTTTGGCTCCAATGACGGGGTGCTGGGATGATAACTCTTGGGAGTTCTTCAGTCTGCTGCTAAAACAAATGCAAGTTTCAAGATGGAACCACTTGCAGATAAAGAAGATGCCCACTTTAGTCTCAAATGCAAGCTGAACTCCTGTCTCTAGTATTCCTATCTCTATATGCAGCACAGCAGCTCAATTCATTGGTCAGACAGCAAAATAGTCTCCTACCCTTGAGGCACTACTTGTACCCTACGATTCTGGAGAAGCCATACGTTAAGGTGGTTTAGATAATTTGGGAAGTGATTGGAAAGAATCAGATGCCTCATAAGACACAGCAAGATATATTTCTACACAAAAAGCCTAGTTAAATATAATAAGACTCCTAGTAAAAAAGCTTGCGGAAGGAAGGAAGGAAGGGGAAGGACGAAAGGAAAGGAAAAAAACTCAACAGGAAGATAAGACAATAATTGCTACAAAATACTCTTGTTCAGAAAGATTGTTGAGAAGAACTAGGAGTGTGGACCATGCTGTATGGGAGTGGAGGGAAGCACATAAAATACCTCGAAGGGCTTCTAGACATTACAAAGTAATTGTCCTTACCTTTGGCAGCCACCGTGTGGTAATGCAGGTCAAAGTCTATCAGTGTATAACATTTATCAGTCAGGAAAATTACCAGGATACAGAAATACAACTTTATCCTAAACAGTGGTAGTAGATGTGTACCAAACATTATGTTTATGATACTTCACTTTCAGCAAGCTGCTTCAAACAAACCATACTGGACTTTACGTCTAGTTAGTGAACAGAGAGAAGCAGACGTTCTGGAGGTGAAGAAAGACACCCAGCGAGCAGATAAGATCAAAGCCATGAAACAGGCATGGGAGTCTGCAGAGCCAGGAAGAGCTGTCAAGGTAATATCAGAGTGCAATCTTTGCAGTAATGTTTCTTCACAAGTTCCAGGAGCTGCTGTGGTGATAGAGAAGTTGACAGAACAGAGACTTGACTTCACACGGCTGTCCTCTTCACCACTCTGTGGAAAACAGGAAATTTTACACAGCTTAAAGAATCAGAAGTCATATATGCGTGAGTTCTGGGAAGGAATCCAGATCACCTCCTTTACACTTCTGTAGATCACTGAGACTTTAGGTTGGACTTTACAAAACAGAGAACAGTTACTCCTCAGAAAGCCCACTACCTCTAGACAATTGAGCCCTCAGAAAGCCCACTACCTCTAGACAATTGCAAAGCTGCTACTTGTGATAAGTTTAATGTTTAGCATGAACAGATTCTAGTGAGAAATACACTGTTACAAACATGCCAAAAAGATTTCTCTTGAAGAACTGGCACGTGGCCATATCATCACTCAAATTGCCCCCTGCAGCCAGGATTCCTAACTTCATTCTGGGTTGCAGGTTGTCCATGAACCTGTATGTGCTGCTCTGTATGAATTCACTGTTTCGGAGAAGTAATTCCAATGCAGATGTCAGCTGCGTCTGGGCTCTTTTGGCATGACGTATGCTTAAGATGGAAAAATAATACAAGTTCTTTCTAGCAAAGCAAAAAGTTAAACTGCTGATTCAGATTTGGAAGCATCATTACAAAAAAGAGGAAAATTAAAGAACAAAGTACAGTCTTAAAACTTACAGAGCAGTGATCCCTGGTCACCATCACCACCGGTCAGAAACTCCAGCTCATAAGCATTTTGCCTTTTTTATATTACCTTTCAGAAATGAACCTCAGACATGGGTCTTCACAGTAACAATTTCAGATTTTGTCAGTTCTGTTCAGTGTCTCCAAAGCTCAAAATTTTTTCTGACAATACTTTATTAAATTTTGATCTAAGGAGAGATGCATTATTCTGCAGTTTTGATTGGCTGTGCTGAAACTGAAAATGCAAGTACAGCATCCTAAAGATTAGCTGGAAATGAATCCCCTTTGATGTGTAAAGAGTCTCTTTAGGATGCTAGTTCTATCACCGTTGCCTTTTTTGATCAGAAAATCAACTGGATTACAGCTAAAGGGCTCCATTTTAAAAGCCCCTGAGGTCTGTGATCTTTTTTTCTAAAACATCCATTGTTAAGAGAATTGCAGTAACTATGTCATATGCTAAAAAACAGAAGGTCTCACTTGAGGATCCAGACTAAGTAGCTTCCCTCGTCCTTTCTTCCTGATCACCTTGCCCCAGTGTCTGCCTGTTCCAGGGGTCACATGCCCTGTGACTCTGGGAATTATGTGCCTGGCTCTAGCCTTGAATTTTTGGCTTCTCCATCCATTCTGGCAATCAGACTCTTAAGAGAAAGTCTCACCACTCAGGCGGAAGTGGTGATGCCTGGGTTTGGCATTAATGATAATTGAGTCTGAAAGAGCTTGCATCCATAGCTCCCATTTCTTAGGAGGAAGCCTAAATCACCAGGCTATAGCAGCTCCTAGGAGGAAGAGATAAGTCCTAGGGAGGTGCAGTAGCTGAATGTATTCTGATTGTACAGTCAGTTGTGAGGGAACAGATTTTGCTTTTCAGGTTTATTTTGTTGATTGTTTTGGGGTTTTTTGTTTTTTTTTTTTAAATCCAAAGATTAGTTTAAACTACCCAGAAATCGTGACTTTTTTTTTTTTTTTTCATTGCATGATGATCTTTAGTGTAAGCATTCAATACCTCAGTACTGATTGAATGGGAACCTAGTATCTCCTCTGATTCTAGCCCCAGGCAGAGTTTCATACTGCACTCTGGTCTTAGGTTTGTTATTGACAGCGCTATTTTCTCATTTGGGATAGGTACTAAATATAGCCAGTATGCAATGAGTGTTGAAAGTGCACTATCTACCTTTCATTTTACTGAACTACCATCTCACAAAGGTTTACTTAGAGGTTCTTTTTCATATACTCAAGACACACTTGATATAAATTAAAGATGAAGTTTAAGTACTACTGCTAATTTATTTCTCCTCTATACAGCATATTAAATGTAAACAAATAAAGCCTCCAAAATTTTACTAGAAAAAGATGGATGTTTCATGTTGACAGGTTATTATTTAAGGAAAAAATATCCATTGGAGAGATGACTTGAATATGACTCTGACATGAAATGTGGTCCTCTTACGTTTATCTTTTTTTCTCCCCAGGGACTCACTAATGGTGTTCCTGTTGTTAGAGGTGATGTTTTCATAGGTGAAACCAGTGAAATATACTCACCAGTAATATGAAGTAGCATCATATCTCACATGCATTGGATTTGAAGATTTACTGTCTTATTGACCACTTATAGCTCCCTAGCTTTGAAAATTCTTTGCATTTTAAAGTATGCATTAGAAGTTTTCTTACCTGGATTCTTACTTTGATCTCTAGGCTTTTCAGGAACGCATGCGGTTTATTAATAAGTATGCTGTGAGAGATTCAGAGGAGCCCATGGCTGGGTCTGAGACTGCCAGTTTAACATCTAGTTCAATAGAAGGAGGTAAGGGTATAACTTTCTGCCCCGAGCGTTGTCTGTTCATCATGTTGAGCTCCTTAGAAAAGACTTCTGCATTAAATACTGGTAGTAAACGGATAGAACACCCCTGCTAAAGGTGTCCAAATGCACATGGCATGTTTAGTCCCTATCTTCTCTATCCCCTTTGTGGTTTAGTTGTTGCATTGCTCTATTTTCAGACACAGATCTTGGAGGCTGCCAAGTTACCTTTAAGCAAACTTTAAACAGTCCTCCTGTACTAGAATTCTAACCATAAACTAACCCGAAACTTTTGGTAGTTCATTAAAAAAGGCTTACTCCCTCAATTCCAAATTGGATACCAGAGGTCATTAATGTAGAAATATTAAAAAATTGGTTAGCAGCTGAAATAACATGTCAGTAATGTACTAATACTTCTAATGTACATTTTCTTTATGTTAATGTCCATGGAAACTGTTCATGGACAGTGACTTAGAAGTAAGGTGTCAATAAGTGCATACTGAGTAGCATCAACTTCCTGGCAGCTTCCATAATGTATTGTCTAATTGTACATAGTGGTTACAACTTCTACACATTCTTCATTTGCATTCCCTGGCATTTACCAGACTGATGAAAATCTGAATTGGGTATAAGGCTGCAAAGCTGTTTGTTGCTTCTTTTCTTCTGAGAAAAATGCTGAGATCAGGACATCACAAAACAGAAAGTATAACATCCAGTCTCATTATGACAATATCTGGTCATGGCTCATGCGCCTGGAACTAGAACTTGTGACGAGTACATAAGTTGTTAAGATTGATATTTTTAGGTAAGTAATTCTTCCAGGAATGTTTCAGAATTTAAAGCAGAAGTAGTCCTCACTTTATGCTGTAAAGAAACACACTACTAGTTACTTCTTGCATTCCAAAGGAACTTGAAAAAAATATTATTTCCTTTAAGCTATTGGATAAGGACTACAAAATTAATGGTTGTCTACCAAGAGCTTTGTTCTAAACTAAGCATTTTGAGTCTAATACAGTGTCTCATGAAGTAAAGAGGTGATATGCCAATGACTTTAAGTTGTTATGGTTTGGTTCTGTGGAGTGCAACAACAGGCAATAACGTGCTTGAACATATATCTAGCGTTCGGTATCTTAATGAGAATTGTTACATTCTGGAGAATATTTTTCGGACGGGCAGTGTCCAAGGCACTTCCAAAGTCCATGTTACCCTTCTAGACCAACAGAGAAGGCTGGTATGTTTCTCTATGTATAAATAGTAAATTTTTTTAATGCTCAAAAACCTCTTTCCAATTTTTGGTAAGAAAATTCCAGTAATGGCTTTTTTAAAGTTTCAATTGATTATTAAAATAAGTAGAGTAATATGAGAGTTTTTATGGAAACAAACTACTGCAGTCATTGTTAAGCCTTATCAAATTTCACATGCATTTTCAGCACGTCCACACGAGCTGAAAGAATGAAGTGTTGGAATAATCAGAGTGCAGTTCAGCCCAGCGGCATGTTTAATATCAGATATGTAATTGTATCATGAGAATGCTACATTAAAGCATAATAGGGTTACTATCCATGTGGTAAAAAAAAATCTAAGATTTCAGCATGACAATTTTAAGTTGTCATGAGACCCTTTTTCTTTAGACTGGTATTTCTCAAACTAAATCTCTGTCTAAAAGTGAATATAATTTTTTTTGAACTACAGTCAGAACTGAACAATCAGATTTTTATTGATTTTTATATATATATATATATAAAAGAATGCGATTTCTTGCTGATTAGAAGTTGTTCTTATATTCTTTAGGCACTTTAAATTGAATCTTCTTGCTTAGGTTTACAAACCTTCTTGAGTACTATGGATTTAGCCAAAATATATATATATTAATTTCTCTCTAGCATATATGGGCCTTTTGCAGTGTCTTTGATTCTATCATGAGTGTTGGAAATAAAAAGGCAGAAATATTGTATCCTCTGGAACCCATATTCTCATTTAATAATGCATTTCATTGAGCCAAAACGGGAAAAAACTATATAAAAATTTAGATGGAGTCTCCTAACGTAACTGAGTAACCACTTTAATCTGTTCTTTTGTAGATTCTTTTACCATAGGAAAGAAATCATCACAAACAAGTATCGACTCAAGCTTCCAAATGCAGCAAACAAAATGGGAGCCTATAGACCTTAGTCCTTATATGAGGTAAACAACAGCAAGAATAATTAAGTCCCAGTGAAACACCAAAATGAAAGACTGGCTAAGGATTTTCATATATACGAATTACTAAATGCAATATATATTTTATGCACTTGTATCCTTTTTTTAATTGCTTGCAGTATATTTGATGTGAATTTAGACTCTATACTTCACATGTTATTGAAGTCAGCTACAATTCTGTAACATGCTTGTTAAAGTTGCTGTGAAAATCCTGGCCCATATTTTGTCTGTCACTTATGTTATGTACACAAAACCACTCAGTAGTGAACACAGAAGTGTAAACAGCATCAAGATACAGTTTTCAGCTTTGATTTTCCTGAAAATCTGTGCTTTCCTACATCCATTTACAATTTATGTCCTTTCCTTATAATACATGTCAAAGGAGCTGAAATGCACTGCATGTAATAAGAATGTGACATGAAAACCTGAAGAAAATGCATGTGCTGGCAAATATGTTTATTTCAGTGATCATCTTGAAAGAAGCACATGTTAAGTTTGTCAGGATGTGATGCTGGATTCAAACAATATAATTAACAAATGCAGTTCAGTTAATAATAAAAGATAATAGCTGAAATAATTATATTAACTATATTCTTTATTCAAAAGATCTATATTTTTTATTGCATGTGTTATGAACCTGCAAGTTTGCTGTGCTGCAGCTAGAACCCAGTTCATATTTAAGTCCATTTGTATTCAATGTGGCATTTATGCAGCTATTGATTTTCAAAAGACCTCAGAACATGCTGAAAAAATCCCCAAATTTAATTTTAAATTGAAAGGGAAGCTGGTGTTATATTGAAGTGAATAACATTAAAACAGTAGAAAATATGGCAAAATATCTTCCAAGCTTGAGTCTTGAAAACATTTAATTTGTGTTAAACTCCTTGATTTTTTCACTAGTCATTTAAGTCAAATTATAAAAATATATTATGCACTTAGCTGCCATGATGCCAATGGCAAGAAAAAGAATATTACATTTGTCTCAATGCTGAATTATAATACCAAAAAATTCTGGAAGATGGTATTTCTTGCAAATTAATAAGTGTCATATGTAGGAGTTTTTCATATGTTCAAAGATGAGCATGATTTTACAAATAATTTTAAAATAGATACTCAAGTATAAGACCTGGCCTCAGGAATGTGCTTTCTCATTGGGATTATATATAAGCAGAGGAAAAATGACTTCTTAACCACATCTAACCATACGATGGTGACATTGCAGTATATAACACAAATATATGCATATGGGTGTAAGCAAAATATATACCACTGAAAACTGCACTTGAAATGAGACAAACATTATTTTATTTCCTTCAGAAAAACAACGTCTGAGTCTGTGCTAAGAAATGAGTCTGTCATTCAACAGCAAAAGATTCATAAAGCGGAAAAAATGAACCATTTTAGGGACCTTCGAGAGCTGGCTTTGGAACAAAGAGAAAAAGAACGAAATGCCAGAGCTTTATTGAAGCACCAAATACTTGAAATGTATGAGAATCTGCAGGTAGGTTTTCAGGATCGCTTCCCAGTAACTATTACTGTGATATTCACCACTAGTATGAATATCTTGATCAACCATTCTCAAGACTATTGTATTCAATATCAATAATTAGAAAGAGTGAACAAGCTTGAAATTTTGCTTGGGCAAAGGTTAAAACTAAAGATTCTAGGGAAAAAAAAAACAGTACTACACAACATCCTTACTAGCATATTCTTAGTACTTTCTTGATACAGCTCATTGCAAAAACACTATTTTAAGAATATCACCATAAAAGGTTAGTTAGAAGTGAGAATAAATTGAGCATTTGATATCTATGACCAGATGCATATTAGATAAAACACTGATTTGGCTATTTGGGGGGGGGGTGGTTATAGAACTGTATAGGGCTTCTTGGCAAATAATAAAGAACAAGTTAATTTAAATATGAAGGTAAGTTGCTCTTAGTGTGTGTTACAGCAAAGTTAGAGAGCATAGTTTTCATGGGATACGCATGATGTCAACAAACAAAAAATTGGAATTATTAATCCTTAAAAACCCATGACTATAAATAATAAATTTGGTAGTATTCATGTAGGATCCATTACTAGGATTAACTCAGCCAAAGTACTGCGCATTAAATCGCTACAAATATCTTAGGAAAATTGTCTTTAACCCTTGAGTGTCAACAGGAGCAAAATGTTTTGGTACACTGTGGTGATACAATAACCACCAGCAATCAGTTGGTGACTATTTAGAGCTCTTAAAACTGGATAAGGGACAGTAAAATTAATTCTACATCAAACCAACCTATTTACAGAAATCACTTGAAGACATCTCCTTAACAAGTTTCCAGACAGCCTGATTTATGTTACTTAACTGCAAGTCTGCAAGGAGTCGTAGTTCTTTACCAGTGACTGATTGATCCTACTAAGAGTCTGTGTCCAGGTTTTTAGACATTGCTGTGATTTTGGATGCCTAATATATCATACATTAGAAGGGCAAATATTTATTAAGAGTAGATCCTTGAGTCTTCCTAGAAACTATGCCCATTGAAGGTTTTTCACAGTACTAATTTAAAATGAGTTACTTGGGAATATGCATACTGTGCTGCTTAGCACTTTTGCAGTTTTTTTGCATCTTTAGACTACAGAGAACTATATCAAGGAATCTAGAGATACCCATTTTCCAGGATGGCAACGTAAAGGAAAACATTTTCAGAAGTGTCCAAGTCCCACTTGCCCTAAGTCTCATTGAAGCTCAATGTGATTGAGGCTTCTTTCATCTCTTAAAAGACTAAAGGTCCTAAGCCATTTTGGCATTACTGAAAACTAGGTTTTAAGGGACTTGTTTAAGACAACAAAGCAAGGCAGTAGCTGAAGAGGGACTAGACCCAGATGGGCAATTGCCCTATCTTTCTTTCACACAATCAGCTTGTTATACTAGCATTTTAAAAGGGTTTTCATGAACTTTCTCTTCTACTTCATGGTGAAAAGACTGACATATAGCTGTGTCACTGTGACAAATCAATAAAACCACGTGTAAAAAAGAAAAGGAGAGATGCTCTCCCTCTACTTATAGACTCATAAAGTGAAACATGACAGGAAGGATGCAGTTGCTTGTGATGAAATCAAGGTTCATGTGTTGGGGGGTATTGCTATTTGTTTTTGGCTAGGCATCCTTAGATGAGACCCGAGGCAGAATTTACAGTATTCGGGAAGCATACAGAAGTAAGCTGCTAGCGGAAGAGCGCAGAAAACAAGAAGAGCTGGAGGTTCTTGAAGCAGCCCTGCAAGCAGAGCAAGGGAAGAAAAGCCCAAATGCACAGAAAAAAAAACAAGGAACAGGTTTAGGGAAAAAAAAATAATTGCTAGCACTACTGAATTATATTTAACAGTTTGGGAAAAGAAGTTTGCATGCAAAGATGAGAAAGAATGCTTGTTATTTTCAATCATTTTTGTCAACTATATCTCATTTTATCTCTTTTCCTGGTGCTAGTGAATAAATTGATCTAGTATTCATCTTTTTAACAAAGTGTTTGGTATATTGTTTCTCATAAAGGTACTCACTACTATTAAAGTTTGTATCTTTTACAGGAATAGAATTTCACAACAAAAAATTCATATTCGTTCCATCTCGCTATGTCTTTCATCCTCTTTTTCCTATCAAAACAGAACCAGTCAAGAATGAACCAGAGTTGAACCAGGGAATGTAACCTATCAGTTTTGAAGTCATTTAACTTGGCAGAAACATGAGCTCCTTAAGTGGATGACAATTTGTGGAGTTTATAATAATTAGATAGTGGCATACCGCACATTTCATATGCAGGCATTGGAAGGCTTCCCAAAGCCTGCTTCAGTAGACACTCACAAGGTTTCTGTGTACAGTAGTATTTTTCCCTTTCATCATTCTCTTACGTGTTTTTGAATTTCACAGTACCTCTCCGTAGTGGCAAATTCATGGTACAACTTCCCAAAGCTTGTTGAATACCCATTAAACCCTATTACTCTTTGTTTATCTTTCCTAAGCTGTGTTTTTGCTCACAGTGGCTTTGCTCAAAGTGATTACAATAGACTGTCGGTCTACTCCTAGACCCTCAGCTGGAATTTAAAAATGTTTCTTAAAGGTAGACAATCACAGGCTTTCTACATGAAGGGTGAAATATTTCCTCTAAGCTCTTGCTTCCATTAGCTTAACATCCCTATATTTTTTGGTATTGCCATCAAACACAAAAAAAAAGCGTGTGCATTCATACTCACTAGCTAGCACTCAGCAGTCAGAGACAATGGTCTTACAACAGTGAGAACTCTCTCTAGACCAGACAGACCTCTTTCAAATGGTTTAAAGTAGTTTTTGCATAGGTAGTGACAAGCAGAAGCTTGGGAAGTTGGGCTGCCTACAGAATGTACACAGATAATCTGTCCAGGATGTCCAAAAACATGTTATTATCTAGACAACATGAGAAACCATGAGACTCACCTATTTAATGCAAAGTAAAGAAATGTTATCCCCTGCATTCTGGCTGCTGGTAATGGCTAGCTACTGCGTTTGAAACCAGCCTTTCTTCTGCATCTTAATGGCATACCAGATGTTCAGCTTCTGCTGGTTTTGCTCACCTGTGTTCTGTCAGTATCTCACTGCCTGGCTTGAACTTGACTCACTTCTCTATCAGTTCTGTGGTATCTCTTCTTTGTACATCACACCTACACACCTGCTGTGATGCCTCTGCCTCCATTCGGCCTCCTTCCTCCCATACAACATGAACTAAACTAACTGGCTCGAGTTTTTCATTGAAACCAGAGTCCTAAACTGCACTGGTGATTCTTATTTCAAAGAGCAGGATCTAAGTTTTGCTTTGACCTGTGCAGGCTGCAAACAAAAAGCCTGTCAGTCCTGTGCTATAATTGCTCTGACTTTGTCCTCTCTATTTTGGAATATGGGCTATACTGCTTCATAATATTCCATCTTGTTTCCATGGCAATAGCACGTGTTGGTTGTCTTCTTATGTGAATCTCTAATGAGCTTCTGTAGAGGAAGATCAAGCTGAAGTTCTGTTCTTGATGTCACTGCAAGTGCTATAATGACATTCTGTTGTAAAAATCAATCCAATTCCAAAAGCCAGCATAATCGACATCTAAATGTCAAAAATTCAGCTAATAACCTGCGTGATCAGAACCCATCCCTGCATGTAATCAGCTATAAACAGATTTAAACTCAGACACAGTGTACTCAGATCTACATTATCAAATCTAGTTCTGATGCTACACACAATTCTAAGTTTCATAATTTCCTCATTTTAAAAAGTAATGTGGCATCATCAGAATCTCCTGTGTGGTTTGTAAGTGTCTCTATTGGCTCATTTATCATTTCAACAACACAGATATGATGAAGGAATGAATTACTGTCACACTGTTTAATTGCATGTACTTTGGAGTATGTAATGTTTTAAGAGACACACAGTAGCAGTTTTATTAAGTCCCTGTGCATACTCCAGAAAAGCAAAATATCCACTTACATCATAATGGAGCCTGGGAGAGAAAAGGCCTTGATTTGGACTGTGCCAAAGAATTTACATGCATTGGATCTAGAAGCAGATGACTGATGAGATTTCATATGCAACAGTTTTACATCAACACAACAGCTTTTTACATGGTGCACTGTATTACAAGCTAAGTTAGTAGGGAAAGATGTACAAAAACTAAACCAAAACGGAACTGTATTTCAAAACAACCATTTGCAGTAATTTAAGGAGCCATCATGTTTAGCACTTTACTGTAAGAAAAACAAACAAGTCAAACTGTATGTTGTGTTTTAAAAGATGTGATTGTTTCCTCCAGTTTGTAGACCAAGTTTGCCCAAAAGCCAAATTATGTGTTCACGTGGATAAAGCACTTTTGCCCTTTAGGAGTAAGACAGCTTTTAAGCACCATAATTTTATGAAATTCAACCAGCCTTTCTATCAAAGAAATTTACTACCTGGATTCAGTACGGGAGATTGCTCAAATTCTGGTTTTAGATTGTACATTTCAGAAGTATGCCATATTGCGTCAAGTATTCGTATTTTCTTAAGGTTTCCGGTAATAAAAGCTCTGGAATTTCAACAGTCATCATTCATGCTTATACTCAGCATGGCCATTCAGGGCCAGGTTCAGTAGGGGCACAAGGACAAGCTTTAAATTATGTGATTTCTTATTCAGTAAAGGACTTCAGCAGAGGACTGACACAAGAGTTCAAGCCCTTTACAGAACAGAATAAATAGGGAAGGCTTTTCTGAATCAAGATTGCTGGATCTTTTGAGATGACAGTCATTTTGGAAGTGCAATAGAGAAATGGGTGCATCAAAGCATATTTTACTAGGTATCCGGTGGCTTCAATTCATAGAAGAAAGGATTTAGTTTTTGTGTGAGTGGAAGCAGGAGTTAAGCAGTTACCTTCTAACGTTCCTTAGAGAAAATAATCCCTGAGAAAGTTTGCACAATTTGTCACATACACTGCCTCTACTTTTTGGTCATGGGAGACTGTATATGAAGAACATCTCTTAATGTTGGAAGTTAGCTGTCTTACTACTTGGAGAGTTACATACTTCTCCCCTGAAATGCCAAGTCTTACTCCTGAAGAAGAGTATGACAGTAGCCGTCTCTGTACATCGATGAAGAGGATGCGGTACTCCAACGGCTCAGAAATCCTGATCTCCCTTCTGGCAGAAGATTGTGTGCATCTTACAGAGCCAGTCTGCAATATTATGGTAAGGTTCTTCTTTTGTGTTTGTGTGATTCTCCCACACCTTAAGTACCTCCAACACACAAGACAAATACAGAGCTAATTTCAATCTCTGTGTTTAAAATGTAGCAGGACTGTCTGTTAGGGGCTGGTCATTGCTGAGGACTTGCACAAGGAGAAGCTGTTTCAAGAATCCACACAGTGGCATGTGAAAGACAAGCCTGGCTTTTCTCCTGGGGACTAACTATGCAGGCTGAGAGATGTGATGAGCTCAGAGCTTAGGGCAATACTGGAAATATTTTACAGCTATACTTTGTGATCGGCTGGAATTTTGATTAAAGATTTAGAGATTCTTTAGAGCAGAGGGATATCTCTCAGAACATTTTTAAGGTTGAGCTGCATCATTGTAGTGGTAAAACAAAAAGAATTTGTTTACTGTACTGATTCCTGGTATTCATTTCTCTTTCATATGAAGTATAGCTGTTATACAAAGGAAAATGTCACTGTTCAGCAGAAGTTTTGAAAAGTTTTGATGGAAACTGCAAATGCCACAGGAGAATGAAAACTTTTCAACATCTTAGACTGCATTGTGAATAATCCCTAAAGAATTTGTTAGAGTTTGCTTGGTTGACTTCTACATTTTAGGAAAAAAGGTAACATTCACAAAGCAATGTAAGTACCTGAGAACGAAATTAAGCCCTTGACTTGATAATTCAGTTTAATGGGGATTAACTCTGTAAAGAGTTAATCACTTCTAATAATTCTTTGTAGGTGTGTTCTGCTAAGCTTTAGGGGTTTTCACTGCTTGATTCTTTTCTTTTGACCAGCTATTCTGAACTAGAAAGGATCTTTTTCATTAAAATACATATCTGAAGTTACTTTTTAACACAAGTAGCTTCATTAATCTTCAAATGACTTGTCCCATCTGTTTTGCTTTAATTTGGCTGGCATTTACACAATGAGTTACAGACCAAAAACCAGACCAAGCCCGTTCCAGGATGCCTTGCTGCTGAGACAAGCAATGTGCTGTGAAATCAGGCTCAGCTCTGAGCTGCCAGTCTGCTCACCCTGGCAATATGCAATTTACCAGCTATGTGAGGTCTCATTTTAATTCAAGGAAGAGACACAGCATTTATGCACATGCACAGCATTTCCCCTCCAAACGGCAAGAAAAGCGTCTACATATTTTGTCTGGCAGAAAACATAAGAGAACAGCTTTGCATAATCGCACAGCAGTTTGCAGAATGAAAGAAATCTCAATTTCAGAGCACTTTTTTCCTCTCATTCATTTCTTGAATCGGCTCTAATAGATGCACAGTCCAGGTAATGTTTCAATGATTTAAATATTCTTGTTTTTCGCAGAAAAACATGATGCTGTTGTCCCCCATCTCAAAAGAGGACAAGGACAGGAATGAAGTAGAAAGTCAGAGAAGGAGAGAAAACAGTCTCCATGGCATGAAGTGAGGCAGTAGAACAAAAGAAAAGTGTGTTGAAGATGTTGCTAGCTGAAATAAGAGAAAAGACATAGGGGGGCGGTCAGGTAGGACTCAGAGCCTTTCATTTCTGTGGCAATAAGAATGTGGTTAGGAGCAGTGGTTCAGGGACTGGCAGGCTAACCTGAGAATGTGATAATGTACACACTGAAGTGTAGCCAGGACATGACACTTTGGGTCAAGTCTGGATGCACACTCCTCTCTGAAA